AGGTCATTTCTTAATTATTGACATTTTTTAAGATATAAACTCATTTCGATGTTACACTTATTGAGACCTTTCATTGAAATACCCACATGACATTTTTTATATATATTTTATATATATGGTATTTGTGAAATATATAAATATATAAAATATATGAAAAATTGATGTGGGTACTCAAATGAAAGGTCTCGATGAGTGTAGCATCGGGATGAGCTTATATCTTTAAAAATGTCAATAGTTCACGAGATACAAGGTCATTTCTTAATTATGTATCTAGAGATCGTGAATTTTCGAATGCAGCCCAAATACTTATCATCATTAATTGACAATCGTTGAGAATGATATGAAACCATAAAAAGGCACAAATACAAGTCAAGACTTTTCCAACGATACCAAATTTAACTATAAAAACCCATTTTATGATATAAATACACTGGCCACAAAATTCTGCTTATTCTCTTAATAATATAGATGATATAATAATACATATTATTTATGCTTGCATGCTAAAAAATGATTCTTATTTTTTTTAAACTATAAAACTTGTGATACAAAAATTACTTAACTTCTACATAATAAAAAATTGTTTACAATCGTGTAATTAAATACTTACTTTAGCTGTTGTTAACATTTTAGTACGTGTAATTTTTTTTTATAAATTCTTTTTATATATAGTTTTCTTTATCGTCGAATGTTATTTTTAAAATAATTTATATTAAAATAATGAAAAAGTTATTCTGAAAATAATATTAGATTAAAGTGTTTTTATTAATCTGTAGGTTGAAGACAAATAAATAAATTAAATGCAGAAATTAAATGAAAATCAATTTATTAAAATTATACAATCGGCACAGACAACTGGTGTTTGAAGTAAATAATGATAAACTTTCTTAAAGTTGAATCTCACCGTAATTATAGATGAAGATTAATTGATTTATAATTCAATTTCTAATCTAATACTTTTTATAAATGCTGTACTGTAGCAATTTATGTATATAGATTACAATTATATTTTTTTCATCGTGTGTTATATTGACTGTGAAAAGGTTATCTATCCCTACTGGCATTGTTTTAATGATTAAATAAATTCATAATTAACATTAAATGTTAATTCGATACACTCTTATTATTAAAGAAGAAATGTTTATTATGATTTTGTGAAGAACATTCTCGATCAAGTATACTTACCCGATAATTGAGCGATATTTGAAAAAAAGAAAAATTATATAATAATTTATTGTTAATTAACTGATAATCATTATAAAGTATTGAATAAAATTAAATTTAAAAAAATAATTGATTATGTTTAGGCCATTCAACACAGTTGGTGCACTTGAAAGAGCAAAATTATCAGTAGAAAAACATTATGCCGTTGTTGGAGTACTTGAAGACATAAATACAACTCTCACTGTCCTTGAAAATTACATTCCTCAGTTTTTTGAAGGTGCAACTGAACTTTATTGGGGTAAGAAATTTATTTAATAATAATTGTTTATTTTTAAAAATTTATTTAATAATATTTGCAAAAAAAACGCCCCCGGTAATTTACAATATGTTACATTTTTATGTGTAAAATATTTAGTAATGATTATAAATAATAAATAGCATCTATAAAGAGAAGATAAGTTTAAGAAATAAAAAAAAATTTTTTTTAATTTAAATGAAAAAAAAAAAAAAAAAGAAAAAAAAATTTTGTGGTGATAATTAATGAAAATTAAGTTAGCCAAAATCTGAAAATTTTAAAAATGTTTTTCCATTGAAATAATTATTACAAAAAAATTTTTTTTTAAATTTCACTTGTAAGAAACTTTAAAAACTGTAAGTGCAATTTAAAAAAAATATTTTTTTGTTCTAATTTAATTATTGAAAATAAATCAAAAAATTACAAATGTCGGCTAACTTTAGTGTTATTGATAATTATATTTTTTTTTTTTTTTACAGATGAAATGAATTCATTCAAGAAAATAAATCGAAATTCTTTTAAACCTCCAGTGAGTGAGGCAATAAAAGAAATGGTAAGAAAAAATTTCACAAGAGAAATTGAATTTTACCAATTTTGTAGGCAACGATTGCACCGACAATTAAGAGCATTAAAATTGTCTTCAACAGTTCCTACAACTCAAAATGAAGCCAGCAGCTTGTAAATATTTTTTCAGTAGTAATTAATATGTCTGCATATGTATTTATAAAATTAATCTTAATTTGATAAAAAAAAATTATAAAATAAATTTAGATGTTTGTTTTTTTCAATGTGATATATATAAAGACTAATTATTATTTTAGATTAATATTATAAAGTTATATAATTATTTTATTATCATTAATTGATAATATAAGTAGTAAAAAAAAATTATCTGTTTAGTTAAAATATCAATTGATTGATAAATTATTTGATAAGCATCAACATAAGTTAAAATTTAAATTAATAATTAATAATTTTAAGCTTATTAATTAGCTTAAATTTTTGAAAAAAATCTAAAAATTAAATATTAAAAGGTTTATTAAATTTTAAGATTTTTTTTTTTTAAATTTGATGGGAAAATTAAAAAAAAAGTATTAATATAACAACCGGTAGTCAATTTAATTGATTTTATTGTTAAATAAATGTTACAAACATATTTTTATTGTGCAATATAACTATATAGGCTTTAATTACCAATTCATTTTCTATCAGTCTCGTGATAACACACCTATCTTAACCATGACACTTTATCATCATCATAATAAATTTTATTTAGCCAATTTATAACATATATTATAATTTAAATGTATATAAACATTTCTATATATAATAATTAATAATAACATTTTTTTAAATTAATAATCTACATTGATTTATACATATATTTTATAGATAAACTATATTACACAATTTTGGATAATGAATTATTGATAATATTGCTATTTTAATTATTGTTGGTTGTTTATTAATAATATATGTAAAAAATATTTCATTTTATGCAATTATTCTTTGATTAATATTTTATTTAATATCCTTATATTTTTTTCAGGTACAAATCCCTCCCCCCCTTTTGTTTTTTTTTTTATAAAATTCATGTATATATATGTATAGGTATCTTTAAATAGTAAACGACTTATTTATATATACACTTGTGATGTAATATTTGGTACGAATTATTGATTTTATTTTCATCTCTAGTGTAAGAGAATTGACAACAAATTTTCTTTTGTTTTTGCGTTTTGTAAGCAAAGAATTTTTTTTATTAAATTGAAGGTTTAAAATTTATATCTTGATATAATTATAGACGAGTGAATAACAGACGTCTATTTGATATAAATAGAGACATTTCATCTCTTAAAAACGCTACCGATAAAAAGATGAAAGACTAATCAATTTTTATTAATTTCTTCTTATTTAAATTTTAAAAATAAAATCCTATTACGGTGGTCGATTTTTATACTTTATAATTTATAACTTATATTTATCATAAGTTAATTTTAATATTTGAATAAGTTGCCGAAATTTAAATTGTAAAATGCTTTTTGTACGAGGACTCAAAATTACACTGGGAAAAAAAATTTACCCACTTTGCCCTTTCTTCTTTTTCCATAAAAATTATTTTATTTATTAATTAACTAATTAACAAATTATTTATTAATTTTAAGAAAAAAATCGCAAAGTATTGTCTAATTTATAATTATAATGTATATAAAATTTAATTATTTTAAGCCCTCATATATTTAAAATAAAAAATTTTGACGCATATTTTATCTACTCGCAAGCGAAATAAATAAAAAAAAAAAGTTTACTTAACGTCAAAAATAAGCGCAGACTTTAAATAAATTTCTCAGTTTGAAAACATTTCAACGAGTTACGTAATCTATCCGGGCATTGTAAAAAGTATGTATATTTATAAATATAAATTTAAAAATGTCGCGTTGATTTAAAAATTTAAATTTAATCAAAAAAATTTTCGTAAAATAATTTAGTATCCGTTTTATCCTTTAATCAAAATTATTTTATATAAATTTTATTGATTAAATTTTAAAATTGTTATTTTAAATACACAAACTTTTCGCAGTGTTCCAGTGTAATTCTATTGTCAACTGATTTATTTATTTATTTTTTTACTAATAATTAAAAAAAAATAATTTTTAAATTATCAGTCGTACTTATGGTAAAAAATATGAGCATCCAAGAAGTACGTAGATAAAAAATGAGTATTAATAAAAATTCATTGACCAATCGTTGATATCAGAAGTTTGTGATGATGTAATAGGAATATAATTACTAGCTTGACTCGGTGGTAAACATTGAAAGCAATAATTAACCCCAGAGTTGTTGTCCCAATACTGAACACCCTTGCACTGAAATCGTACAGCGAGTTCAAGTTTGCCACCAATTTTAAGCGGCCGACAGTAAAGTTGAAATGAAAATTTATCACTAAACCCATCGCATGAATTTTGTAAATATATCGCCTGAAGATCACTGTAGCTTTTCCATGAATCTAAAGAGTACCTTATATGGACGGATTTATGGAAGTCTAGATTTCTTACTCGAACAGTACCCTGGATACAAGCCGATACTGGATTTTGAACAATAACATTTTCCAGAGACACTTGTCGCTCTCGTACAATGTCTAGAAAATTAATAAGACCTCCAGGCTGTTGAAAAAGAGGAACTAAAACTCCACTGGGTTTAGATCCTAAGCTCTGGGTTCTTGGCACTGAATTCAAAGCGTCTAAACTCAGCCTGGAGAAACTCGGCGGGCTTCCATCGAACGAAACAGGACTTGAATCTTTCTGGAAAATGTCATCGTAGATTAGGTCCGAGAAGGCAGAGTGAGGCACTTTTGGAATTTCGTCAAGGAAAGTTCTTACATCAGCAAGATCAAGACCCAAAACATCTGCAAAGCGAACTATTTTTTTCCTATAAGGAGTTCCCGGTGGTGTCTTTCCAGTTTTAAGAGAAGAACACCGTCTTATTCGTAGTAATTGCGGTTCTTTTTCCTCTTCTTCGTCCTCTTCTTCACCTGGATCATCGTCTTCATCTTTATTTTCTCTTCTTTCAAGATTATTCATCCCATTTTTTGCTAGCTCGGTATTATCACTCGGAGATATTTCTTCTATTCGCAGACCGTCTTCAATATTTTCTAAATTTTCCCTTTTAAAATTACTTGTTGCAGGTAATGTGGTATTGTCTGTCAAAAAATCGACAACAAAAGCACTTGGAAGATCATTGCTACTGGTATCAGTAGAACTATCACCCGTAGAAGCTGCACTTAGGTCGTTATAACTAGATGCTATATGCGAAACTATTTTGTCTTCTTTATGATTGCTTTGACAAACAAAATCAACCTCATCACTGGAAGTCGCAGATTCGATGTTTAAAGTTGGCAAATGAACTCTAGGAAGAATTTCCGAGTCCGAGTGTGATTTTGAAACCGTCTGATCCGGTAAAGAAGGAGATAAGCTGTCATTTTGAAGTGAAACTGTTTCACTTTCATCAAAAGTGCTCCAAAGCGACTCATGACTTGGCGAAGTTGTGTCTAAAGAACTAGCAGCGTCAAGAGATTCTTCTGAGCTATTTTTTACAGCAAGTGAATTATTCAATTTATTTATTTGCTTCAAATTCCCGTTAACAGAAGAGCTTGATTCTGACGTATCTTGCTTCTGTAATTTATCAAAATCTTCTCTTCGACGTCCGGGCAGCTTATGAGAATCCGAGCCGGTTTTCTCGTTAGACACACGACAATCGCTTTCTGATGAATTAATAGGATCGTGAAAAGAATCCGAGCGAGTTTTATCAGTGTCTGAGCATACTGGGTCGAAATATACTTCACTGTTGCAGTCGTCTGAGGGAGTTCCATTAAGCGGAGATAAAAATCCATATCCTGGTTCTAAATTACAGTGTACCAAATTATGCTCTTTTGCTAACTGGCCAGAATTAGTTGCCAGATTATGATTTCTTTGCAATATATCTGAATGATTTACTAATAAGTTAGCCAGTTCAACATCGCTTAACTCCTGGTCTGGAGAAGCTAATTCTGTATCATTTTCTAAGTCTAACTCTACATCGTAGTAAAGATCTGATTCAGGCGCGTGACGTGGCTGTCGTTGATTTACTCCAGGATTTCCCGCTGTTGATTTTTTCGAGTTTTTATTAATGCATGCTGCATCCTCGTTGTATCCTTCTTCTTTGTCGTCATCTTCATCATCATCATCATCGTAATTAATGTCGGTATCAGTACCGTTAAGCGACGTTAATCGTCGGTGAAGACGCCGGGCAAATGCTTCGGCACGACCACGACAAATAGTCGGAAATAATGAACTTACAAGTCCACAGGATGAACCACCAGCGCAATGATTATCTTCAGGAGAGTCTGTGCTACCCATCTCGTGAGTACTTGATGTAAATGAAATGGGAGCCTCGCTCAATGAGGGATCGTGTGTTCTGTTTCGCTAAAAATAAAAATTTATTTATTCATTTTTTATACTGAGTCTTTTATAAGATATCAAGTACTGTACACTGAGAGACTATTTTATTTAATAGTAATGAAATTTATTAATATTTAATAAAACGTTTATTTAATCTCAAATAAAATTTTATTTATATGAAATATAATTTTATATGGAAATTAAGTTAGCCGACATTTCAAAATTTTTGTAAATTTTTTTATTAAAAAAATTTCAATTAAACAATTAAAAACAAAAATTCACATGTAAAAAATTTGAAAAACTTTAAGTGCAATTTTTTATAAATATCTTTTTAGTTGTAATTTAATTAGTAAAAAAAAATCAAAAATTTTTACGCGTCTGCTAACTTCAGTGTCATAATTTATGAAAATTAAGTTAGCCGACATTTCAAAATTAAAAAGAATTTTTTTATTGAAAAAATGACTACAAAAAAAAATTGTCATTTTTTAAAAACTTTAAAAACTGTAAGTGCAATTTTTTAAAAATATTTTTTTGTTCTAATTTAATTATTAAAAAAAAAAAAATCAAAAAATTGAAAACGTCGGCTAACTTTAGTATCATTCATAATTTTATTTATATTAACTAAGTTTTTTTTTTTTTCAAGTCAAAATAAACTTTTTTATTACTATTAAATAAAATTGTCTCTCAGTGTATTATGATTAAAATAAATTCGTTCTAGGAAAACAAGTGCTTGAAACTAAAAAATTTAAATATTAGTGGTAGAAAAATGTATTTTTTTTATTTGCTGAAAGATTTAACAAATTGTAAAGTGAACAAATTTTATTTTGGCGAGCGTCCAGATATGTAAAAAATAATTTGACAAACCTCTGATGTATAACTATGTGAAAGCATCGCTATATAATCACTTGCTCACGCAAACAACTCGTGAAGATTACTAAATATTTATTTATCTCAGACACAACTCGACTCGTATGATCAACGACAGACCGGTTAGATAAGAAGATTATTGCTTGTTGATCGGCAAATTCAATTTATTTAAAATTATAATTATTTAATATTTATTACTTCTGTAACAGACCGGATAACATTAGTAAATCATATCATTTAAATCGAGGACAATTCAGCCCAATTGATGCTAATAAGTGTGATTACCGTTTAGAATATTCATCTTTTGATTTTATTTGGTAAGATCTTCAATTTACTTTGTAACGTGTAATATATAGCCAGGTCAATAAAATTTTATAACAGCAAAATTACAAGAGGCTAACTACCTCTGTGATTACATAACATTATTTATAGTTTAGACAAGCGATAGACGTAACTTAGTTCAATGCACGTTTATAATCTCGACACGTGCGTTTAACACTTTAGAATTTAAACAGCGTTACAGTAATATTTTTTTTCCTACTCAATTAGCCGTTCTCAATTAAATTCACTTATCATAGAATAAATCTTCATTTTTTTTAATTGTTTTTAATTCCGAATGTCAAGAACAGATGTAATGTCTTAAGTAATTAAAATTTAAATGATTTTATTGTTTATCACTAACCAGAGTCATTTATTTTGCATGAAGAAAATTATTTAGCCGACGTTTTTAATTTTTTACAACTAAAAAATATTTTTTAAAAATTGCACTTGTATTTTGTAAACTTCTTTACAAATGGCAATTTTTTTTTATTTTTTTGTGATAATTTTTTCAATAAAAAATAGTTATAAAAATTTTTATGACACTGAAGTTAGAAGACGTGTAAAAATTTTTGATTCTTTTTATTAATTAAACTACAACTAAAAAGATATTTCTAAAAAAATGAACTTATAGTTTTTCAAGTTTTTTACATGTGTAATTTTTTTTTTTAATTGTTTAATTGAAATTTTTTCAATAAAAAATTTATAAAAATTTTGAGATGTCGGTTAACTTCATTTTCATAAATTTTTAGATGTCGGCTAATTTAATTTTCCTAATAAATAATCAAGTTTTTGTAACTTTAGTAAAGTTTTATTTTTCTCTATCAAAAGAAGAAATTTTCTTTTTTAGTAAACGCAGTTGGGTTATTGATTGTGAGCTTGAAATATTAATATAAATACTTTTTTATTAAATTCCCTGTTAAATTTTAATTTTTTATTTTTCTGTGATAATTTTTTCAATAAAAAAGAGTTATAAAAATTTTTAGATGGCTAATTTAATTTTCATACTAAATAATAGTGTTTTTCTCTCTCTATCAAAAGAAGAAATTTTCCTTTTTAGTAAACAGTTAGTTTATTGATCGTGAACTTGAAATATTTATATATTAAAAACTCCCTGTTAAATTCTTATCATTCTATATATAAAAATAAGTGTAAATATTTACTTTAATTGCATAAAGTAGTTCATTATTTTTCTCACTACAATATTGAAATAAAATCGGACTTTTTTTCAGATAAATTAAAGTATTATAAACAAATATTTTATTTTTATTTCTGTTCCTTGACATAACAAAATTTATTAAATTAAAAATAATTAAATCCACCGTGTAAAGTGATGGATGAGGACGAGAATTTGATGTCAAGGTACTCGAGTGATTAACCCGGTACGCCTGCAAGGTCTTTACAAGCTTAATTTTTCATTTGCACGTATTAAAAGTGAACTTTTAATTATTAATTGAACTTGCGTGTAAAATCTATTTCTTATTCCACAGTACAGATAATAATTATTGTAATAAAAATAATGGTATAAAATTTGGAGCTGTTTAGCTTGACCAAATAAAAAAAGCTAAATTAAACGATAATTTTAAATGATAAGCCGGTAAAATTCTCACACTTGTCGTGTGCGTGGCACATTCACGACTGATTGACTGGGTCGAAACAACTTCTCGCGAACAAGCTCAACTGAACGCACTAATATAAATGAATATGTCTGTCTTAACTCTCTGAAGGACCCCTCTGCCGCATACGCATCTCATACCAGCCACTCCTTCTCGGATAAATAATGTAAGTTAATGCATATGGATAAATTTATCATAACAAATAAAAAAAAGCTAAATATTATTGATCTTGTTCTTTTAGTTCGCTTACATCTCAAGTCTCAAGTGACTTAAAATTTCTATTTAGAAATAGCAGGCTATTGACCCTAATCTCACTACCAAACTTTTATACACATTTAATTTGTAGTCATTATTGGTATCATCTATTTTTTTTTTTATTATATCTTTTAAAAATTATGTTTGATATTATGAAAATTAAGTTAGCCGGCATCTAAAAATTTTTATAATTTTTTTTAATAAAAAAAATCATATTACAAAAAAATAAGAAGAAAAGTTTTCATTTGTAAAAAACTTGAAAAACTTTCAGTGCAATTTTAAAAAAATATTTTTTTGTTCGAATTTAATAAATAAAAAAAATATAAATATTAGAAACGTCGGCTAACTTATAATAATAAAGTTAGCCGACATTCTTAATTTTTTGATTTATTTTTTTAAATTAAATTAGAACAATAAAATATTTTTAAAAAATTGCACTTACAGTTTTTAAACTTTTTGACAAGTGAAATTTTTTTTTTTATTTTTTTGTAATCATTTTTTCAATAAAAAAAATTCTAAAAATTTTTACACGACGGCTAACTTAATTTTCATGGCTAACTTTAGTATTTTTTAAAATTTTATGACATTGAAGTTAGCTGATAATTCAATTTTTTTAATTTTTATAACAAATTAATTACAATAAAAAAATACTTCTAAAATTTTTTAATTTTCACATGTGCAATATTTTTATTAAACTTTTTTTAATCATTTAATTGCTACAGAATTATAGAAAAAATTTCCAGTTTCAGTGTCATGATATTTTACGGTATTTAAATGTGCGTACTTTAATACAAATTGACTTATTTTAGTAAATATGAATCAAGCAATCGTTCGAGATGTGTTAATGCACTAAAAATGCTCGTTTCAAAAATAGTATTTGGCTATTACGAATAAAATCAAAACAAATCTCACATTCATCTTTAAGTGTTTGTAAATTTTATTTTAAAGTGTTGTAATTTTTATTTCATGTCTCAATTTTTTTTTTATTTAAAAAACTTTTACAAAAAGAAGAAAACTCTTGATTAACACCTAAATTTTCTTAGTTCGAGAAAATATTTACGAAAACGAAAATTATCTTGGAAGTAAATATTTTTTTGAGCCAAGAAAATTATCTTAAACTAAGAAAATATTTTTTTATCCAAGACAGTTTTATTTTTCCAAATATTCTCTTGGCGCAATTTTTTTTTTTCACGTGTAAAACTAAATATATTAATCACTAATAATATTTATGTATCACGGAAAGAAGAAAAAGGGGAAAATTACAGTTTTGGATTGTAATTATTACAGATTATTAAATATTAGATTGAAAGCTCTGAAAATTAACATTTAAAGTTTGAATTTACAAAAATGTTATTTCAAACTGCAATTTTTCTAGTTTTTTATATGAAGCGACGTTTATTAAAGATGTCTTAAAATTTTACTAAAAAACATGGATTAATTCTTTAATGATATATTATTTTGCTTAAAATAAATGTGTATTGGTATTTAAATATATATATATATATATATATATATATATATATATATAAAAAATAGTAACCTATTATTTGATTAAATTAAATGAGTATCTATATTTGAATATGTATATGTAAAAATATAAAGAAAAAATATGACACTGAAGTTAGCAGACGTCTAAAAATTTTTGATTTTTTTTATTAATTAATTTACAACTAAAAAGATATTTCTAAAAAATTGCACTTATAGTTTTTTAAGTTTCTTACATGTGAAATTTTTTTTTTTAATTTTTTAATCAAAATCTTTTCAATAAAAAATTTATAAAAATTTTAAGATGTCGGCTAACTTCATTTTCATGAAAAAATTGTATTTTTACATTTTTCTTTTTTGCGTGTAGTAATATACAAAAGAAAATCAATTTTTTTTTTTGTAAAAAAAAAATAGTAACGTCAAAGTAGAATAAAGAAAAGTAATTTACAGATAAATTCAATAATCAATTGTACCAAGGTTCCATATAATACAAAAGACAGAAATATATCGATGATTTATTGAATAGTCTTCTTATAACTCCGTTTCACTTGGATGAGTTGGCTTATAGATGAAATATAATCATTTTGTGTTAATAAGTGTCGTTAACCCAAGGGTCTGGACGTGATAGAGAAATGGTAGAAAAAATGATGATAAAAAAATTAGAGCGAGGAAAATACTTGATAGAAGAAAAAAATAAGAACCGCACGACCAAGAAAAATTTAATCTGGAAAAGGGTTGCCTTGTGCGTATTCATGGTTAATGCCAATTGTTGAGTGAGTGCTCGTGCACTCTCTTATAACAGTATACAGTTACATAAAATATAATAAATAATCTGTAGAGATAGTCGGATTATTCAGCCCCCGCAAAGTGTAAATTATTACTATTATATAAAGCGCTCTATGTCAAACCATACAATTTTTATTTTAATTTTACTATTTTTGATCTTTTAAAATTTATTTAATTAATTAAAATTAAATATTAATAAAAAATCAATTTTATATTGTGTATAAAAATTACCTCAGAGCTTTAAGTATTTTTTTAAAATGCAGATTAATATAAAACACTGTGATAAAAAAATTGTAAAAATTACTTAGATTATTTTGAGTGACAATTGAATAATTATTAAATTGTTAAAATTTATTTAAAAAATTCTAAATCGTCAGAAGTTTTTTTCTACGTGGCAATAAAAAAAAAGTTATAAGTATTAATCGGATAAAGTTTTTATTGCAACTGTTGTTATTACACTTTCATATGACTTTAGTGTATAGATATAAAGTACTGAGAGTTGTTTTTGCGTCGACCTTTCGCTAAATACAAAAATAGATTACTTAAAACAAAATGAAGATGGAGACAAAAGAAAAATAGAGTAAAAAGATTTGATGGCTAGGTCAGAGATCTACCACTGTATAAAGCGGATCTGTTGCTATAAAACATACATTTTATGTCCCTTGGGTTATTGTTGTATTTTACGTGGATGCCCACGCGTAAAATACAGTGGTAGAGTGTGTAATATTCTGTAGCCACCAGCTCTGACGTCTAATTTGAAAAGAGCAAATGCTCGATATGATGGAAATGTGCCAAGAGACAACAACGACGAGAACGTCTGCTGGAAATAGCACTTCAATTTTAGTTTGTATAATCACATTGCTCAATTCATTTATATATTCTATGTTTTTATTTTTTTCTCTGCATAATAATTCACTTAGCCGATATTTAAAAATTTTTATAATTTTTTTTTATTAAAAAAATTATTGCAAAATAAAAAAAAAATTTTCATTTGTAAAAAACTTGAAAAACTCTAAGTGCAATTTTTTAATAATATTTTTTAGTTCTAATTTAATAATTAAAAACTTCCGCCAACTTTAGTGTTATAATAATTAAGAAGATTAATTAAGAAGATAATTAATCAATTAAAAGTAGAGATTAAATTGTACTTTTAAAAATTTTATAATTTAAATAAGTGTCTAATAAATAGAAAGTAAAAAAAAAATATTTTTACCTTTAAATATAATAAATTATAATCTAAAAATATTTCTATTAGCCCTTGGGGTCAAAGTCCCTTTAAATGCATGCAAGAATAAAAGAGCTCGGTAGACAACCAACCGGTTTTAGATTAATCCTTGTATTGTAGACCATAGACTATAACTAGTAAACATGAAAAACTATATAATTACAATTTTTTTTTTCTATTTATAATAATAAGTCAACTAAGCTACCTTAATTTTAAACTAATTATTAATTACGTTTATCTAAGCTTACTATTGATTAATATTTACTTATTTTAATTATTATCAGAGATAATTTAAGATATTTAAGATGAAGCTATGATATAAATTGAAGCTATTTATAACACTGAATTTAGAAGACGTCAAAAAATTTTTCATTTTTTTTATTAATTAAATTACAGCTAAAAAGATATTTCTAAAAAATTGCACTTATAGTTTTTCAAGTTTTTTACATGTGTAATTTTTTTTTTAATTGTTTAATTGAAAATTTTTCAATAAAAAATTTTAAATTGTCGGCTAACTTTATTTTCAAAACTATTTATGTATAAGCCTACACCGAAGACACATTGTTATAGAATATGTATTCTCAAACAATTACAATAAAAAAAAAAAATATGTCAACTAAATAAAAACGTGGAAAATTCCGTAATGAAGAAAGTTTGCGTTGATATCTCAAAGAAAATATTTTATATCGAGGGTTATAAGACAGCCGGATAATGCGTGATCATGATAAATATATAGGAATAACTATTCACTCTACTTTGTTATTGTATGTATGTATTGTAAAACGCAATTGCCACTTTAACTAATATTGTCATTTCTTAATATTAACAAAATTGTACATTTTAATTAATTGCTAAAACATTTTTAGTTTAATAAAAATTATAAAGCTGTCATTGTGTCTTAGTGTTAAAATAATAATGACATTGAAGTTAGCAGTCACCAGAGAATTTTTTAATTTTTTTTAACAAAAAAATTTGTTCCAAAAAATTATTTTTAAAAAATTGTATTTTTAATTTTTTTTAAATTTCTACATGTCAATTTTTATGAAAATAAAGTTAGCCGACATTTCAAAAATTTTTATTAAAAAAATTTCAATCAAACAATTAAAAAAAAAATTGTCACATGTAAAAAACTTGAAAAACTATAAGTGCAATTTTTTAGGAATATTTTTTTAGTTGTAATTTAATTAATAAAAAAAATAAAAAATTTTTAGACGTCTGCTAACTTCAGTGTCATTAATTTTTTTAATATTTTTTTTTGCCATAATTTATTTGTTTAAAAAACTATTAAATATCAGCTAAATTTATCATCACAAAATAACAATAAAAAAATGAAAGAATTTAAGCTATTTTAAAAATATATATTCTCACCGGAAATAATTTACCCTTGGCACTGAAAAATTAGGCGACACAAAAATAACATTATTTCACTATTGATAACTTTAAAAAAAAAACCACTACTTATATAAACAATAATGTATTTAATATTATCTTCCGGTGTTAAAAAAATAAACTTCAACTCCAATGATCTTAAACTCATAACATCAACTTAGGTCCTCCTCCGGGTTACTCTGCATGTCACGACGTTTATACACAAGGGCGTCCAAGGTCAATACGCAACACGCAGGTGCAGATTTGGATTCATTTAATGTAATGTATGACTTTATCTACTCTGCTTCACGTCGTACTCTGATGATGTGCGCGACAAAATCAGATGAATAAAAAATATTAACTGTTATACTTTTTGAAATTCAATACATCATCTTCATTCTTCTCCCAATTTCTTCCTAGTTTCTATAACAGAATTTTTATTTATTAATTATTCAAGTTATTTCTAATTATTATCTTTATTTTTATATTATATCAATTACTCTCTATGATTTTTTAATCAAATCCTAATTGAAATAAATAAAACGTTGCGTTAGTTTACCGCAAAAAGAAGTAAACTTCTACGCCACCAATGATATCTTCAGTTGCAAAGCTAAATATTTATTTTATCTTTTATGCGTAGCGCGTGAATATAAAATAATTTTTAAATTACTTTTTTTTTATTTTTTTTTGAGTAATTAAATAAAAATATAATTTAAAAAAGTTTTGAATCAAAACAAAATTTTAAGCGCTAAAAAATTGTTTTTAAATAAAATTAATCGACGTTCAACAATTTAAAATTTTTTTATTAATTAAACTACAAGTAAAAAAATACTAAAAAAAAAAATTGCACATATAATTTTTCAAAATTTCTACATGTGAAATTTTTTCTTTTAATTTTTTTGTAATAATTTTTTCATCAAAAAAAAATTAATGACATTAAAGTTAGCAGTCACTAGAGAATTACAAAATTTTTTTTAATAAAAAAATTTGTTTTTAAAAAATTGCATTTTTTATTTTTTAAAATTTCTAGAAGTCAATTTTTTTTTCTGCCATAATTTATTTAAAAAAAAATTCTAAAAATTATTAAGTGTCTGCTAAATTTATTTTTATAAAAAATTATTAAAGTTTTCAGATGCCGGCTGATTTAATTTTTATAAAAATTGTCCAATATTTTTTTGTAAGAAATTTTCCATCACAATTAATCCTATTTAATCTCTAAAAAATTACATAAAAATTTTTTACCCAAAAAATTTGATAAGACAATTTTTGGAAATTTTTTACAACAAATTAAATTCTGATAGTTAACTTTAAAAATTCTTGTACACTTAAGCAAAAAAAAAAAAGACTTATTACAAATATTTATATTAAAGAAATGTAAATAGAATTATTGATTTGGAATGTTTTCTAGTCACGCAGTACGAAATGAGAATATATCGTCCCTTTAAGAGTTTTCCGCTTACTGTAGAGCCTAGATCGCATTAAGTCTATATCCATTTAACCAACCTACGGCACAAGCGCATGATATTTCTCTACAGTGATCCTAAGAAGTAACATGCGAATATATAAAATACCAAAAAAAGAGTATTTATTAATTAAAACTAAGTGATGGATCGCAACATTTTTATTTCTATCTATCGGATCACTCTATATAGAAAACGTCGGCTGTAATTAAATATTATAAATATAATACGCCCAACTTTAAAAATGAATATTCGACGGATTCCTGGATTTATTTATCACCATAAATATCTTGCCGGTAGTTTTTTTTTTACATTGATTTTTATTATTTATTTACTCTACCACTGGGGTATTATATGTACGAATTTAAAAGCACGGCGACAGGTGTCAGAACTGGTAAGCACTGTTTTTTACAATAATAACTGCTTAAATACATCTAATTATCATTTTTCATTCTACGAGTACAATAAACAGAAAGTAAAATGAATAAAAAATAAAAGCGCCCGCGCATTACTTCTGTCCCAATGATCGGCGCGTTCTTTAACTTATTATTCATTTAATTTAAACTAGCAACCTTGCAGTCACTATGTGACTGCCGTAACTTGTGAACTATAAATAAATAAAATTTCACTTTATTAAATAATGACTTTTGTTAAATTACACTGTACTTTTTTAACTATTGACATTTTTAAAGATATAAGCTCATCCTGATGTTACACTCATCAAGACCTTTCGTTTGAGTACTCACATGCATTTTTGATATATTTTTCATATATTTATATATATTATATATAATATATATAAATATATGAAAAATTGATGTGGGTACTCAAATGAAAGGTCTTAATGAGTATAATATCGGGAAGAGCTTATATAAGCTCATCCTGATGTTACACTCATCAAGATCTTTCGTTTGAGTACCCACATGCATTTTGGTATATTTTTCATATATTTATATATATGTATATATGAAAAATAGATCAAAAATGCAAGTGGGTACTCAAATGATAGCTCTTGAAGAGTGTAACATCGGGATGATCTTATATCTTTAAAAATGTCAATAGTTCACGAGATACAAGGTCATTTCTTAATTATTGATATTTTTAAAGATATAAGCTCACCCCGACATTATATTCATCGAGACCTTTCATTTGAGTACCTGCATGCATTTTTGATATATTTTTCATATATACATATATATAATATATATAAATATATGAAAAATTGATGCGGGTACTCAAATGAAAGATCTTGATTAATGTAACATCGAGATGAGCTTAAATCTTTAAAAATTTCAATAGTTCGCAAGATACAAGGTCATCTCTTCATTATGTTAAATCGCACTGTACTTTCTTAACTATTGACATTTTTAAAGATATGAGCTCACCCTGATTTTACATTCCTTAAGAGCTTTTATTTAAGTACCCACTTGCATTTTTCATATATTTTTCATATATACATATATATAAATATATAAAATAATGATGTGGGTACTCAAATGGAAGGTCTTGATGAGTGTAACATCGGAATGAGCTTATATCTTTAAAAATGTCAATAGTTCACGAAATACAAGGTCATTTCTTAATTATGTATCTAAAGATAAAGCATTTTAGAATTTTGCTTATTCTCATAATAATATAAATATATTGCATACATATTATTAATATACTTCTCTTTTTTTCTTTTAGTGTACTGATTACAAAAATGGTATGGCCTTAGGAGTTTTATGTGAACCATTATGTTCAAAACAGAGCATCCATTCCTTTAATTGCGAAAATCTTCATTCTGGTAAAGACCTTGTTTTTTCAGCTTACTGGGAAACGACAAGGATTATTTTCAAAGCTTCCAAGTATTTGTTTAAAAAATTACTTAATAAAAATTACAATTATTAAAATATTATCAGTAATTAAAAAATGTTTCTTGTTTTTTAGAAAATTATCACCATCAGAACAATATGAATCGCTTCATTGGATTGACACTCTTGGAAACAAACACTATCCATCAGAAAAAGAATTTGAAAAAATGATAAGTGATTTAGTATTTACAAGACTCAATATAACGATCGGTAGTCGACAACTAGAAAGATTGGCTCATCTAAGATTAGGTCACTTAGAAACTGAAGAAAGGCGACGTAATTTTGAAATGGAAAATATTTGGTCATTGTTGCAAGAAAATGAATATCTTATATCAATTTTGTATGAAGACAGAGAAATATTTCCTAGATTAATTGGCACGTGTGGGACTTTTTATGCTGTAGAGTATGCTAAACCAATTAAAAATCCAACAACTTCTTCAGCTATTTTAGAATCTACACATGATTGGTCTAAAAGAGTGCAACTTGCCATAATGATTTTGGATCTTTTAGATGAGCTAGAAAATAATTTTCCGGAATCTTTTATTCTATGTGACGTAAAGATCTATCACTTTGGACTACCTATTGGCAGTCAACGTCTTAAATTTTTAGATCTTGACGCTGTTTTTCCTAAAAGTATCGCTAACCGACTAACTGCTGATGGACAATCGTGTATAAAAAATGAAGATTGCGATTACTTTGACTGCAAATCTGTTTGTTCTAATAATAAACTCTGCGAGTCTCCTGTGATCAATGACAATTTACAAGTAAATTTTATATTTTTAATGATAATCAATGGTAATCGGAAAAAATAGACCTGGAAAAAATTTTAAAGTTATGAAAAATTCATAATATTTCATTAAAATTATTATAATTTAATAATACATTAATAAAGTTATTAGCTTAATTTATTAAATTAGAACTAAAAAATATTTTTAAAAAATTTCACTTATAGTTTTTCAAGTTTTTTACAAATGAAAAAAATTTTTTTCCAATAATTTTTTTAATAAAAAATATTATAAACATTTTTAGATGTCGGCTAATTTTATTTTCATAAAATTAATTTAGGAGATATTTTATAATTTTAAGAATTTTTTTAACAAATAAATTATGTCAAAGAAAATGAGAAAAAAAAATTGACTTTTAGAAAATTAAATAAATAAAAAATGCAATTTTTTAGAAATAATTTTTCGGAGCATATTTATTTGTTAAAAGAAAAATTTAAAAATAGTCAAATGACCACTTCTAACTACAATGTTATGAAAAACAAGCACCCTCAGAATAATCGCTCCATTTTTTGTTACAAAAAAAAATATATCATTATTATAATTATTATTTTATAATAATTTTAATAAAATAATATGAATTTTTCATAACTTTAAAATCATTTCAGGTCTATTTTTTCCGGAATTCCAGTCAATATAATAAAATAAATAATAATTTCCTGATTTATTTTTAGATTACTTGTGAAAAAGTATTTCTTGGATGGTCTATTATAATACCTGGATTGTTAATCTCTCGAAAAGCATCTGACAATCTAACAAGTTTGCTTAAAGAGTGTGCTAATTTAGAACGAGAAATTAGTTTACATAATTTGTCAAGGACAACTGTTTCATCGGCTATAAAAACAAAACTTTACGATATTTTGACTGATATGGTTCGCCGTTACACAACTGCTACATAAATTAGAATTTTAAAAAATATCTTCGGCCTTACTAGTTTTAGATTAGGATTTACTTAATCGTAATTCTTTATTACTAATTATAAATTAATAGATCAAAAAGTTAGAGCACAAAAAAATAATATAAGAACTAGTTAAATAATTCTCTTAATGATGAGCTTTTGATAAAATTATCATATATATATATATATATATATATATATAAATTCCATTCCATTAGTTAAAATAATCAGAGTTTTCCGTTAAATATTTCACTAAAAAATAAAATAGCTAGAATTTTATTAAAATTATCAATATAAAAATAATTAGATGTAATTTATATTGTTATTTGTAACAAGTTCATTATTTTAGTTATAAAAATAAAAATATATTTTTAAAAACATCAGTTTGTAATGAAAATTAATAACACTAAAGTTAGTCGACGTTTTTAATTTTTTGATTTTTTTTCAATTATTAAATTATAACTAAAAAATATTTTTTAAAAATTGCACTTAGAGTTTTTCAAGTTTTTTACAATTTTTTTAATAAAAAAAAATTTTTTTAATTTCGGCTAATTTAATTTATTTTATTGAAAAATAATTTTAAAAAAATTAAAAAAAAATTTTTCACATGTAGAAAATTTAAAAAATTATGTGTGGAATTTTTAAAAAATAGTTTCTTATTTATAATTTTTAATTAATAAAAAAAATACAAAATTTTTAACTGACAGCTAATTTAATTTTATAATAATAAAGTTAGCCGACGTTTTTAATTATTTTATTTTTTTTTATTTATTCAATTAGAACAAAAAAAATATTTTTTAAAAATTGCACTTGAAATTTTCCAAGTTTTTTACAAATGGAAATTTTTTTTCTCATTTGTTTGTAATAATTTTTTCAATAAAAAAAATTATAAAAATTTTCAGATGTCGGCTAACTCAATTTTCATTTTAATTTTTTTTCATTAGTTTGTATGTTTGAATTATTCCCGCGCTTAAAATAATTTAAAACTAAGCCCGCTAGTGGCGCTGCATGCTACAAAAAGACAAGAATGATTGCACACATCTCTGTATTTATTAATTTTATGCTTAATGGCCGTTTAGCCATCATTGAGATCGAGCATTGGATTCATTCTAAATTTTTTTAATAGTCTCTAATACCTCAGCCGCAATTAGCAAGCATGGATTGGGGTAACTGGGCAAAATATCCTAAGGGATACGATCGTGCCATCCACGGTCCATTTGACCCAGCTAAATTCTACGGAAAAGGTAAATTTTAATATCTCAACTCCAAATTTATAACATAGTAAAATTATTGAATTTAACTAATATGTTTTTATATTTATATCCTTTAGCTGACATACCGTTCGGTCAAGTGAAACTTGCAGAACTGCCTTCGTGGTTTGGTCGTCGTAACATTGGTCCAGTGGCAATTTCTCAGGCAATCGGCAGAGGTTCTTATAATTTTTATTTAAAGTAGCCATTTTTTAAAATAGCCGTGTTGCATAATAAAAGTTGAATATTTTCTTTGCAGCTTATTGGCGTTGGCAACACAAGTATGTAATTCCAAAATATTGTGGAGTAGCTCCATTTTTCCAAGTTACATGCGCCTCTATAATATTCTTTTACATCATTAATTATCCAAGATTAAGTATGTATATTATCTTTTTTATTTTACTATAAAAATAATCACTAGAGTATTATCAAACAATAGTTACTTTAAGGGCGTACGATTACATAAACTTTTGATATTTAATATTTCAATAGATATCACTGGATTGAATTATTGATTAAAATTAATTTAGCAGACATTTGATAATTTTAATTATATTTTTGACAAATAAATTGTGCTAAAAAAAATTGACATGTAGAAATTGAAAAAAAAAATTAAAAATCATTTTTTGGAACAAATTTTTTTGTTATATAAAATTAAAAAATTCTCAAGTGACTGCTAACTTTAATATTATGAATTATTGACGTTTAAATTTCTAATATTTAAATGGTTTTTAGCTCATGATTTTTGTTTGTTTTTAAGTCATACAAATCACGACTGCTCAATTTTAAAACACAGTAACTGCAAAATTTTAATACCTGATTTTTTTTTTAAGTACTGCTGTATTTATTATAACTTTAAGACCTTAATTTCAAGTATTTTTTCTTAAAAGTATTGACATTCAAGTCTATTTTCTATCAATTAGACGCGCAAATTTTTTTTTAACAAGAAAAATTTTTAAATTATCAGTTACTGTATTTTGAAATTGGGCAGCCAATCAGTAGTTGTGAATTAATCATGCTGAAATTGAGCTACATTTAATAATTTAAAAAATTTTCTAATCAATAAATTATATATTATATAGCAAGAAAAATTTTTTTAAAAAATTCCATCTTTAGAAGCTCTAAAAAATTATCAATGCAATTTTTAAAAATAATTTTCTAGATGTAATTTATTTTTCAAGAAAAATCAAAAAATTGTCACGTGTTGGCTAATTTCTGTGTCATGTGATTAATTGATTAACTTATCATAGATATTTTTTATTAAAACTCAATTTCTGGTATGATATTCTATGAAGTATTTACATAATTTAGTTTTATTAAATTAAAGACTAAAAAACTAGCTTTAAGTTATGATATCTACGTTTTTATAACTAAATATAATTTGACTTATTTGACTAATACTTTAACTTGTAATATTATTTGTTTCAGAGCACCATGCTAACTACAAGTACCATTAAACAATTACCAGCGGTTGTACAAGTAGAAATGAATATTAAGTAAATATTTCAATGTTCTAAAAAAAATGTAATAAAAAGTAATACCGAGATTAAAACTATATATTAAACAATTAAATCGTTTGTCTATTGTTATTATTAATATTATTTAAAATTATTTATAATAGAACCTAATAAATATTTGCTTAAAAAATGTAGGCAATATAATAATCATTACAATAATTGTGAAAAATTAAGTATCATAAAATAATATATCTAATCACATGCCTTAGATCACAAAGTCTTAAATGTGCTTTAATATTATTACGAAATTATGTAGGTAAAGATATAGCAATTAAATAAAAACAAAAAGAAGGAATATTTAAGAAAAAAAAAAAAAAATTATGTTGAATAGTGACATTATTAAAGAATTTAATTATGAGTTATGGAGACAAATTTTTCTTGAAAAAATCATGAAAATTAATTTAGCAGACATTTTATAATTTTAAGAATTTTGGTGGAAATAAAATGAAAATTAAATTAGCCGACATCTGAAAATTTTTATAATTTTTTTTATTACAAAAAAATTAAAATAAAAAATTTCACATGTAGAAAATTTGAAAAATGATGCGTGCAATTTGTTTTAAGTATTTTTTTACTCGCAATTAAATTGTTGGAAAAAATACAAAAATTATTTAACGTCGGCTAATTTTAGTATCACAAAATAAATTATTGCAAAAAAAATTGACATAGAAATTAAAAAAAATAAAAAATGCAATTTTTTTAAAATAATTTTTTTGAACAAATTTGTAAAAAAAAATAAAAAAATGGTCAAGTGACTGCTAACTTTGATGTTATAAAAGAATCAATAATTGTATCCACCCAACAAGAATTTATTTGTAAGCGCTTATAAGTAAATTTAAATTTTCGCGCCAAAAAAAAAAAAAAAAAAAACAAATCTCTGACGAAACGTTTACAAGTAAGTTCACTAGTCGTAAGTATTAAAAATGATCATATACTTACACGTATGTAACTACATACGTCCAAGAATCGGTGATTGGTTTTTGTTAAAGTGAAATGCGGTGTTAGCGTCATCACTTGACCAATCAGTGAAAATAAGGGGGACAAAACTCAGGTCACTCAGCAATATGGCTGTCAGTATAAATGTGATGCTTGTAAGATGCTTTTCTCTCCGAAAATTTTGCAAAAGCTAGCATACAGATATAAAGTTTTAAATAGTTTAGAACGTAATGTGATATATGGCGTTCCTGTCAAATGGGAAATGGCAATGCGGGTTAGCTGAATGTCTAAACGTTTATTTTGAATTGATAACGACGTTAAAAGCAAATAAACGATATTCTTGTTCAAGGTACGTAACAACAACTTGTTTTTAATTACTCTTTATCATCCATATTGACGTGACTCAAGTGGAAACAATTAAGCAATATATTACCTTGTTATAATATTACTTATCACACAATATCTTATGTTTTCAAATTTAACTCCGATAAAAAAATTTTATTTTATACAGTCAATTATTGTAAAACTTGGTCACATACTAAATGCACATTGTAAAGACTACATTTTTTTCCATTAGCTTTTGTATTTTATTTATTGTCATAATTTATTTTAAATAATTAATTTTCTAATTTTTTTTTTTTTTTTTTTTTTTTTCAGATTTAGGAAACAAAAAATTTAACTACAATTTAAAATGGCATCAAGGTACCAATAATAATTTTTTAATAAATTTTTATCCATAAATAATTATTAATAATAGAATAGTATTGAATAAATTTATATTTTTAGGCTGGATCGTTTATTTATATTATTAGAGACTGGAACGAATTCAGCAACAAAAAAAGCGGCAGCTCAACAGTTGGGTGAAGTTCAAAGGCTTCACCCCCACGAGCTTCATCATTTATTAGCACGTGTATCAGGACTATTAAAATCCCCACAATGGGACACCCGAGTGTCAGCTGCTCTAGCCATACAAGCTATTCTCTCTCAAGTACCTGTATGGGATCCCCAGCCAATAAAAAGTGAGTCAAAGTCATTGAATGAAAATCGATCTCAACGAAATGAAAATATAAAAAATCAATTAACATTTGAAAGCTTTGATATGAACCAAGTATTGGCAAAAAGTACACATCTAACTGGCTCAGAAGGTAGCGAGTACGATTTAATAATTGCTGACGGTGACCAACAGCAGTCTTTTGGTAGTCAAGGCGAGAAATTACTAGCTGCTAATTTAGGCCTTGATCCACGACTAATTGGAGTAGACACTTCGGAACTGTTTACCGCTGAAGATTTGGCACTTCCTGTTAAATCTTGCTTAACTCAAGCTCAATCGAACAAAATATCCGTAAGTGAGACACTGGAGCAGTCTGGCGGATTGAGCAGGCGTGAAATAAATCGAGCTAAGCGTAAAGCGAGGCAGTCTATATCAAAGCAACGTTCTCGGGAGCCAGAAGAGCAGCTTGAGACAACGAACAATGTAATTCAGCCAAATGATAATGTAGAATCTCTTAAAAAAAAAATTAAAGTGGAGGATGTAGTCTCAACAGATGTAGCAAATTACGAACCAAAAAAAGATGAAACGAACGTTTCAGCTGTACCTGATGGCACGGGCTGTTGGCCTGATACAACATTAGATTGGCCATTGGAAGCATTTAGTGAAAGCCTCTGTCAAGATCTTTTTAGTCAGAAATGGGAGATAAGACACGGGGCAGCCACGGCATTGCGTGAACTTGTACGACTTCACGGTAAAGGAGCTGGTAAATCACGTGATCAATCTCAAGAAGAGATGGAAGAAAGTAATCGACGTTGGATAATAGACGCCGCATTACGCCTTCTCTGTGTACTCGGGCTAGATCGGTTTGGTGATTTTGTATCTGACCAAGTAGTTGCACCAGTTCGTGAAACTTGTGCTCAAGTTTTGGGCTCTTTAGTCCTTTTACTGCCCAACGATGGGGGCAAAAGCATTATGGGAATAGTAAAAGTTTTATTAAAGCTTTTAGAGCACGATGAGTGGGAGGCTAGACACGGTTCTCTTTTAGCGTTAAAATATTTACTAGCAGTGAGAGATGATCTTTTGGATCAAATTCTTCCGACGTCATTTCCAGCTGTAATACGCGGACTTTCTGACCCTGTTGATGACGTAGGAGCAGCAGCTGCCAGTGCACTTATTCCAGTAGCTTCAACACTGCCACGATTATTAAAACCGGATCAATTACAAGCAGTAATTGCGAGACTTTGGGAACTTCTTCGTGATCAAGATGACCTTGCGGCTGCTTGTAATAGTTTTATGGGATTACTTGCGGCTATTTTGTCATTACCTACAGCACGAGCTTGTTTATCACCACAACCACTGTCGCAAGTATTGCCAAGATTGTGGCCATTTCTTAGTCATGCAAGTTCAAGTGTACGCAAAGCAACATTACAAACTTTACAAACGTTAACTGAAGAAGATAAAAGTAATGAAGAAAATAGAAAAGAACGGTGGGGTGAAGAAAGTAGTATTATTCTGCAAGAGGCTTTGCGTCATGTTTTTCAACGAGTTTTAATTGAACATGTAACTGCTATTCAAGAAGTAGCTGAAAAAGTATGGGAAAATCTTGTAACTTACAGTGATCTTGAATTACTTCTTCATGCTGCTTGTCCTTGTGTCAGTACTTGGCTTTGTTTGGCGATGCAACCGGACAATGTACCGTTTAATTCGGGTCTACTTATAAATTACAGCAATATAAATGTTGTTAATTCCAGCCCATCGAAGGGAACATCAAAAAGCGGCCAAATAAATGGAGATGGACAGTCAGATTCGGGTTGCAGCAGTATAAGTGTAACAGGAAAATCAACGTCTGAATTAAAAGTATACATAGGTGGAATTGAAACAGTACCTCAAAGTATTCGGCTTTCAAATTCAGTCCGCGCTCGTATTATGGCAACGCGAATGCTTGGTTTATTATCTAGATACGTTGTTAAACCAGCACCAGGTGTAATTTATACTCCAGATATTCCTAGTCCAGCTCTTTGTTACGCTCGAGTACTATTAGCGCATCTTGCCTCACGATCAGCGTTACAGCGAACTGTAGTAGGCCTAACAATTGCTCACTGGGCAGCTTTAGAACATCCTAACACTCCAGAAATTCCAGAAAGCTTGCGAGACAAACTTTTGGGGTGTCTCAATGAATGCACCTACTACGACGAGATAGCTGGTGCTTTCACGAGACTTTTACATGACAGTAAAGATTATATTGCTACTTTAAAACACTACAAACTTATATTACCAATTGACACTGATAATACCAATGGAGTATTGAATTTAGATCAAATAGCTAGTCTTGCAGCTAAGCCTATCATAGGACTACAAGCTTTAAATAGTAGAACGAGTACTGGTGTTGGAAGTGGAGCAGCATTGAACAAATTAAAACCAAAACTCGTGACAAGCCTTGAAGAGCGAAGAAAAACACTCGAAGTTGGAGCATCGAGTACAGCTGCTCAACAATTGTCGTTGAATGTAATGGCCATGGCTGCGCTTTCTGGAGGAGCTACTATGCTTCATTGCTTACCCGAGCCACCTCAGCCGTTGAATCCCCTAGTGAAGCCTTTGATGGAAGCTATCAAGCGGGAAGAAGACGAAGATTTACAGAAACTCGCGGCTAAACATTTAGCTCACTTGGTTGATCTTTGTACCAATCGAACGCCTTCTCCGAATAATAAAATAACTACTAATCTGTGCACATTCCTATGCTCTGATGTAGAATTTACACCTCGTGTAACAGACCGTGAGTCAGATCCCTTTGACGGGATATTAACGCTTAATAATCGGCATAAGCATGCAGAACGCATTGCTTATAACAGAGGAACTGGAATCGGAGGATCTAGCAGTGGAAGAGGTCCCGGTAGACCTCCAGCAACTGAAATTCCTCTGGAAGAATTGTTAGCTTACGAAGAACCGGAAGCCAAAGCTGCTAGAAATCGCCGTCGAGGTGCTACTTATGCACTTACAGCCATTGTTAAATTAATCGGGTCTGAATTACCAATTCGTCTACCTCATCTTTGGGAAATGATCATAATGAAAAATCACAATAAAATTGATCTATCTCTACAAAGTAAAGTTGAGCAAGTAAATAATTTAATTTTTACTTTACAAGTTATAGAAATTGTAGTACCCAGTCTTGATAAATCTCTTTTACCTCCAGTACTTGAATGTTTACCACGACTGTGTAGTCTTTTGGCTCATCCATACAAAGTAGTTCGGCACATGGTTTCACGTTGCATAGCAACATTTGCTGTTTTAAACACTGAAATTACAATGGGACAAGTAGTACGCTCTGTAATACCACTTTTGGAAACGCACAGTGCTGATACAAGTGTGCCAAAAGGTCTTTCAACTCCAGTTGAAAGTGATTTACGTCGCCAAGGTGCTGCAGAAGCGCTTACTTGTATCGTCGAAAATCTTGGCGTTAATGTCGTACCTTTTGCTGTTCTTTTTATGGTTCCACTTCTTGGAAGAATGTCAGATCAAAATCAATCCGTCCGGCTTGTATGTAATGCAACATTTGCAACACTAATACAATTATTACCCTTAGATTCGGGATCTATAGCAGATCCTCCTCATCTAGTTGAAGAAAAAACCCAAGAAAGAAAGTTTTTTGAACAACTGCTGAATCCTCGCACCATTCCTGAGACTAAATTAACTGTTAAAGTCGCCGCTGAATTAAGGTCTTATCAGCAGCAAGGGCTCAATTGGCTTGATTTTTTAAACCGCTATAGATTACATGGAGTTTTGTGTGACGATATGGGTCTTGGAAAAACACTTCAAACTTTGTGTATTCTCGCATTAGATCACGACCGTAATAAAGATGCTCCACCGAGTTTGGTTATTTGCCCGCCGACGTTGACGGGTCACTGGGTTTGGGAAGCTGAGAAATTTTTACAGTCTAAAGACCTGCCGGTGTTACAGTACTCTGGATCTCCACCAGACAGAGAAAAATTACGACCTCATGTTCATCAGTATAGATTAATCGTAGCGAGTTATGACATTGTACGAAAAGATTTGGAATTTTTTGAAGCTATCCAGTGGAATTACTGTGTTCTAGATGAAGGTCATATAATTAAAAATGGAAAAACTAAAAATGCCAAAGCTGCTAAAAGACTACGCTCTTATCATCGGTTAATTTTATCAGGAACTCCTGTTCAAAATGATGTTCTTGAATTATGGTCGCTGTTTGATTTTCTAATGCCTGGATTTTTGGGCAGTGAAAAACAATTCGCTGCTAAATATTCAAGACCAATATTAGCATGCAGAGAATCTAAAGCCGGACCAAAAGAACAAGAAGCTGGAGCACTTGCTATGGAGGCTCTTCATCGGCAAGTACTGCCTTTTCTTTTACGACGTAATAAAGAGGATGTTCTTAAGGATCTACCTCCTAAAATAACACAAGATTATTACTGTGAATTGTCTGTGTTACAAAAAAGACTTTACGAAGATTTTCGTACGCGTCATTCAGCTACGCTTATGTCTAATTCAACATTACCGTCAACTGCATCTTCTACACCACGTGGTCATGTTTTCGAAGCACTTCGTTACTTGAAAAATGTCTGCAATCATCCGAAATTAGTTTTGGGTCCGAATCATCCGCTGTATCATGAAATTAAATTGCAATTGGAGCAACAACAAACAAATTTGTCGGATATAGATCACAGTGCAAAATTACCAGCATTGAAACAATTACTTTTAGATTGTGGTATTGGACAAACGCAGCAACAAAAGCCATCAACGCCTTCGGGATTAATTGATAGTCAGCAAACAACTCAACAACTTGTCAGTCAACATCGAGCTCTTATATTTTGTCAATTAAAAGCCATGATGGATATTGTAGAAAAAGATCTTCTAAGTATTCATTTACCTACTGTTACGTACCTTAGACTGGATGGAAGTATTCCAGCTATTAGAAGACACGCCATTGTCTCAAAATTTAATGCTGATCCGTCTATTGATGTGCTGTTGTTAACGACGCAAGTTGGTGGGCTAGGATTGAATTTAACTGGTGCAGATACAGTTATTTTTGTGGAGCATGACTGGAATCCTATGAAAGATCTTCAAGCTATGGATCGAGCTCATAGAATTGGTCAAAAAAAGGTCGTTAATGTTTATCGGCTTATAACTAGGTCAACTGTTGAAGAAAAAATAATGGGACTGCAAAAATTCAAACTTTATACGGCTAACACTGTTATCACTACCGATAACTCATCGTTAGATACTATGCGAACCGAACAAGTAAGTATTTTTTTTTTTTTAAATAATTATCTATATTATTATATCATTAGAAAGGTCTTGATTTGGAGTTGTGCCTTTTCACGGTTTCATATCATTCTCACCAATAGTCAATTTATGGTGATAAATATTTAGGCTGCATTCAAAAATGCTTGTTCTCTAGATACATAATTAAGAAATGACCTTGTAACTTTTGAACTATTGACATTTTTAAAGATATAAGCTCATTCCGATGTTACACTCATCAAGACCTTTCATTTGATTACCCACATCAATTTTTCATATATATATATGAAAAATATATCAAAATGCATGTGGGTACTCAAATGAAACCTCTTGATGATTGTAACATCAGAATGAGCTTACATCTTTAAAAATAAAAATAATTAAGAAATTACCTTGTATCTCGTGAACTATTGACATTTTTAAAGATATAAGCTCATCCCGATGTTACACTCATCAAGACCTTTCATTTGAGTACCCACATCAATTTTTCATATATTTTATATATTTATATATATTATATGTATGTATATATGAAAAATATATGAAAAATGCATGTGGGTACTCAAATGAAAGCTCTAGATGAGTATAACATCAGGATGATCTTATATTCTTAAAAACGTCAATATTTCAAAAAGTACAGTGCAATTTAACCAAATTCATTATTTAATAAAGCAACATTTTATTTATTTATAATTCACAAGTCCCGGCAGTCACTATGTGACTGCAAGATTGCTAGTAAATAAATAAATAATAAAATTGACTAAAACATTTAATTTATGTTTCAGTTATTAGATTTATTTTCTTTGGAAAATGGTAAACAAAAAAAAACTGACGAAGGAGAAAACTCACGATCAATCAGTTCGATTCCTGGAGTTAGTCGATCAGTTTTAGACATAATACCAGAATTATGGGAACAACAACAATACGATGACGAATATGATCTTGACGCATTTTTATCAACGTTAAAAGGATCCAACTTGTGAAGTTATTATTTACAGTATCACAGCTACAGCTGCAGATCAAAATAAAATTATTCATCCAAGTAAATAGAACGTAAGAACGCTTGATATATCTATATTTTTTTTTTTCTTTATTTATAGTAACTTATAAAAACGACAATGCAAATACATTTTCGCATTTGTACCAAAAGAATTTACTTTGAATTATTTATTTGGTAACTTCCACCACTGAGATAAAAAGCTCCGTAAAAAATTTTTTTTAATTTTCCTTGTGATTATTATCTCAAATAAATATTTATTAAATAATGACGCTGATAATAAGAGTAATAAAAGAAAAAAAAATTAATTTGTCTATAATTTTGCTCTATAATTAGGAACTAAATTACCCGCAGCAAATATATTATTAGGATCTAAATGTTCTTTCATCGCACGATAAAGTGAGACTCCAGTTTGACCAACAGCTTCAGGATAAAATTTAGCACGCATTTTTCCAACTCCATGATGATGAGAAATAGAACCACCACTAGCAAGAATTTCCGCTCTTGCATTTTCTTCAATTGTTTCATAAGTTTCAACGGGTTCATGCAAACCAATATAATTGAATGCCAAATAAAAGTATATGCAACATCCTGCGTCGTAAGTTTGCGTGACTCGGCAGGACATAAGATAATGCTTTATACCTCGTTCTTTGCAGTCGCGTGACACGCGAGATTTAACGTTTTTACAAAGTGACAATGCACGGCTCCAAGGTACAGAGGTTTCAAAAGATTCAGACAATACTCCGTACTCTAATCCCAAATCTCTGATATAAGCAATGACAAATGTTAGAATATAACCACGCTCTCCGTTTGTTTCACCAGCAGCCATTCCACCAAATTGCTTAACAATGGTGTAGATTTTTTTTTCCTGCGCCGCCACTTCATTAGCTTCATACCCTTCAAATAAAAGAGTAGCTACGCATACATCGTTCCATTGAAAGCCCTTAATTTTTGTAACATAAGCTTGTTTAAAGGCATGCATAATCTTATCTGTCCAACCGTTGTCAGGTCGCAATGCTTGACCAAATCTAAATTGTTCATTGTCCATCAATCGAATACTCGATGGTTGACACCGTTGGCGTGCGACTTCTCTCATCGCATCGACACCACTCTCAAAGTTCGGAAAGATAACACTTCCGTACTTGACTATTTTTGGTAGTGGACGGACTTTGAAAACAACTTCTGTAACTACACCAAGAGTACCCTCGCTTCCGAGAATTATATGATCGAAATCTGGACCACTAGAAATACGAGGTACTTGCGCGCCTCTTTCCAATGTCAATGATGGATCTTCTGTTCTTCCTGTTACCATTCTTACTCGTACGACTAAATCTTCTATGTTTCCATACGTATTTTTCTTCATTCCACTCGCTCTTGTTGCTACCCAACCACCCAAACTAAAAGAAACATTGCATTAAATATTGCACATATATATTATTGTATTACTGATAAAAGGATTTCTTAGCATTTAAGATTTTTTTTTATTTAAATGATTTTTTAACATTTAATAAATTATTTTTTTCTAGTTAATAAATAATTTTTAATATTAAATAATCATTTTTTGATAGTTAATAATTACACCTTACAATACGTTGAGCAGTTAATTCATTGAATATTAAATATCAATATATAATTATTAACTATCGAAAAATTATTGTTTAATATTAAAATTGTTTATTGACTAGAAAAAAGTTATTTATTAAATAGGTATTAATAAATTATTTCTTAATTATTAAGAAATCCTTTTAATATCAGTGTACATTAAATTAAAACAACAATAAATTACCTAGAAAATTCATATGAATCAGGTTCATGACCAGATGTTAAGCCTCTTGATCTTAATTCTCGCTCAAGATCTTGTCCAATAATACCTGCTTCACAGCAAGCAACGAGGTTTTCTCTGTCAATCCACAATATCCGATTCATCTGTGATGTATCCAATGAAACTATCGTGCGACGTTCTTCTGTAGGACAACTAGCAGCTCCACTAACGCTAGTACCACCGCCAAAAGGTATACAAGCGACTCCATACTTGACGCATATTCGTATTATCCTTTCAACATCATTATGGCATTCTAGAATAAATTTTAGTAAGTTAATATAACTTCTTTATAAAGTAAAAAATATTGTGTAAAATCAACACAATTTTTGTGTTAAAATAACACAATCTTTATGTCAAAATAACATAGAGTGTGTTGAATTTTAATACTAATTTTGTGTAGACCGTATTTAACACAATATTTTTTACTGTGTATAAATTGATTGACACAGCTTGTAGTTATAGATTAATAACTTTATTTCAAGAATTTCTGATTAGATTTTAATTTTCATAAATTATCATTAGAAAAAATTAACAAAAACAGTTTATATAATTATCATGTTCAAACAGTTAAAAAAAAAACCGATAAAAAAAATTTTTTTACATTAAAATACTTTTATTTTATTTTAAAGCAATTACTGTTCATATCTTATCGCATATTCATTACTAATGTTACTTGTATTTATCAGAAAAATACGTAAACACTAATACCTGTTCATAGGTAGGACTGAAATTCTTTATGCGCTTTAACTTTGACTTTATTATTTTTTTTTTTTTTTTTTTTTAACTATAATTTATGAAATAACTATGGATTATTATTATATGAAAAAATTAACTATTATACACTATAGTTGTGTACCGTAATCAAAAAAATTTACAGTCTCAAGTAAATACCAGCCTAGATTCAGTAAATAAATAATTGAGTAATAAATAAATTATTGATGCAATAGTTGGATAAAATTTCACCTAAATTTAATGAGAAAATAAATTTAATAAGGCTTACTTGGCCAAAGAATAATATCTGGTATCCTATCAAAATGACCATGTTTCAACAAAATCATTTCACGAAGTGTATGTCCATGAGCCCTAAACAGTCTATCCATACCATCAGTAGAAAAAGCTATTTGTAATTCTTTGACGGCATCTAGAAAGTCCTGAGAGAGTATTGGATCAGGGAAAGATACTGGTAATGACTGTGATGGTGTTTTTTTTGTCAAATCTACTCCAAGGACTTCTTGAACCCATTGCGTAAAGTAAGGCAACTGCAGGTTTCCAATCGGGTACCTTGAACAATAAACAAGAGTATCTATTAGCATTTTTAATCATCACAATACTTAATAATGTTTGTCAGGTGAAAACATACTTGGAGATTTGTATTTAAACTCAAGAGTATTTAAGTATAGAAAAATTTAACTTTAAAATTTATTGTACAAATAAAGCAACTCTATTGAAGAGAAGCAATGTATTCTTTAACGAGAAAGATTATTTGTTTAAGTATTACAACATACAAAAAATAGAGAACTTGTAAGAATTAACGACAAATGACGTTTCACATCTACTAAAGCGGAAAAGAAAAACACTTAAAATAAAGAAAATTAAATTCATTAACTAATACGTTAATTTTTTTTTTTCCTTAAGTACATGATATTGCTATTATAAAAATTTGCATATGTACTTGAATTATAAAGCAAATTTAATTGCTAATATTTAATTATATTTATTATTATAAATTATTAATTATGTATAAATATTTATTTTGTTTTTACCGTGACCCAGTGAATTCAATAATTGAATTGTCTTTAACAACAAATTCCGAATCTTTGTATCCCCATCCGTTCCACTTGAGTAATTCTTGCCTGTAATAAAAAAAAATCAATAATTATAGTTGATGTTAATGGTATTTATAATTTGACATCAATTTTTTTCAACAAGTTATTATTAATACGCAGAATATTTATACAGAAATATAAAAATTAATGATACTAAAGTTAGCCGACGTTTTTAATTTTTTGATTTATTTTTTAATAATTAAATTAGAACAAAAAATATTTTTAAAAATTGCACTCAAAGTTCTTAAAGTTTTTACAAATGAAATTTTTTTCTAGTCATTTTTCAATAGAAAAATTAAAAAAATTTTTAAATGTCAGCTAACGTGTTTTGAAATTGGGCAGCCGCGCACTTTGGATCCGTCAGGGTTTCCGCAGTTCAATAGTCATAGCATGGTATAACGTATATATATCCTGCGTAATTATATTTATGAAAGCTCATCTTATATAGATAGTCACTTAAGGAAAAACGTCCTAACTAGAATTTTGGAAGATTTTTTTTACGGTGTAATTTCATTACACAAACTCTTTTGAATCTAAGTGTGCTGGTAACGAAATTTTGAGAGAAATATCAGTTAAGACACTATTTTTGATGACTATACAAATATATTATTTGTACCTGATTGACTGCTGCGTGAATATTTTCAGCACTATAAGTATATCGCGGTGGTCTACTAGTTGTTGCTCTTATTTGTTCATATAACGCACTCGTACTTGGTGTCCGACTCAACCACGCTCGATATTCATCAGATGTGAATACACTGGGAGAAGAAGGTATTCTCCCTGGAAAATGAAATCAGTTTGATTATTGGAAATAATGATTCATCATTCTAAAGAATTTATCGTATAAATTAATGTACCTCTGTCTCTTCTAAATGACGGTAACTCCGGTGCTGAAAGCGCACCATCACTGTCTTCTTGATCTATAAGACCTGAAGCGACAGTCGTGAGTCCTGTTCGAAGACTTGGCTGTTGTGGCAAGGATCGACCACTTCGACAAAAAAAATATTTTTAAAAAATTGCACTTACAGTTTTTAAAGTTTTTTACAAGTGAAATTTTTTTTTGTAGTCATTTTTTAAATAAAAAAAATTTTTTTAATTTTTAAATGTCGGCTAACTTAATTTTCATTAATAATTATTGATTTTTTTGTTTGTTGTGATTATAATTAACAATTTGTTTTTGCTAAAGTGACATCTAATTCCAAAGAATGCATCACATAAACATTGAAAGGTAAAAACAAGATGTGATAATAAACACGTGACTTAAATGTTGTGATTTTTTTAAATTTACTCTACTGATTATTATTAGAAATAAATAGTCAGTAATAATAATCAATTCCAGTCAACTGAGAATAAAATTATTACCAACAGCGACTTTTTGTAAGAATGTAAAATATATTTATAAATTACTTGAGTTTTTTTTTAAGTATATAAATTAAAGAAGCAGGGTATATTATTCAAACGACTCGTAAATTACAGAAAATTATTTTATACTGAGTCACACTTATTGAAGGCGTGGTTAAAATACTCTTAATAATAGAATAAACATAGTTACAATGTACACAATAGTTTGATGTAACACACTACACATAAGAATCTATGATAAAAAAACTTATTACATTAAATAATTATAAAACTGACCTGATTTTAGGGACAGTACTCTTAACACTTGTCGGATTAATATCACGACTATTATTATCACTTAAATTATTAGATTCTGATTTAGACATAGTTTTTTTTTTATTTTTTTAATTATTTAATAATTATTATTTGAAACAAATTTAATGAAATTTTTGGTATTAATAATACAGAGTTTAGATGAGAGGATAAATTTTTTAACTTAAGTTCATGGAACGAAATTTTTGTTCATACTAAATAACGCCGTGTTGATTATCAGACACGAGCTTACTTACTCGGCACCGCCATACACCGATAAACCAAATTTAAATCGATACAGCCCCCGCCTGAGACTAAGCTCCGCCCATTGGCAACATGCCGAACTTACAACGCGCAGTTTCTTGTAACTAGAATTTGAATTTACGCGCGCAAGCGCGCGCTTTGACTATAGAGTTTGCATATATTTTCATGCTTATGATATATTCGACCAATCACGTTACGAATAGTTTGATGCCACATACATTTCATCTCAATTTTATATTAGGATTCTTATTACTCTTATCCGGACATATGTGTTTAATTAAATAAATATAATCAACAGCATGCAGTAAAACGTTTAATATTTACACTAACAGAAATTCCATGTGCATTACTCGGCCGTAGTTAATTTAACTGGTCAATTTAAATGAGGATTTTAAGCGCGAAATTCAAATTCTAAATTGTGTGGACCAATTAAAGTGACTTTTGTGATTCCGTCCTATCAAATGTCAGTATCAAGAGAAAGTAAGCCATGTTTACAAAAATATTAATACTGATGAAAATGAAGTTAGCGTAACATTAAATTTAGCTGTCACTTTATAATTTTTTAAATTTTCTTCAACAAATAAATTATGGCAAAAAAAAATATTTAAAAAATGGACTTGTAGAAATTTAGTTAAATTAATAATGCTATTTTTTAAAAATAATTCTTTAGAACAAATTTTTTTGTTAAAAAAAAAAATTTCATTTGTAAAAAACTTAAAAAACTGTAAGTGCAATTTTTAAAAAATATTTTTTTGTTCTAATTTAATAAAAATATTTTTTAGTTTTCATTTAATAAATAAAAAATTAAAAATGTCGGCTAACTTTAATGTTATTTTATTTTTGCCATAATTTATTTGTCAAAAGTTCTAAAAATAATTATGCACTGACGTTTGACAGACATAAGAAATTTTTTTAGAACTTTATAACAAATTTAAAATTATTATAAAAAAAAAAATTTTAATTAAAAAATACCACACATGTAAAAATTATTAAAAATTACAAGTGAAAATTTTTAGAATAATTTTTTTATTGTTATTGATTTGTTAAAAAAAAAATTTTAAATTAACAGCTGACGGCTAACTTCAGTATTATAAATTTATTGTCATGAAGTTAGCTGACATTTCAAAATTTTTAGAAATTTTTTATCGAAAAAATTTCAATTAAAAAAAAATATCACATGTTAAAAATTTTAAAAACTACAAGTGCAATTTTTTATAAATATCTTTTTAGTTGTAAAAAAGAAAATCAAAAATTTTTAAACGTCTGCTAACTTCAGTGTCATTAATACTGATAAACACGCTTATTGTGAATCAACATTAATTTACTGACGACATCAACGACGATTATAATCACAGTTGTCTTACAATTTATCTTTGTCATCTTTTAGCAGTACCTTTGTTTTAGTGTTGTTGACATTGTGTTTTACTAAAAAATATAAGATGAAAAAATATTAAAAATATAAAAACCTGTATAAAAAAAATTTTTAATTAAAAAATCAAGGCTTGTAGATAATTAATTGACGTGAGGCTAAAACAGAGCTCTATTTAGATTTTTATTTCGTTAATCGTTATCATGTTAAGCTCCTGGTCGCTGTTGTAGATTTTAATTAAAAGAGTCTTGACTATTTGATTAAACGACGAGTTTATCACAGATATATTTTTTTAATTCAACAAAGCATGCCTGACAGTGCAGCTGTTTATCGACCTACCACAGTGGGTTACAGTTATGAAGCCAACGGAGATGGCAATGAAAGTGGTGTTGGAGTTGGAGGTGGTGTTGGAATAAGAAATGGATTTTCACGAATTATTTTTAGGCACAAAGTTAGCACACGAAAATGGCTCGAATGGGTATTGCTGTCAGTGGCACTTTGTGCTACTCTTGCTGGGCTCACCACGATGATAGTTAATGTAATAGCTTCTGGAAGTTCTCTACCTTCTAAAGTAGTCCAGGTATTTTTTATTATCAGCCGATATAATTTATATGATACTGAAATCAGCAGACAACCTGTCGAATTTTTATTCTATTTAAGAAATAAATTAATCACAGTAAAGTTAGCATAAGAGAATTTTTTAATTTTTTTTTAATAAACAAATTTGTTCAAAAAAATAATTAAAAAAAAATTGCATTTTTTATTTTTTTTAATTTCTACATTTGCTAAATTTATTTTTATAATAAATTAGTACAAAAAAAATATTTTAGAAAAGTTTTACTTTTAGTTCTTTAAAATTTCTACATGTGAATTTTTTTATTTTTTGTAAGAATCTATGAAAATTAATAATTTTATAACAAATAAAATATGGCAAAAAAGATAAGAAAAAAAAATTGACATATAGAAAACTTAAAAAATAAAAAATGCAATTTTTTTTTAAATAATTTTTTGGAGTAAATTTTTTAATTAAATAAAATTATTTAGTGACTGATAACGTAAATGTCATAAGAATGATATTAAAGTTAGCTGTCACTTGACCATTTTTTAATATTATTTAACAAAAAAATTTGTTCCGAAAATTTATTTTTTTTTAAATTGCATTTTTAATTTATTAAATTTTCTAAATGTCAATTTTTTATCTTATTTTTTTACTCTGTAATTTATTTATTAAAAAAATTATTAAATATCTGCTAAATTAATTTTCATTAAAAAATCCTAAAAATTGTCAAATTTAATTTATTAATATGCGAGCTGTTGTTTAAAATTCTTTTACATTGCAGGATAATTCAAAAAACGGCTCAAAATCTGACACAACTACAAAAATGGAAGATGTTATTAATCAAGATCCTAAAGGATCACTAGCTGCTGGAGCGAGCATTACTCTGATAGGATTAGTAATGGGTGCTCTTTGGGCTTGGTTACGTTTCTTCCGGCACGGTGGAAAATCACAGAGAGGTGGAATCAGTCGTGCAAGTGGACAGGTAAGATTTTATTTAAATAGCAAATTCCATTGGATTCCTCCTATTATTTTTTTATTTTATTTTTAATTTATATACTTACTTACTTTTATTTAATTTATTTATTTATTTATATTTATTTGGCTTTTTTGTTTCTTTTTTTGTTGTCTTAAATCGCCGGTATGCTCGTTGCTACGGCGTTTATTATCCCTTGCTCATTATTACACCTTATGTACGCGTATGAGGAAAGATGTTGGGCGGTTTGAATCCATCAACTGACTTGCTGGTGGGTTCCACTTCGCAGTACGGGCCAGTACTCACCGAGGTGCCGAGCCAGATGACCAACAAGCAGATGATAAATGAAACGCGAGCTGTTCCGATGTCAGATCAGGAGGAAGAGACACACACGCTCATGCCAGATTCAACAGCTATTCCATCAGCAGTCATCAATCAATCCGGTCATCCTACTAATCAAGCAGGCTAAGTACATGATTATTTAGAGTAATTCGTATACAAAAAAGCTTTATCTTATCTTGCGCTCCATTTTATTCGTTTAGAATAAGTCATGTAGTTTAATAACTCTAGTTATTTAACAACTATTAAATTAACTTTATTGTTCGACCTTCACTTTATTTCAAACAATTGAAATTCATTAATATAGATAGTTTTTTTGGTTGGTTTTATCTGTTAAAAATATAATTATAGAAAAACTCTGTGATTCTGCGAAAGCAAAAAGATAATTTGTTTTTTTAGTTAATTCAATACACAACTATTGAAGAAAAAAAATGTAAAAAATAAAAACTACACTCTATTAACAATTCATATTTAAGGTATGTTAGTTGTTATTGTTAAGTTATAGAATGTATGTAATTTTTATTTTATTTTTTATTTAAGCGATCAATCCGTACATTTTTTAAATATAATTGTATGTAATTTTTATTTTTATTCCGTCCACTAACAAAACAAATCGCATAAATTTAAAGTATGGGTTAAGCTTATTTACACTTTACAATTTGTTATTTTATAAAGTACTTTTTGTTCATTTAATTTCTTTTTTAACTTACTGTTGTGAAAAGAAATAAAGACTGAGTGAATGGAAAATCAACATATGTATATTTATAAATATTTTTTGTTTTGCAAGAAACTGAAAATAATAGATATTCATTAATTTTATTATGAAAATTTTTATTGAAAAAATTGTTACAATAAAATTAAAAGAAAAAATTTCACATGTAGACAATTTGAAAAATAATTTTTTTAAAGTATTTTTTTAGTTGCAATTTAATTGAAAAATTTTTTAACATCGGCTAACTTTATCATAATTTTATTATCTTTTAATGTAAAACTGAATATTAATAAAATAAATTTAAAAAACAAAATAATTACTTAAAAAATCTGAAAATATGGTCGTGCTCTCAATTAATCTTTTCTTAATACTGATATAAGCAGACGTTTCAAAATTTTTTAATTTTTTTTTATTAATTAAATTAGAACAAAAAAAAAATATTTAAAAAAAATTGCACTTATAGTTTTTAAAATTTTCTACAGGTGAAATTTGTATTTTTATTTTCTTGTAATCATTTTTTTAATAACAAAAATCATAAAAATAGTTAGATGTCTGCTGAATTCAGTGTCATTCTTTTCTCATAAAAAACTAATGATAAAAAATTAAGATTATCCTGATGTCTAGTATTTTCAGTATTATTTTATTCCATCGTGCTGAAAGTAACTCAATATAATTTTAAATACATCTGGAAAATATTACTGCAATATTTTATAATACTAAAGTTAGCCGACGTTTTTAATTTTTTGATTATTTTTCATTTTTTCATTTTTTTCAAGTTTTTTACCAGTGAAAATTTTTTTTTTATTTTTTTGTAATGATTTTTTCAATAAAAAAAAATTATAAAAATTTTTAAATGTCGGCAAACTTAATTTTCATCAATATTTTTTCCATGGCGCTGTTGTAATGATTCACTATTCGTAGTAGTATAAGTAAAGGTTATATTTTCATTGATTATATACCTCTTATTTCAATGTTTGTGTATATTTACAAGCGACGCACATGTTGTTTACTTTGTAATTTCATTAAATCAGAATCAATGTATCTCAATTAACTGAATGTTTAAATTTTTAATTAATAATTTAAGAAAAAAAATAGTTGAATCATCTAAAATGTCATTTTCAAAAGAAACGAGATCACTGCGGTCTAATAAAAAAGAACCTAATGATGAAATAAAAATAAAAGATGAAGATTCTAAAGAGGAAATAGTTGTATCAAAATATTTTGTTGCTGAGGTTTTAGAACCACAAAAAAAATCGAAAAAAACAGCTGGAAAAAAACGTAAATCCATTGAAATAAAATATGAAGAAAATCAAAGTGTTGAAAATGCTGGACAAGAAAAAGAAAATAATGAATGGTTCCCGAAAAATTGGAAGGAAACGTGGAAATTAATAAAAGAAATGAGGAAAGATGCTACAGCACCTGTTGACGATAAAGGTTGTCACAGATGTTCTGACCCAAAAGCTGATCCACCTACATTCCGTTATCAAACTCTGACATCATTGATGCTAAGTAGTCAGACTAAAGATCAAGTAAATCATGCAGCTATGCAGCGTCTCAAAGATCATGGTTGTACACCTCAAAATCTTCTTGCGACATCAGATGAAGTTCTTGGCAAACTTATTTATCCAGTTAGTTTCTGGAAGGTAAATATCATCACGTAATTACTGTTCTTAACACAGAATTAATAATTAACACTAATGATACTTGAACTTTGCTATTGTACATTCTAAATGAATCGTTTATTTGAGAAACCCCATAAAATAAGTCATATTTTTTTCGAAATCAGGTTCATTGCATTTATGGGTTCTTTGAATTTCCCCTCACGTATACCAGCACCAAAAAATATATATTTATTTATTTACTCAAACGCCAATCGGCTTTATACATTAGATTTACATCAATTAAATTTAGTTATAGGTGAAAAAAAATAAAAGTAAAGTAAAAAAAAAGTATTAACATTTCAATAGAATTAAATTTAAATTAAATCAATTTCATTTACTTTATAAGTTTAAATTATTAGCATTACAAAAAAATATCTCTAAAGTAAGAGTAGTTATTACAAGATGAAATGAAATTGTACTTTTTAAGAAGCTAGTGGTTATTAGTTAGAAGCAGTCTTTTAACCGATGATACAAACGATCTGATCGAAGTGTCAAATAATTCCAGGTTTGAGCAATTATCATTGACTAGATTAGCGATCCTATTTCTCGGGCTATTATATATATTATAACTCTTGGTAGTTTTAATTGTCTCTATTATTCGATTTACTCTTAAGTTTGACCTAGGACAGATGATTCTTAATTGCTCAAGAATCTCTGGAGAGTCGATGTGCCCATTAATAATTTTGAAAGCAAAAATATTAAATCCGTGTTCAAGATCTAATCAATTGGTCGATACAAGTCTCGTATAGTTGAGAAACCTCATAAGTCAGTGACTTATGGGATTTTTTGAATAAACATTCAATTTCAAAATTCCAACAATAAGTTTTTTTTTTTTTAAATTTCTCCTGAGTAGAAAAAATTCAGTTCAGTGCAAAATACTTTAATTTTAATAATTTTCACATTATGAATTTAGAAAAATTAAATTAAATTATCACTTTAGTGTTTGATGTGATTTCACTGACTTTAATTTTAAAATGATTGATTATTAGATAATTAGAAATTAAATTTACTGTTAAATTCTTGAATTTTAATGAGTTTTACAATATTCGCTTAAAGGATTAAAATTAAAAATATATTGTTTTATTGTTGACTCTGATTTAACTGATTTAAATTCTGAAATTGATGACAATCAAATAAAAATACATCATATTTAAATACTTTGATTTAAATAAATTTCGCAATTTTAGTTTTATAAAGTTAGATTGTGATAAATTAAAATGTTTTATTGTTGACTCTCAGTTGACTAATTTGAATTTAAAAATAGATGATTTCGTTAATTGTAGTTCCAATACATATTTTGTACTTTATTTTATAAATACAATAAATGATTGACGGAGAAAAATTAATAAATTAATGATTTTATTACTATTTTGTTCAAATCAATTTTAAATCATTATTATTAATAGTAGTAATTAACAATTAAATTTTTTCATGCTTGAATCTTTTTTAGGGATTATTATTATTATTATTATTATTATTATTATTCATCATTGGTTTATGATGTTAATGCAAACTTAACGTTTATTTATAGAGAAAGGTGCAGTTCATAAAAAAAGTCGCCAAGATATTGATTGATTCTTACGGTGGAGATATTCCGAATAACATTGAAGAATTATGTGCTCTTCCTGGTGTCGGCCCTAAAATGGGACATCTTTGTATGCAAGTTGCCTGGAATAAAGTAACAGGTATAGGTGTTGATGTACACGTTCACAGAATTTGCAATCGTTTGGAATGGGTTAAAAAATATGCTAAAACGCCTGAAGAGTCAAGAAAACAATTAGAGTCATGGTTGCCGAGAGAATTGTGGATGGAAATAAATTATTTACTTGTTGGCTTTGGACAAGAAATTTGTTTGCCTCAACGTCCAAAGTGCGATCAATGTTTGAACAATAAACTTTGTCCTTTTGCTAAATCTAACAATAACACTAATAAAAAATCTAAGAAATAATGTACACTTGATTAATATTTATTTTTTTATACAAAATATAAATATAAAATAATAACAATTTATTCTTTACTTCGCGAGGATTTTTTGTTCTTTTTTTTACCTTTTACGGGCCTGCCTTTTACGCGCTCGCTTAATCGTTCTTTTCTAATTTTCTCTCTTATTGCCATTTTTCTGTTTTTAGATCGAAGTATTTTTTGTTTTCGTTGAAATATTACATTTTTTTTCATTTTTTGTAATGTTTCTTTTTGTACTACTCGCGATAATTCTTTTTTCGTTAGATGTAACCCATCACTTTGTTCCTCAACAAATTTAGGTTTAGTCTTAAGTTCCATACCGGGGACCGTAGTAGATTCTTCATCATCACTATCATCATTATCAATTACATCTTTTTCATAAGTTGGCTTATTTTCTCCTATCCAATTATCACTTTGTCTCAATTGATTTACATCCAGTTCCAATATACTAACTGTTTTTCCCTGCATCTCATATTTGTGTTCAGTTTGAGCGACCAGTTCTTCTAACTCAGGTATGTCACGTTGAGATACTAGTTTCTTTAAATTTTCTTTAGCCTAAAATTTTAAAATTTATTGTTAATTAAAACTCAAATATTTGACAGACAAAATTAAACTTGTCAGTGTTAAATTAATTTGTCAAATAAAAAATTAATATTATATAACGACATTAAAGATAGCAGTCACTTGATGATTTTTTAATTTTATTTAACAAAAATATTTTTCTCCAAAAATAATTTGATTTTTAATTTTTTTTAATTTCTACGTCAATTTTTTTTGTCATCATTTATTTGTTAAAAAAATTCTTAAAATGATTAAATATCTGCTAAATTAATTTTCGTTATTATATAGCACATAATTATTAATTAAAACTGTAATTAAAAAATCTTACTTCTCTTCTAATTCGTTTTTTTTCTTCCTTACATTGAGCTTCGAATTCTTCTTTTGCTTTTTGTATTCGTTGAAGTTTTCTTTTCCGAAATCCAGTTAAAAATTCTCTACAAAAAAAATATTATTAGTCTGAGTATATGAGTTAAAAAGATAATACTGAATTTAAAAGACATCTAAATTTTTTTAGATTTTTATAATAATTTAATTGTACTGAAAAAAATTAACCAAAAAAATTCTAGATATAGAAAATTAAAAAAATTATAATTGAGAATTTTTTTAATTATATTTTTTTATAAAAATTCTAAGAATTTTCATATGTCTGCTAATTTGAGTATCATGTTGAAAGCAAAAAAATAATTAATTGTGTACTTACTTTCGTTTTTCTTCATCAAATACTAGAGTAAATTTTTTCCTCTTTACTTTTTGACCTTTGTTCCTGTCAACATTTAGAAGCTGGGGAACAAATTTAAATCCTTGCCTTGAGGACATCTTTTTGTAAGATAAAGTCGTGTGTTTTCGAAGTGTTGGAAAAATAATAAAATTTTATAGGTTATACTCCTGTGGTGAGAAGATAATTAAAAGGAAGCGACTGGTCCTGACCTCTATAAGTATAAAATTTCTGTTTTATTTTTGAAAGATGAATAAAATATATTTATTCTTCTTGAATTTAAAATTATTATGACAAAAAAAATTAAAATGCAGTTAATAATAATTTTAAGGATTTTTCTGACTAAGTTAATAATTTTTAAGGTAATAATAATTTTCAGATTTTTCTAGTTTATTTCATAAATTATTTATCATCAAAATTTATTTTTTACTTTATAAATGCCAGCGACTTAGGAATTTTTCAAATAGCTCATCTCTCATGCGTTTCTTTATAAATTATTTTCAACAATAAAATTTAATCAACTATTTTCTTTTATAGAATTTATTTTTACAGGCTTATATCAATTGCATCGAAAATAGTCACAAACCGCGACGACAATGCTATTGTGCAGGTAACATACAGTATACAACTATGATAGAGATTTCAGCAAAAAAATATTTTTTGTTTTTACATTATCTTTTTCACAATACTATGGATCTTAAGACTATTATACATTTTTAAAGCTAATTTTTGTCAGAGTAAATTAATAAAATTATCGCTTTAAATTGCTGTTTGAAATTAATCAATTGCTTGACACCATCCAGGACCATGCCATTGCCCGGGCATTTTATACAAGCCACAAGTGTCACAAAAAGCATCAACCTAAAATAAAAACCAGCCATTAGTAACCGAACATGAAAAATAATAATAGCATACACTCCTCAGGAAGAAAATAAAAAAGCCTTAGATCACATATTTGTTGACCTCGGCTTCGCCTCGGCCAACAATTACATGTTATCTGAGACATTTCTTACTTTACTTCCCTCGGTGCTTAATATACTATTACTTCAACTTGATTTCAATTACCGGAATCCCGTTTGCTGAGTGCTGAGGAACAGCTGCTGGATTAGGTCCATTCAATCGTTGCAATAAATTTTGATTATGATCTCGCAATTTACCTAGCTGATCTGTAAGATGCTCTCGTTCGCGGATCAGCTCCTGTTTAGTGCGTTTTTCTTCTTCAAAATCACTTTCGTAGAGTTCAAGTTGTTGTCGTAAATGACCAATCATATCAATCTATACATTAAAAAAAATTTTGTAAGACTATTTTCAGTAAATTACTTACTTATGTATAAATTACAAAGACTTTTTTTTCGTTTTTTCATTAATTAAATTCTAATTAATTTTTTATTTTTAAATTAATGTTATTTAATTTTAAATACTTTCTATTGATGTATATTGCCGATAGGCGCATGTTGATTAATACATAAATAAATTAAACAAAAAAAAATACTCACGTCATCTTTAGAAATTTCAAAACGGGCTTTAACACCTTCGACTTCAATATTTTTCATTTTAAGTTCTTCCTTCAGTTTTGTATTCTCTAACAACATTTCGTCATGACGTTTTTGTAAAACCTTCATGTCATCTTGAAGAGTTCTCATTTGCGCCTCATACAGCATACTTTGAAAATTAATTGATGATTTTTCTTCACTCAGATTCGTTTTTTCTTGTTCCAGAATCATTCGTTCAGCCATATAATTTTTTCGTTCAAGTGATAATTGATTTTTTTCATCTTCTAACATTTTTAAGTTTCTTGTAATTTCATTTTTTTCCTTTTCAAAATTATATTTCACCTCTGCAGGCTTCATATTTTCATCACGAAGTATTTCTAACTCATGAAGTGTAGAATTGTAATCCGAAAAAATTATCTGAAATTCATTTTGTGCTTTAATTAAATTTTGGCGATAAGAAATATTCTTTATCTGCTCATCAACCAAGCTTCTTCGGCAATTTTCCAAAATTTCTTTACAAGATCCAATTGTTTCAACAGATAAATTCATGCTGTCAATATTATCTAACAATAATTCGCAAGTATCAGTACAACGTTTCAAGTAATCTTGAATATTAATAAAGTGAGAAGTTTGTTCTCCGTAGCACTTAGCTAAAATACTTAGCTTTTCATTGTAATGATTAAAGTGCTGAAAGAATTTTTTATAGTTTTCATCTTGTGATTTTTCTGGAATTGCGTTATTTTCTGGATTGAGTTGAAGAGAAATAAATGCATTTTCGTTCAATAAACGTAGTTGTTCTTTGAGCGATGTTATTATTTCTTGTTGATAATGCATATCTCGTTCGTAACGGTCTTTATTTTTTGCCATTTGTTCGAGGTCTGTTGAATTTTCTTTCGGAAGTTCTTTAAGACTAAAATCCTTAGAGTTTTGATTAGCTGAATCTGTGATATGTGAATTACTGCAATGATTTTGATTTTCAATTGAAAAGTTTTGATTTTCGATTGAAAGATTTTTTTTCTCCTGATTGATTGAATTTCCAGCCTAAAGTATTTAAAAAAATTAATAAAAATCAAAGGATTAAAACAAATAAAATTTTAAATTAGATCTACCTGTTCTAATGTTAAAGATGATGTCATTGAAGATTCTAAGTCAGATATTTTCATCTTCAACTCAGAATGTTCTTTCTGTAGAAGCGAGATTGCTTCAAAACTTTTAGCTAAGCTCTCAGTGCTAAAATCGTTTAATAGACTGAATTCAATCGAATTTATGTGGATAGAACTGGCATTGTCATTTTCTTTAAGTCCAGATGTTTTTGATAAATTATTCTGTAATATTTATTTATTTAACGCCAAGTGGCAATATACATAAAGATATAAAATATAGAATATTAAATTTATCAAATAAATTTAATCAAGATATAACATTACATGATGGTGAAGGGAACAGATAAAAAAAAATTCTGAAATTCTAAGATATATAATTGCAATAGGTGGGGAAATAACAGAATTAAAAAAAGAGATTTTTATATTTATTTGTGTTCTGATTGGATTAAGAGATGCTTCTTGGCATATTGATAGACCGATTAAAAGTATTCCGAATTAGAATATTTTATAAAATAAATTAAGGTAAAAGATCCAGTTATTGGCACTGGCCTAGTTGATTGACACTTGCAATTATATTCTAATTAAATAAATAAAATGTTCTCAAAAAACTAATTATCTTAAAATTTATAATTCAGAAATTATATTTATTAATTTATTAGAGTCGATTTGTTTTATTTAATTACAATAAAATTGCAAGTGTCAATAACTAGGTCTTTTATCTTAAACATTTATAAAATTTGAACAACAATAAGTAATTATTATATATAACTAACCTGTTCCAGTGAAAACGATGATGTCATCATTGATTTCATATCAGTAAATTTATTTTTTACATCTGTATCATCTTTTGATATCATGTCGGTGTTATTTGTATCATCTTTAGAGTTACAATCTTGAATATCGGATGTAAGCGAATTTTTTATAATAGAATTATTGATTGCGTCCGTATCAACATTTTTCATCGATAAATTATTTCCAAATTCTTGTTTTTGAAAAGAATTTTCAGGCTGAAACAATTAAAATATTTTTCCTGATTAGAAAAAGAGATTTGAAAAGATTCGAAATGGTTCAAAGCGATTAAAAAAGATTCAACTTGATAAATATATAGATATACATTTTGCATGGCTTGAATCGTTTTAAATTTTTTTTAAAACATAAAATTCAATTAATTAATTAATAATTGATAATGAAACTAACAATTGAAAATTGTGACGTTAACATTGACTCTGTAGCTGTAAGTTTATTCTTCAATTCGGCGTTTTCTTTTTTTAATAGTGATATCATGTCACATGTCTCTGAAAATTTTTGTTTATGACTGCCGTGTACTTTCATTAGTTCATTTTGCCAACTGACCAAGGTGTTGAAATGTTTTTTCATCGAATCATTATTTCTGGTCAAAGTTTCTTTTAATTCAACGTTTTCTTTCATCAGCTTACCGACTTTCAGTTCAATTTCTTCTTGACTCAATGTTGAAACTATTGAACTTGGTTCCTAAATTTATTAAATTATATTAATACATATCTCAAGTATTTATGATACTGATACAAGCAGACGTTTCAAAATTTTTTGATTTTTTTCATTAATTAAATTAGAACTGAAAAAATATTTTTAAAAAATTGCATTTGTAGTTTTTAAATTTTTCTACAGGTGAAATTTTTATTTTTATTTTCTTGTAATCATTTTTTTAATAAGAAGAATCATAAAAATAGTTAGATGTCTGCTGAATTCAGTGTCATTATTATTTATCTAAAATTATAATGATTACTCACAACATTCAAGCTCTTTTTTTTTATTTCTTCATAATCAGCCAATGAAGTTAAATTAACAAAATCCATTGAGCTTTTACCAAGCACAACAAATGACGTTTCATCGTCATCATCGTCACAATTTAAATTATTTTGATAAGGTATATTAACTGTAGAGTAAGACGGTTCGTTTAGTCTGAATTTCGGCTTACCATCATCGAATTGTAAATTGAGACTGTCAAATAAACTTTTAGCCATTGAATTATTCAATAGTTCAAGCTTCGGATCGTCCGTTGAAGAATTGCGTGTTAATTCTGACATGATGCTATAACCTTATATATATTGCCTCTTGTAGAAATAAAAAAAAAAAAATAATTCACCAAACTTGATTTCTAAAGTTTTAAAATCAACGTAATTCTCCAATTCTTCAAAAATGTTACATTGGTAAAAATTATGAAACAATTTTTAACAGCGTCTGAGTTTTTTAATTGCGTGTTTTGGTCATGATCAATCAATGGCAATTGATGGAATGACTTTACTGTATTAAAATATATATACTATGCGCGACAATTCGGAGACAGTTCATTCCGGTTGGTATTTTTTTAGCATCAATAACATTTATTTTTAGAAATTTTTCTATTCCTATTAATTAAATATATGGTAATTTATGAAAATTTTTTCAATATTAGATAATATTTATACATAATACTTATTTAAAAAATATAAATGCTAAAATGTCATCTGAGAAAATTGAAAATTGCTGTAGTGATAAAATTATACATCTGGTGAACTGGAAAAATGAAAGACCCTATTCTTACAAACTAGAAATTTAAAATACGCGCCGTAATTTTAACCAATAAGAAAACGTGTAATTTATTTCAATTATTTTGATATTTAATAATTTTAACTTAATTATTAATTTTATATTACTGGATAGGATATTTTTAAAATAATTTCTGTTTAGATAGAAGTTGAATTTTTTTTTAATTTATTCTCAGATAATTTCTGTTTGACTAACAAAACACTCTAATTTCAAAGAGCTATTTTTAATTGCTTCATAATGTGAATTTTACAATCATTAATTAACACCCTCGTAATTTCATATACGATCGCAAATTTATTATTAACTACTAATATCTAAGGTGAAAGACCCAGTTATTGACACTTGCAATATTATTTTAATTAAAAAAATAAATCAACTCCGATAAATTAATAAATATAATATTTTAAGATGATTGGTTTTTTGAGAAAAATTTATTTTTTTTAATAGATTAAAATTGCAGGTGTCAAACAATTAGGCCAGTGTGAATAACTGAGTCTTTTACCTTATGCCATAAAAGAATTCCTAACAATTTAAATTATGCTGAAATTGAGAGAAATCTGACAATTTTTTTGATAAATAAATTTAATACTAAAAAAAAATCATCTAATAATTTAAATCTTTAGAAGCTCTGAAAAATTATAAATGCAATTTTTTAGACCTAGTATATTTCTTAAGAAAAATAAAAAAAATTCTCGAGTATCTGCTAATTGCAGTGTCATCAATTTAATAATAATTATCTAAATCTATTTAATTTGAATCATTAAAATTATTCAATTACATTTTAATATTTAAATAAATTGTAAAGTTCATACTTACTTTTAAAAGTTATAATTAATAAAACTGATTTAAATAAAAAATAAAATAAATAATTAAGGAAATGAAGATACAGGATCTTAAAAATAAAGTAACTACCTGAGAAATAAATGAACAACAATTAAGATAATGTATAATAAAGACTGGTGTTTTTATTTACTTCAATGGAATAAAACGCGAGCTGTGAGTCGCACCAATACCTGGACGACCGTGTTTGACAGGTTTGTAAGTGACAGAGAATTCACCCAAGTAATGTCCAATCATCTCAGGCTTGATTTCAACTTGGTTGAAAGTTTTACCGTTGTAAATACCAACGATTGAACCAACCATCTCTGGGACGATGATCATGTTTCTCAAGTGAGTCTTGACGATCTCTGGCTTTTCATTTGGTGGAGCCTCCTTCTTAGCTTTACGCAATTTCTTGACTAAAGCCATTGGTTTGCGCTTCAATCCATGGGAGAAACGTCTTCTAGCCCGGCAGTGGAACAATTCCATCAACTGCTCACTAGAAAATAACAAAACATTGAATGTCTATCCAACACTGAAATCCATGTGGCTCACGATTTTTTTTTTTTAAGGTTATGTTAATTGACAAGGAATAAAACTTACTTGGGCATGTCCAGGAGTTGGTCAAGGTCGACTCCTCGGAAGGTGAACTTCCTGAAGGTCCTCTTCTTCTTCAGAGTTTCTTCTCCCTGTTATTAACATTATTATTTTAGTGTTTTATTTAAAATATTGACAAAATTTAATGGAAATAATAATTAAAAAATATTTCAAAACAACACATAAAAATATATCGATTTTTGAGAATGTTAATTTTTCAAAGATTGTTTTATTATAACCAGATTAATTAGTTTTAAATAAAATATAAAATACTAACGTCAGCCATTATTATGCTATTCACTTGGTCGATCGAACGAAAAGAGCGGATACTAAAATTTAATAGAAAGGGAAGCTTAAGGTATAGTAGGGATAAAAGTATACTTCAGTCTGAAAATATAATTAGATACAGCGCCTCTAGCGCTAATAATAAAAATTATTTTTGAATAATTTATAATTATAATTATTTAATTTCAATTTAATCATTATGAAAATTAATTTAGCAGATATTTAATAATAATTTTTAGAACTTTTGTTAACAAATTAATTATGGCAAAAAAAAATTGACATGTAGAAATTAAAAAAAATTAAAAATGCAATTTTTTAGAATTAATTTAATTGTTAAATAAAATTAAAAATTTGTCAAGTGACAGCTAACTTTAATGTCATTTAATCATTTAATTAATAAATATATAATAATAAAGTTAGCCGACATTTTTTATTTTTTGATTTTGTTTAGTTTATTAAATTACAACTACAAAAAATTTTTTTTTTAATTGCACTTACAGTTTTCCAAATTTTTTACAAATAAAATGAAAAAAAAAATTTTTTGTAATTTTTTCAATAAAAAAAAATTCTAAAAATTTTTAAATATCGGCTAACTTTATTGTCATAATAAATATTTGTACTTACATCAGTTAATAATTATTATTATATTTGATTTTTTTAAAAAATTTGTAAAAAACTTGAAAAACTGTAAGTGAAATTTTTTTAAAATCTTTTTTTAGTTTTAATTTAATAATTAAAAAAAAATTAAAAACGTCGGCTAACTTTAGTGTCATTAATCGCCGTAAGGGAGCATCTCAGTTGCACTGAGTTCAACGAAATTATTACTATTATTATTAAAATCCATATGCGCGGCAACTATAGAACTTTGGTACGTTACAAATCTTGCATCTCACTTTAGCTTTCATTCAATAACAAGTTTGTGTTACTCTCGTGTAAATGAGCAAGAGAGATGAATAGCAAGCTGAAGACGAACCCCTTAACCGGAGGTTAGAAATTTAAAAAGTAACCGGTGCATAACTGAAAAATCAGAGTCTAGTGTCAAAGGCCATTGCATTAATAATAGGCCAGAGTGTGTGATGTCTGTAACGTTTTTAATAAATTTTTGACGAAGTTACATATTTTTTTATACTTATTACACTTTTATTTATTTGTTAATAGTTATTTTTCAAGTGATTTAAATTAATATATATTTTAAAATGGAGCACTGGAGTAAAATAATAGTAGAATGGGTGAGTACTTTGATAAATAAATTAATTGCTGTCTTAATAGCGTCCATAATTTATGACAATAAAGTTAGCCGACATCTAAAAATTTTTATGATTTTTTTTATTAATGATTTATTACAAAAAAATTTTTTTTCATTTGTTGACTTCAAAAACTATAAGTGCAATTTTTTTTTTAATATTTTTTAGTTAATAAAAAAATCAAATCGGCTAGCTTTATTATTATGCATAATTTTAGTTATAAATCTAAAATTAATTTTAGGTCAACTGTTTAAATCTTAATGAAACTCCATTAAAAGAAATTCAACAACTTCAAGATAATTCAACTATTTATGGCAAAATCATTCAGCAACTGTATGTAATTTTTTTTAAACTAATTTTTCGTTAATTTTTATGAAAATGAAGTTAGCTGACATTTAAAAATTTTTAGAAATTTTTTATTGAAGAAATTTCAATTAAACAATTAAAAAAAAAAATTTCACATGTAAAAAACTTGAAAAACTACAAGTGCAATTTTTTAGAAATATTTTTTTAGTTGTAATTTAATTTAAAAAAAAATCAAAAATTTTTTTTTATTGAAAAAATTACCAAAAAAAAAAATTTCATTTATAAAAAACTTAAAAAACTATGAGTGCAATTTTAAAAAAATATTTTTCCATTATAAATTAATTATTAAAAAAAATCAAAAAATTAAAAACGTCGGCTAACTTTAGTATTATACTTCAGTGTCATTAATTTTTAATAAGTATTTGTTTTTTTTTTTTTTTTTTTCTTAGGAAAGCACCTAATGAAGTAAAAAATGTAAATTTATGTTGTGATATATCAAAATTTATTGAAGAAGAATATCCCGATTTTATAATTAACAAAAATGACGACGATGATGTTATATCCGAACATATATATCAAATGTCTCTTCTGTTATTGAGTGCCTCACAAAAAGTGACTTTTCACCGACCTATGTACTCATTAAAAAATGATTCGCAACTAACAATAAAAAAATTTTTAGAACTACTTTTGCCGTATGGAAAAGGATTAACATTCGATACGATCCGTGAAAGCATAGTAGAATTAGGAGATACAATTCCACAAACTCCTCCAAAGACACCGAAAGACCGACCGTTGAAAAATTATTTAACATCTCCAGCAGCGCAATCTGCTTATCGTCACAAAATGTTAAATGAACGTAATCGCGAGTTAAGGCTGTTAAAAGCTCAGCTGGAAACTGAACTTTTTGAAAAGGTAGACTTGCAGGGAGATATTAAAATCTTAGAAGACAAAGTTAAAAATTTACAAAAACAGTTATCTCAAAAAACAGAAGAGCTGAAGAGACTCAGGATAGAACAGGCAAGTCCAAGAACTCCACAGTCTGCGAGAAAGAATAAAAATAATCAAAATATAGAGGAGCATTTAAAAAAAGAAATTCAAAATGTCGAAGCGTATAATTTAAAACTCACGACAGAGTTGAATAAAATTGAGGATGAGCATGAAAGTTTAAAACGTCGTTTGGCATCTAAAGAACGTCTTGCTGCTACTTTGAAGGAGAAAGCTGAAGAATTTGAACGGGGGATGGAATCTTTGTCAATACAATTGGAAGTCAAGACTAATGAATTGTTAGATTTGAGGATGCAAAATGAAGAACTCCGAGGTCACATCAAGGGTATGCAAAGATACTCAACTGATGCTGAACAGAGTTTTGAAATGGACAATGTTGTTCATGCCGGGTCACCAGCTGTTGGGTTGAATATCAGTGAAGCTGCCAGTTCTATTATTGACATTCAGTTAAAAGAAGCGAATGAAGAATCTGCTAGGCTAAAAGACGAGTTAGAGTGTATTAAAAATCAATTGGAAGAAGCTTTGCAGGAGTGTCAAGAATTTAAATCTCTCAACGATGTTTTAAATGAAAAAGTATTAAATTTCGACGAAACTAAAATGGCTTTAGAAATTACAGAAGATAAATTAGAAAAACGACAATGCCAAATTAATATTATGGAGATGGAAAGAAAGACTCTGCAAGATGAAATTGAAAAACACAAAAAAATTATTGCTACTCAAGAAATCACTTTGAAAGAAACTCAAGAATTAAAGGAAAAATTAGAATCTAATGTATCTTCTATTGAAAAAGAATTAAATAGATTGAAGATATCTTTAGTTACCACAGAAGACACTTTGGCGCAGACTATTACCACTAAAGAAGTTTTAGTAATGCAGTTAAGTACAGCTGAAAATAAAATAAAAAGCCTGAAAGATGCTATAAATGATGCGAATAAAGAATACCAAGAGTTAACCCAGGATTTAGAATATAAAGTTAATAATTTAGAAGAGAATATCAATAGACACTTGGAGCATAATCTTCAGCTTGAAAAAATTGTTGATCAATTAAACAAAGATTTAAATGACTTACATAAAGAATTTGATAATAAAAATTTAACTGTAAATTCGTTAAATGACAAAGTTGTTCAATTAGAGGCAACGATTGTTGATTATTCTGATAACAAACAACAGCTAGAAGAAATTATTACGCAAAAAGAAGAAGAGATAAATAAATTGAATCAAATTTTTGATAATAAAAACCTGACTTTAGATTCTTTGAATGCCAAATTATTGAATAAGGAAGAAGATATTGAAAGGTATGTTGAAATTAAAAAAGAACTTGAGGAGACTGTTGAACAACAAGCTTGTGATTTAAAAAAATTGAGTAAAGAAATTGACGATAAAAATTTAATAGTTGACTCTTTGAATAATAAAGTAGCGGAGCTTGAAAAAATAATTGAAAATGATTCTGAAATTAAAATTAAACTTGAAAATATTATTCAAGATCAAAAACAAGATTTGATTCAAGTTAATGGAATAGTTGATGAGAAAAACTTGACCATTGAATCTTTACAAGTAAAGCAGTCGGAGTTGGAAAAAACAATTTGTAAAAATTCTGAAGATAAACAACAACTTGAAAATGCAATTGAATATCAAAAGGAAAATTTAATTAAATTAAAAGATGAACTTGACAATAAAAATTTAATTATTGATTCTTTAAATACTACACTGTTACAATTGGAGCAAAGTATTGTTATGTATTCTGAGGAAAAACGAGAGCTTAAGAAAATAATTGTTGACACAAATGAAGACACGCGTAAATTAACTCGGGATTTGGAAAGTAAAAATTCAACGATAGATTCATTGAATGCTAAAATCTTGGAACTTGAAGCCTCTGTTGATAAATATTCTGATAAAGATAAATTACAATTTGAAGAAACTATTGAAAAATATAAGAAGGATACTGTTAAATTTAATGAACAGATTTCTGATAAAAATTTAATGATTGATTCATTGAATTCTAAGCTGGTGCATTTGGAGAATGAGATTGGAATACATTTACAAGAAAAACAGAAACTTTCTGAAGCTAATCAAGAACAAAATAAGGATTTAATGAAATTAACAACAGAACTTGATGATAAAAATCAACTTATGAATTCAATGAGTATTAAATTGTCAGAATTAGAAGAAAATATTGCATTAATTTCGAGTGAAAAACAATTACTTGAAAAATCAATCGATATTTTAAATGGGGATTTGGTGAATCTGAATATTGAAATAGATAATAAAAATTCATCAATAGATTCAATGAGTAACAAAATTTTGGAATCAGAAAATATTATTAGCAATAACTCGGATGAAAAAAGACAACTTGAAGCGATTGTTGAGAAGCTTAATGATGATATTGTTGATTTAAATACGAACATTGAAAATAAAAACTTAGCTCTTGATTCTCTTAATATTGTGCTGTCGGAAACAAAGGATACTATCGCAAGGTATTTGGAAGAGAAACAACAGCTTGAAGAGGATAATCAGCAACAAAAGAATGAGTTGATAAATTTGAATATGGAACTTAAAGAACGACAGTCAACAATCGAGTCAATGAATAATAAATTTTCACAACTGGAAGATGTCATCACCGTGCATTTGAATGAAAAACAAGATTTACAAAACACTGTAGAGCAGCTAAAAAGTCAACAGATTAAATTAAATGAGAAAATTGAAGCCAAACAATCTACAATAAAATTACTGAACAATAAATTGTTACACCTTGAAGATATTAATGCAACATTTTCACAAGAGCAACTACGACTGCAAAATAGTTTGGAGGAACAGAAAAATGATTTGATGGAATTAAATAAGAAATTAGAAGACAAAAATTCGAATATTGATTTGTTAAATCTTAAGATTTCAGAAATGGAATCTAAATTGAGTTTTAATGAATCAGCACTTAAAGAAGCCGAGACAAAAATATGTGAATTAAATGAACTCCGAGAAGAACTTCAGAGCCAGCTGGTGCAAGAACAAAAAAATAAATTAATTTGTATGGATGAAAAACATAGTTTAGAAATAAAACTGGACGAGTTATTAAAATCTGAGGAAAAAAAATCAATTGTTGCGCAAGAAAAAATTCAAGAGTTAAATTCTCGGTGTGAAAAATTAAATTCGGAACTTACTGTTACATATTCTAAAATTTCTGAGCAAGATGACGTGATACAAAAAATAATAACAGAACGTGATTTATTACAAAGTAAATTAGATGAAGTGGAAAAGGATTTAGAGAGTCAAAAAGAAGAGTTGAAAATTACAGTATTGAATATTGAAGAACTAAAACAAACTCATGAGCGGGCAATTAGTAATTGTCAAGAACGTGAGGATGCTTCTCGTGAACTTCTTAACTCTGTTGAAAAAAAACTTTTGGCTACACAAAATGCATGTGAAACGCTTAAACTTGACAAAAAAATCCAAGAAGAATCACTTGCTGTTCTTAATGCTAAATTAGAACAACAAACTAAAGAAAAAATTGAGTCTGAATTGAAAATGAAGGAGGTGATTGTTAATTTGCAAGAAGTTAGAACGGGTCAAGAAGCAGTATTAGATGCGCAATCTAAAGCTCTTGCTGATAAAGTTGCGGAATTAGATGCTATGAAAAAGGAATTTGTTAAAGTTAAAGAAAATCTGGAGTTGAAAATTTATGAACAGAAGATACAGGGTGAAGAAAAATCAAATGAATGTATTGTTTTAAAAGAGAATAATGAAAGATATCTTAAAGAGAAACAAGAGCTTGAATCTAAGTTGAGTGAAGTAAATAATGTAATAATAAAATTGAAAGAAGATTATGAAAGGTTGCAAAATGAATTTAAAGAAAAATTAAAGACTACTGAAGCTATTATTAAGACTAAAACGGAAAATAATGAACAACTGTCGAATCAACTGAGTTTTGTAGAAATTGAAAGTAATACACGCAATGAATATTTGTCTCGGCTAGTTCGAGAGAAGAATAAATTACAAGCTATGCTTGATAATGTAATTGCTAGTCGTAATAATTTAGAAGAAAGTTTGGAGAGTATTCACAAATCTTGGGATGACACTTTAAATAAAGTTCAACATATATTCAGTAAAAATAGTTCGGCTTGCGATGAATTGAAGCATTTGGAAGCACAAAAAAAAGAATTGAAAAAATTGTTGAGTGATATTAATGATCGTCAATCTAAAACTTCAAAACCTCTTATTAAAGTTCTTTGTTGGATACCCTCGTGGTTTGAACAAAAGTTGGATGGAATTAAAAATGTTGGTGTTAAAAAAGAAATAAATGAGACTGATGATACTTTAGCAGACGAGCAATTAATTTTGGAAGCTGAAATTCAGAAAAATGAATCAATATTTAAAGAGTTGAATGTTTTGCAAAATAAAATAGATGAGTTTTTGGATGCCTCGATGACTTATGAGTCAAATATAAAATCTGGTATTCTAAAACGCGAGCCGAGTGCTGAAGAAAAATTACAGATGCAATTGGAGAAGATAACTAAAGAGAAAAAAGATATGAAAGAAAAATTAGATGCTGCTCGGGTGAGAAATGCCAAGATGGAAAAAAATATCGACGAGTTAAGGAATGAAAATCGAAAAATTAAAGCCGAGGTATTGACATCTTCTTCAGATAACAAACCGGAAGTAGAACGTTTGACAAAATTAACTGAACAGTTGGAACAACAAATTGAAATTTTTAAAAAAGAAAAAGAAGAGTTGGAGAATAAATTAAAGAACGATGATTTTGATGCTAGACTTAAAGAGGTACACCATGAGTATGGATTGAAATTGGAGAAATTGAAGCAAAAGATGAAAGTAGCGTACAATGAACAGGTCAGTAAGCTTCAAGTTGAGCAGGACCAGGCGATGTCTGAGAAGATAGCGGCCCTGAAGGCCAAGATGGAACAACAATGTAAGAAATATTCTGAAGATATTGCGAGGTACAAAGCTCATGTCAGTGATTTATCATCACAGTTTTGGAATGTCGGCGAGAGACTTTTAGCAGAGCAACAAGAAAAAGAGACTGTTCAGCAACATCTTTGTGAACTGCAAAAAAAATATCAGTCGGCAATGCATGACGCCAACCAATCGCTTGCTTTAGCTCACAGCCAAATAAGTTCATCGACTTTGGATAGAGATTTTAGTTATGACCGATCGGATGTCCCACGACAAAGCTTCCGAGCGGTTCAACTTATTGAGGAAGAGACAACTACTACACGGAGACACAGTGTTAAAAGTATTCAAGCTATGGGGAATGCTTTCAGTGTTGAAGATGAAGAGGGCGAGGTCTTTAATAATGACTTCTTAACAGACTTGAAAGAAGGGAAATTCCGCACTACTGAACAACCACCTGATTTTGATAGACTGTCTGAATTGCGGATGAGGAATTCATTATGTCGGCCTCATCTTAGATCTTCTTATGCTGTTGAGACTAATTTCCATCCATTTGCTATTACTGAAGAAGATATCAAGGTAAGTTTTACATTTTGGTGCATACGTAGTTGATTCATGGATTGGAAAATAATGAAAAACTAGCAACCTTGCAATCACTATGTGACTTGTGAACTATAAATAAATCAAATTTTGCTTTATTAAATAATGACTTTTGTTAAATCGTACTGTACTTTCTTAAATATTGACATTTTTAAAGATATAAGCTCATCCCGATGTTACACTCATCAAAAGCTTTCATTTGAGTACCCACATGAATTTTGATATATTTTTCATATATACATATATATATAATATATATGAAATATATGAAAAATTGATGTTGGTACTCAAATGAAAGGTCTCGATGAATGTGATATCAGAATGAGCTTATATCTTTAAAAATGTCGATAGTTCACAAGACACAAGGTAATTTCTTAATTATGTATCTAGAGATAGAGCATTTTCGAATACATCCTAAATACTTATCATGATAAATTGACTATCGGTGAGAATGATATGAAACCTTGAAAAGGCACAAATTTAAATCAAGATCTTTGCAATTACACCAAATTTCACTAGAAAAATCGACAAAATTTTTCTTATTCTTTTAATAATATAGATTAACTTTATTTTTACCATAGAGCGGTCCAACCAACGATGAAACATTCAATGATAGCCTCAGTCAAAGTCTTCTTCCAGGCCAAAAAGCTAAAAAGAAGGATAGAACACAAGTAAGTATTCTTCAATTAGATGATTATGTATTTGTTCTATTATTTATGTATTTGGTGAATTGTTTTTGTCTATTGTTTCAAATTATAGACGTCTTATAAAAGACCTGGTCCTCCTACTCCAAGTAAAAATGGTGGTAGATTGTCACTCCAGGTAAATTAAATGGAAAAGTTGTATTATAGTCTTTGTATTTAATTATTTGTTTTTTAATAATCATTAATCATCAAAGGTATGTTATGTTATCATGTGGTGTATGTGTTTATAGGGTAATGAATTAAAGAGTCCGAATTCGAGAATACTTCGAGATAGAAACAGCGAAAGACGTACTACAACAACTCCAAAACGATTAAAAGACTTCTTTTCAACTTCATTGTCAAGACGCCAAGATGAGGTGAGAATAAGAAGTAACAACCCTCGGAAATGCATGGCATCTTTGTGTATCCTCTTCTTCCTTACCTTGATCCTTAATTTTCCTATTGAATTTATGGAATTGACTCTTGGAATATTTGTTTACGTATTGTGATTATTGTTACTACTTTATACAATTTTCATTTTCATTATCAAATATTTTGTAGTAAAAAATGTTTTTTTTTTTTTACACTTTCAGAACACACCGGCTACTCCGAAAGGTCGCAGGCTAAGCAGCATTTTTCGTAAACCACGAGCCGCAGAAAAAAATTAAAAATACTTGTTTGAAAATATAATTTGTTGCATTGATTATTTATGTTTGTTAAAAAATAATTTAAATGAAAAATTCAATTTCTTACAATTATGTTTTAATTATAGTTGATAATATTTTTATAGTTATAATTTATTATTATTATTTATTAGTAGTCCAGAAAAAAAAAAATATTTGTTCGGGAAATTTATATTAGTTATCCACGATAACAATTATCTTTTTTCCTCAAAATAAAATGAAATAAAAATAAAATATAAAAAAGCATTTTAGTAACAAAATAATTAATATTATTTTTATGGATTTTTTAAATCTTCTTATTCACTTATCACTATTCTCTTCCTACTCGGAATCAGATTCCTGAAAAAAAAAAAAAAAAGAAAAATAATAATATTAATAAAATAATAAGACTTAATTTAAAAAAATAATTATAAAATTTAATTAAACATCAAGAAAAACATACCATGTATTGACCTGGCGCATATCTTCCAGAATTTCTGGCCGTTCTTCGAAGTTCTCGTGGCTCTTGTTGGTCCTGACTGCGTCGTCTTTTTGCAAAATTAAAATTTATTATTCGTTACATCTAATAATGAAGCATAAGATGAAATACCCCATTAGTGGGCACTTTTTTTTTCAATGAAAAAATGTTCTACTTATAATAAAAATTAAAAATTTTTTTGATCTAAAGGTCTTAAAAATTATAAATTATATATTCATAATAATGATTTCATTAATTAATATAAGTACCAAAATCAAAGAAAGTATCAGTAATGAGATCTCCACCACTAATGGGATCTTTTACCCAGTTAATAAATTGAATAAAATGACATACCCTGCTCTATTTTGTATTTGCAATGTTTTAAATCTGTCATCAACATCTTGTGACGGACTAGCAGTGTCTTCAATCGTTGGTATCGGTGAGGCTGGAGTAACTGGAGGTATATCACTATTATCAAAAAAGCTAGCTGCTTTTGTTTTTGAAATAGTAGTTTTTGTAATGCTGAGTCTGAGAATCAATAAAAAATCATCTGTGGATTTTTTAATAGTATAAAAAAAAAAAAAAAAAATAAATATAAATATAAAACACTTACGGAGATTTTTTAGGCTGCCTTTTCTTTTTCTGCTTGCTAAAAGGAAAGTTAAAAGTCGCTTAAAGTTTAGACTAGCAATAAAGGATTGAGGAGCAGTAGGGTAAATCAGGGGGTTTCGCATTAATTAACATCATTGTTTTAATCTATTAAACCAATTTGTATTGTCGACACACCAAAATACAATTTTCTTTTGTAATTTTAATAATTATGCAAAAAATATCGTTTTTCTTTTTATGCATACATGGTATACAATAATTTAGGATGTCAATATAATAATTTTTAGAAAAAAAGATTTCGAGATTTTACCGAAACAAAAAAAAAAATAAAATATAAAAAAAATCCCGCAGTTGAGCATCCCCTGTAGTATCCCCTAATGCTCCATTGTAACTTTCAACTACGGGTACTTTTTTCAGGGTAAAAAGATCAGACTGTTTTCGACGAGCCGGTGCAGGAGGGGCCAGAATTCAAGTCATCGATTCCTGAAAAATTATATCCATGGTTTCCTTGATAATGATGATAATTATTAATTAAAAACGTTGTGAATGTTTTGGTGTTGAACCCTCTTGCACTGAGCCATCGATTTATGACATGATGAGAAGCGATACTCGCGAATCGTAGTGCATTTTTAATTTTTTATTATGTTAACAGAATAATAATAAAAATAATTTTTTTTTTTTTTTAACACAAAATTTCAAGCACACAGCGTAATAAATGATACTAATGATGGATTATTAATAAATGAAAAGCAAATATATGAGTGAGTACAGGTTATTAATAACTAAAGCATACAATAATTAAATAAAATAAAATAAAATAAATTGAACATAATGGTTAAAGATGCTAACATTAAATCAAGTAATCAAACTCACCCCACGAATTCATGATCTGAAACATCATCAGCTTCTTCTGGTTCTTCTTCTTCTGTAATTTTAAGTAATTATTTTTCTATTAAAATATTTAAAGAACAAAAAAATAAAATAAACATAAAAAAAATACAAACCTGCTAACTGATCCTTTTTACGTCTTGTATAAGCTCGCTTACTCGTTACAGGTACCTGATCTGTTTCTCCGTGCAATAAACTGTTTCGGTATAATAAAAGTGGCTGCCAGTCTTCTCCACGTGAGGAAGGCATTCCAGCAGGTAATCTTTTATCCAAGAAATTCAATCTACAACAGTAATAATAAAAATTAATACTTTTTAAAATCAAAATATTAATAATACAATATAATTAAGGCAAAAGGCCCAGTTATTGATACTGGCCTAATTATTGACACTTACAATTTTAATTTAGTTAAAAAAAACAAATCAACTCTAATAAATTAATAAATACTAGCAACCTTGCAGTCACTATGTGACTGCCGTGACTTGTGAGATATATTTTTCATTTTTGATATATTTTTCATATATACATATATATATATATATATATAAATATATGAAAAATTGATGTGGGTACTCAAATGAAAGGTCTCGATAAGTGTAACATCAGGGTGAGCTTATATCTTTAAAAATGTCAATATTTCATAAGATATTTGTTAAATTGCACTGTACTTTCTCAACTATTGACGTTTTTAAAGATATAAGCTCATCCCGATGTTACACTCATCAAGAGCTTTCATTTGAGTACCCACATGCATTTTGATATATTTTTCATATATCTAATATATATAAATATATGAAAAATTGATGTGGGTACTCAAATGAAAGATCTTGATGAGTGTAATGTCGAGGTGAGCTTATATCTTTAAAAATGTCAATAGTTCACGAGATACAAGGTCATTTCTTAATTATCTATCTAGAGAAAGAGCATTTTATTTTTTTAATTAGAATAAAATTGCAAGTGTCAAACAACTAAACCAGTGTCAATAACTAGATCTTTCACCTTATATCCATGAAAGTTAACTTACACTAGACGTTTATCTTGTTTCAACAATTTATTTGTAAATTCAGCAAGAATTTCAAGATACGGAAGATTCGGTGGTGGTCCTGTAGGATCCAATTCAACACCATCCGGTGGTGTGATAGCAAAGAAAACTCCAGCTCGATGTAAAGCCGTAATAGCTTCACGATTTTTAATCGCATCAAGCCCAAATGACAGAGCAAATCTTTTAGCAAGTTCTTTAATAGCGGTAAACTCTTCACTATTTTTATTGACTTTATCCTTTTCAGCTAAGATTTCGTTGTAAAGAGTATTCAAACTCAATTGCATTGTCAATGCACAAGTAGTCTTATTAATATCTCGTGCTTTGCCCAACGTTGTTTTGATAATATCACCATAATCGTTGTAGTATTTTACATAATGTTTAAAAACATCCGCGGCAGCGTTAGTAGGAATTATATTATACACTATAAGTTTACAATAACCAGCAAGAAAATTTCTTCTTTTATGAAGCTCTTCAATTTTAGAATGTTCATCATGCTCATCATCTTCTTCTTCAACAAAAACGTACTCTTGAATAAATTGATTGAGCATATTTTGCATAATAGGATCCGCTTCGTAGACAAGCTGATGCAGCAAAACATTTGCTTGAGATGTTAATTGAGAACAAAACATAACGAGCATATCACAAATAGTATTGTATGCTTCTTCACGTAAAATAGCTACACGATTGCCCTCACCAGCAACAAAATAACGCATAGAGTCCATGAAAGCCATCAGCTGGTCGTGTAATTGCGCAGCTTCTTCCTCGCCGCGCTTACCCATGTCACCAGCTTCCATAAGTTGATTTTGGCCCCAAAGAATAGCAAAAAAACACGCGCTAATCGCGTACTTTCCAGCTTCTTCAGGAAAATTTTTAGATACATCTTTTGCGTCCTCAATATCACGATAAAGTGAATTCCAAATTTTTTTACCATTCATATTATGACAACTGTAAAAAATAGCAATTTTTTTCAAAGAATGCACAACATCAAAGATCTCATCTTCATTTGGAATTTCAGCGCCTTCTATTAAATTTCTATAATCATCAATCACTTCATTATATCTATTAACAATAGTATCAATGAGTGTTGACCGTGAAATATCACATTTAGTAAATATTGCATTGCCTTCAACGCACATGTGCTCTAAAGTTTTAGCAGCAGTATCCAAAACATCATTGTCATGCGTTTTTTCAACAATCACATGAATTTTTTCAAGCAATGTTTCAAGATTTTTCTCCTGTCGGGATTTAGTATAAATATCAAGATCAAAATACTGAGGTACGGACAATAAATTCGCTAATTTTTCCGGATCAGCGCTGTACTTATCAAGCAAAAGCGGAAGCGTAACAATAAAATGTTCTGTTAATTTTTGTTTATCATCTTGAACCTGTTTTTGTTCTTTAGTAGATAAAATTTTACGCGTAGGTCCACGTCCAACTGGAGCTTCACCAGTTGCCGCTTGTTTAATACAACAGACCATCAGCTCAATCAATGATGTTTCTTTTTGATTATCAAGAGCTTCTTCTTCTGGCCCCGCTTCCTCCAATAGTAGATCAGTCATACATTCCCAGTCTTTCATCATTTGATTAGTTTCAATAAGCGAATCCACAAGATAAGCACCGTGCTCATGCAACTCAGATTCGATGAAAAATAAAACTAAATCGCGAATAAGTGGAGTGTTGGGAAGTCTCTTCTTGCCTCTCTTGGTTTTTACACCAGCTACTGCTTCTTCGTCTTGAGTGAATAATCGCTCGTTTAAAAATTCACCAGCAGCTTGAGCTACCGCTCGGTGAGATGAATATACAAGCTCATAAACGTGCTCACAATCTTTGTCAGATAAAATTTCACGGTGGTGCTTTAAAATAGATATCACAAGTTTAACAGCTTGAACTGCGACATCGTACTCTTTGTCAAGAGTCATTGCGACAATTCGATCTTTGAATTTACTTGTAAACAATTCAAGTTTTGCTTTGAGCTCCTCCGAAGCGTAAAGTGGCTGTAAAGCTTGTAAACATTTTAATCTAACTTCTCCGACTTTGTCATGTAATGTCCAGCCAATGTATTTTAAGTAAGAATCATCCAAAAAATTTTGATGAAATTTTTTCATCCATACTCCGATTTCTGCCATACAAATCGCACGAATTTCCGGTAATGTATCTCGATATCTATGTACAAAAACAGATTTAAACATATAAGTAAGCATATTTTTTATTTCATCCATATTCTCTTCAAGTTCTTTTCTTTTAGACATAAGCGATTCTAAACGATCATTAGCTCTACGCTCTTTAGTTTTTTGTCTTTCAGCTTCGTATTGACGTTGAGTGTTATCAAGATTGACAGAAACAGTTAGAGCAACGTCAACAAGTGCTGTCATTAATTTCATAGCTGCTAAAGTAGCAGTATGACGAAAAGCTCGTACTTGTGAATCTGACAAACCAGTTAATAAAGATATGACATTATCCATTAAAAATTGATCATAAATTATCGAATACTGACATTGACGTACAAGAATTTGAACGAATTCGCAAAAGTTAGCCCGAAATTTTTTCCAAGGCTGTCCTGTCATTATCAAAGGATATTCTCCGCTTTCTTCATCGAATTCTTCTGTCATTTTACGGATAATAGCCACGTGTTCCATGTTAGCTTGCATATCTGATGTAATCCGTCCTTTACATCCGCTGGCGTTTATAAAAAATTGCATCAACATAAGAAGTGCACTGTCACGAGTCATCTTGTATTTTTCAATCCAATCATCGACAATATTAGTAAGTGTCGAGCGATTATTTTTAATTATATAATAAAGACTAGCTTCATCCTCAGTGTTTGAAGTATTTGGAATCCGCTTTGCACGACCTCTTGTACCACCACCTCGTCCTCGAAGTGGTTGTGTTGGAACATAATCAGTATCTACTTCACGATATTTAGGCTGATTAACAGTACCTCCTCGCATTCTTGCTCGGGTGTTTCTAGTAATCCTCATGTTGGACGCAGCCGGTGTCAAGGGTTGTTCAAATTGAGCAGCGTCATTGTTTGGTTGTTGTTCTTGATACTGAAGGTGAGAGGTGTTAGGAGAACTGTAACTTTCTGAAGAATAATTCTCTGACCTACAACATAGTAATTAAAATTTATCATGTTAGTGTATCAGCTCTTTAATTATAAATATTATGACTCCAAGAAGTATTAATTTATTTACCCGCTTCAATAAGGTAAAAGACCCAGTTATTGACACTTGAAATTTTATTTTAATTAAAAAAACAAATCAACTGTAATAAATTAGTAAATATAATTTTTTAATTATAAATTTTAAGAAAATTTTTTGAAAACATTTAATTTTTTTAATTAGAATAAAATTGCAAGTGTCAAACAACTAGGCTCAGTATCTCAATAACTGGGTCTTTTACCTTAATTCTAATTAATTTCTCTCTTCAGTTAATATTATTTAATTTTAATACTCTCTATCTATGTATATTCCCGATAGGCGTATGTTGGATTAATAAATAAATAAACAATTATTCTCTGAAGTGTTATAATAATTAAGATTTATAATAATCATAACTAAGTACACAGAAAAAAAAATGGTCTTGAATCAAGTATATAGTTTTAAAGAACTTTATCTTCTTGATTTAAGTAAAAAAAATTCTTCAACTAGGAAATTTTCAAGTAAATTTTACTTAATTTAAAAATTTTTCGTATTGATTCAAGACGATTACCCTCGTCAAAATTATTTTCTTGGTTCAAGAATTTTCTTCTCGAATCAAGTTAATTTTTTTTTTGTTTTGTGTAAATTTGAAATTTTAATTTTTTTAATTCAATTATTGTTAAAAAAATAACCTCGGTGTGTGTGAAGGTGTCTGTGGTGCCTGATTATATGCAGAGTACCCCACAAAATTATCTTGATTATCTCCACCGATGTTATCTATCATTGGTGTCATTGGGTTCATTGGTGTCATCGGTTCTTGATACTCAGGAGGCACCGGATCATCCATCCGGATCCTCTTGCCACCACGTCGGGGCATCATCTTTGATAGTTATTATTGTAAACAGCTAATATATAAAATCCCAAAAAAAAAAACCTGGAATATTTTAATTAGAATATTAAACAACTTCACTTAATTTAAGATACCATTTATTATGATTATTTTGACATCAAAACAATCAGCGTCCATAGTGAATACGCTTATAACCAAACCTTAAGTAATGTAAATTTTCACATAAATAAAAATATAATTATTATATTGAATAGTTTAGAAAATTTAGAAACTTACTTATTGATATATGCCACTTATAATAATAAATTATGTCACAAAATAAATAATATTTCCGGAACTTAGCGGGAAATCAAAACCGCCAATTTATTGTTAGCCGCCATCTTTATTATTTCTTACAACACTGTTGCAAAGCGATAGTCATTTTTTATTAGTATAGTAACTTGACGCCGCGTGTGTACTAAACTATACCTAGAATTGTGGAAGACATGTTTTATTTAATTTTTCTAGAGAGAAACTTATAGAAGAGACATCTTTATTTTTTTTGAAAATTAATGTAGCAAATATTTAATAACTTTAGGAATTTTTTAACAAATAAATTAAATGAAAATAAATTTAGTAGATACTTAATAATTATTAGAATTTTTTTATAAATAAATTATGGCAAAAAAAATTAGAAAAAAAAAAAAAATTGACGTAGAAATTTAAAAAAATAAAAAATGCAATTCTTTAAAAATAATTTTTTGGAACAAATTTGTTTGTTAAAAAAATTAAAAAGTTCTCTAGTGACTGCTAACTTTAATGTCATATAAATTAAGGCAAAGAAAATGAGATAAAAAAATTGACATGTAGAAATTTTAAAAAATTAAAAATGCAATTTTTTAGAAAGAATTTTTCAGAATAAATTTGTTAAATAAAATTAAAAAATGGTCAAGTAACTGCTAACTATCATTTTTTTTTTTTACAAATTTTAAAAATCACATATTTATATGTATAATTTCACTTCATATTAATTACATCATTAAAATAAATTACAAAATATATTGACAATAAAATATAAAAAGTCAAAGAAACTGACTATTTATGATCTTAAACCGGGTATCTTGTACATAAATTCTCCATCACTATCATAATAACAATCCTTAACTTTAAAAGTTACTCCAGAGTTAGCTTTTTTACGTGGTACTTTAATAAATCTTGGATGATTATCATCTGTCCCTAATTCTTTCTTTTTCCATTCCAGAATTCCAGTTTCCATACTGCTTTCATTAATATCAAACTTGGGTACTGGTACATTAGTAACCTGGACTTCAGCAGGTTTGTTTGATACTTCTACGGAGCTCTCTTCATTTTCTACAGACACATGTGTGATCGAGCGATCAGAAACTGATGCTCTATTTTTTTGTTCTTTGTATTCATTGACAAGCAATTGCTCTTCAAGGTTTAAATTCTGTTTACCAACAACGTCACTAACATTTTCCTCGAGAAATTTATCGTATGTTTTATATTTTTCTTTCTTATTAAATTTATTAGATGACAAGAATAATGTCATATCAACGATACTCTTTTTTTTAATTTTGTTTTTTCCATCAGTAATTTTTGGAGGATCATTATCGTCTTTATCTTTTGTTGCTTCTATATAATCCTGTACAATGCTTGTAAAAAACTTGCTTTTTGGTTTTGGAAAAACTCGAGGTGGTCTAACAAAATTTTCCGCTATTTTTTTCAGTTCCTCAGCATTAATTTTGCGACCTTTGAATTTTTCTAAATGTTTTGCAAGCTGAGGATCTAAATTTAAATTTCCAGCTTTAAATTGATTCCAATTTTCAACAACTTTTTCATCATAATTTACAACACTTTCAGTTGATCTCGGGAGCCATTTAGATTTTAATAGTTTTTTAATTGTCCTTGGTAATGCAGGAAATGATTCACTAAGTTGTTCAGGGCTCCATTCATCGCTATCTTTTAAATGCAGCTTCCTCATTAATTCTCTTTCAGCCCATGTGACAAAATTTGGATCATCAGACTTGAATAATTTTTGTGCAACAATTCTTCCCTTCAATTTTTGTTTTTCAACGTACGATTCTCTAAATAAAATAAAAGTATGAGCATGTCAATAATTATTAATAACGACGACTTAAATTTTTAATTTTATCAACTAAAAAAAATTAATTCATTAAAAACATACCTCATGTGTTCATCGTATGACTTGTGAGCTAATGTAAAATCAGGTTCATTGAAATCAGGATCAGTATAATCTTCATCGATTTTAATATCAGTATCCTTAATATCAGGATAAAGAGTTCTTTCAGTTTTACTGTCACCTACATCACGTAGAATTTTTGGAATACTTATTCTCTGAGGACCACGACTTTTATAACCTCTCTTACATATATACATTAAATTTTTCAATTGATTCATTTTAAATAGTGAATTGTTGTACTTTTGATATTTAAAATAAACAATTAATTACTTTTTTTTTTTTTTTTTTTAGTTTATTTGAATTGTTAGTCAAGATTAATTGAATAGTCTATTCAATAATAAATAAACACAGACACGCATGATTGTAAAATAACATGTCAAACTATATTGCCGACAATTCATTAATTAATTGTTACTTTTATCCTAATATAAAATTCCTAATATAAAATTGAGATGAAATGTATGTGGCATCAAACTATTCGTAACGTGATTGGTCAAATATATCATAAGCATGAAAATATATGCAAACTCTATAGTCAAGGCGCGCGCTTGCGCGCGTAAATTCAAATTCTAGTAGTAATAAAATGTTCATAGAAGTAAAAAGTTATATTTATAATACGAAAATTAAGTTAGCCGACATTTAAAACTTTTTGATTTTTTTTATTAATTAAATTACAACTAAAAAGATATTTCTAAAAAATTGCACTTACAGTTTTTCAGGTTTTTTACATTATTGTAATTTTTTTTTTTAATTGTATAGTTGAAATTTTTTCAATAAAAAATTTCTAAAAATTTTTAAATGTCGGCAAACTTTATTTTCATATTATGACACTGAAATTTGATAGTTTTTAGAAATTTCTTAATTAATAACTTACAGTTAGAAAAATTTATTAAAAAAATTTCATCTTTAGAAATTCTAAAGAATTTTTTATAAATAATTTTCTAGATCTAGTTTAATATTTAAGAAAAATTAAAAAATTAAGTTAGTCGAAATCTAAAAATTTTTAGAGCTTTTTTTTTTATTGAAAAAAGTATTATACAAAAAAATAAAAATAAATTTTCATTTGTAATAAAACTTCAAAACCTATCAGTGCAATTTTTTAAAAATATTTTTAAGTTATAAGTAATTTAATAAGAGAAAAAAATTAAAAATGTCAGCTAATTTCAGTATTATTCTGTCATTTTATAATTTAAATATGGTTGAATAAAAAAAATTACAAGCATCTAAAAAAGTGATATTAAATTTATTAATTAATTAAAATTAAACAGTTTATAATTTGATGGTATTTGTAATGCATCGATTGGTAAAAAAATCATGTTTCTTTTTCTGCATCTGACCATCTTCAGAAAGAGCAAGGAAAAAACTTGAAATTTTTTGCTTTTTTGGTACAGAAGCACTTTCAATATTTTCCCATTCAACAGTTTCAGCGTCAGTTTCAAGAATTTTTTCAGCTGTCGACCAACTAAACCTTACTATTTGCGGAAAACCAAATACTGGATCAATATTATCAGTTAACCATTGTTTAGTTACAGTATCATGTGGATAACCGGTACCATAATCACCCTTCGGTTCGCCTTCACGAAATTGCCAAGCTCTTAATGCATGATCTCTTGAGACTTTAGCACATATACTAGCGGCACTTACGACGGGATAAGTTGAATCAGCTTTTTTAGCAACAATTAAAGTTTTTATTTCTGGAAAAATACTCTTCAATTTATCTTGATATTTTCCGGGTTTTCCAACTGTGTCAACATATATCTCTTCAATATTAACTCCTGCTTCAATAGCGCCTTTTATCAGTCCAATCGCAGAATTCATTGATACTTCATTCAAGGATGATTTACATCTTTGGTACATGCTATTACAAATAAACGTAGGTGATATTGCTTCAACAGCCCACCCTATTTCTTCAGGGTGTTCTATTATTTTATCAAATATTCCATCGCGTTCTTCTTCGGAAAGAGTTTTAGAATCAGCACATCCAATGTCTACTAGAAGTTGTTTCTTCGACAAGGGAGTGAAAGTAATGCCATAAACCATAGGTCCTAATACCGGTCCTCTACCTGCTTCATCAACTCCCAGCATACAAGGTTCATCTAGACATATTTTAGGTATCTAAAAAAATATGTAAATTAATTACAATATAAAATCCTTAATTCGTTGCAAATATAATTAATTTCATTAAAGTTAGCTGTCACTTGACAATTTTTTAATTTTATTTAACGAAAAAATTTGTTTCAAAAAATTATTTTAAAATAATTGCATTTTTTATTTTTTTTTAATTTCTACTTGTCAATTTTTTTTAATAATTTTTTTCTTGTCCTAATTTATTTGTTATAAGAATTTTAAAAATTATCAAATATCTGCTAAATTAATTTACATAAAAATTCTTGAAAATTTTTTAACAAGTCAATTATTATAAAAAAAGATTTTTAATAAAAAAAATTTGGTAATTATTTATCAATGGGGTCTACCATTTTAATTTTGATTTTTTTAAATGAAAATAACTTTCAATAAAAAAAAATTCTAAAAATTTTTAAAAATCGGCTAACTTAATTAGTCAACTCAAATTAGCCGACAGCGAAAAAACTTTTTTTTATTGATTGAATTAGCAATAAAAAAATATTTTTAAAAAATTGCACGTGTAGTTTTTCATTTTTTTTACATGTGAAATTTTTTCTTTTAATTTTTTTGAAAAAATTTTATCAATAAAAAAAAATTCTGAAAGTTGTTTACACTTGTAAATAATTACCAAAAAATTAAAATATTTATAAAAAATTGCTTTTATAATTTTTTTTAATTTTTACCCGTCAACTTTTTTTTTTTCTAATTGTTTTTTTTATCATAATCTATTTGATATAAAATTATTAAATATATGCTGAATTAATTTTCATAAAAAACTAACCTTAGTTCGGTAAACTTTATTATTACTGTGATTACTTTCCTCAAAGTACGAAGTAAGATCCTCCCGATTAGATATATGATCTGTCAATTTTTTTTCACTTGCAGAATCATTAACAACTGATACAGGCGCGGATTCATTGTCTTTTACATCTGTTATTTCTGATGTTTCCATTGCCGCGTTTTTTCAGACCTTTGTTGTCAGTAACAGTCACTGAGATACTGAGAAAAATTAAATCTTAAATCTATACTAACTACTGTCTCTACTCGGTACAGTTCTACATTACCAACTATTTTTAAAAATTTGATTTAATTTCATAAAAATCTTAAAAATCTAATTTTAGGACAGGATTAATTTTAAATATCGTACAATTAAAACTGATTAATTGTTTATTGATACATTTATTTCGAGATATTCATATTTATACACAATATGTACTATCATAGTATTAATAATTTTATTATATATATATATATATTTATATATTATACTAATATAATATATATTATATATTTAACTAATTATAGCGGTAGTGGCATAATGCATTTTGCACTTTCAATTGATCGATTAATTTATGACAAACATACAAAAATTATTAAGTTATGACAATCATTATGAGAAACAAACCTCCGCCGTCTCAGTATCAAACACATTATTTCTTACTATTATTATCATTATCATTATTATTATTATTATAATTATTATCATTATTATTTTTTATTATTATTATTATTATATTACTTTATTCGTGTTTTACCTATTCAAAGTATATAACTGTAATCAACTTGCACATATTTAATTCGATATTATTTTTCATTTTCATCGTACATTACACTTACTCTATACTGCCTGTCAAATATCAATTACGTATTATTACATTATATGCATATATGTATGATGTAACTTAATTTAATAAAAAATACTTGTTATTTAAAAAACAAAAAAATGATCTCTTGAAAATTTATATTAATTATTTAGTATATTTCTTTTTTTCCAATCAATTAATATGAATATTTTACATCCATTACATTCATGATTAACTTAACATGATTTATGAATTTAGTATGTCCGTGTGCAAGTGAAATTCGAATGTATTTATGTATATTTATATTTATTATAAACAAATAGGATTTCAAAAGCTGGAGTTGTCGTTGTACATAATAAGTACACAGATTGGATCATTTTATTTGACAAGTAGGTAGACAAAAATACCATGATGTTAAAAAACCACCAGGATTATGTTTGTTAGATAATATTATCTAGTGTTGATGTTGGTTGATTAATCTCAAATTTTTTTACCTACTAAAGACGTAAGGTGCCTTATACAATTGATTAAACTAGCCAGATCAAAACAGGTTGCTCTTAATGAAGCCTCGTTGAACGTGCCGATAGTACGGCTTGGTCAATATTAATCTAAATTTTAATACAAACTAGGATTGAATCCTTTTTTTTTAACATATACATTATTTTTGTTGCATACTGTATAAAAAAGAAGAGATAATATTTCTATTTAATCAAGAGACAATTTTTTTTTAGTGAATAAGAGCTACTTTTTTTTTTTTAAATATATTTTATTCATTAGAAAACTTAATTGTCTCTCATTGTCCTTTATTCTTATGAATAATAGTCGTAGAGCAATAGTTTATTTATTTTTTTTTTAATAATTATTACAGAACAAATTAAATGAATATAAGTTTACAAGTACACAGGACTCTTGTTACTAATTAGAGTCATAGACACCGAAAATTTAAGTAATAATACGTTTAATTGTTAAATCTTCGCGATAAGCCAAGCGCATAATCTATCATTGAAATTTTTCAACGATTTTTTTCTTTGCTTTGGTTATTGTTAAGATCAATTAAAAAAAAAATATGCTTAATAAATAGAGCAAAATAATTCGTGCATTATCAAATATTTGATTATAGATATTAAACAATAATTTTAAGAGTTAGATCAACACAGGTCAACATATCGTTATGTTTATTTAGATCAACATATCTTTAATGAATAATTATGGATAAATTATAGAGCTCTTTTTTTCTATGTATGTGTCTTTATCTGTGTAAACAATAAACATAATATATAGAAGCTTAAGTAATCATTTTTTGGCGAGGAAGAATTTATGTAAAAAAAAAAATGGAGTTTACTTTTTTGTAGGAAGATTTTTTATAAAAAATTTTTGATTAATTTAATTCATTATTATTTTTGGTGATACCTTTATTCAAGTGCATTTAGTGCATATATTAATTAATAATTTGTCAATCTGATTTTATATTGAGAAAACAAATAACTACTAAAGAAATATTCCATTAAAATGTAAAAAAGATTTTTTTTATAACCGTCATCTACACGGAAAGAACAAAATGATACTGGATATCATCCTAGATAATACTCATGTAATCGGGATTATACTAGCTACTATCTGTAATTTTTTTTCACTCAGTATAATCTGGCATGATATCCAGTGTCATCTTATTCTTTCCGTGTACAGCGAGCAAAATTGTATCTAAATATCCAACGTATAGTTGGATTTAAATTTACAGTACGAGAGCCCACGTGTCGATATATACCGAAGCCGCCCTCTCACTCGTTATGTTCAATATTTCAGTCAACAATGATGATAATCAGCGACTAGTTATAACTACCGCTGATCGCATATTATAATTAGCGATTACACTCAGTATTAGTCGCAACAAAACCAAAGAGTAAAAAAAAAATTGTTTTTCTTTAATAATAAATGATTTATTCGCGATGATTACCATCATCCGAAATATTCATAAGTTTGCTTTATAAAATTTTCTACAATTCACGAAAGAGTTAATTAAACATAACTATAATAATAAAAAGGTAGATAATAAACAAGTATCACTTAGGACGAACGTGCGAGTTCATTCGACCTTGTGTATCTCATGGGCGGCGAAGGCGAATGTTAACTCGTTTATTAAATTTTTGTTTATTTCTTAATTTTCATTTTATTAATTCTTTTTACCTCATCATTGTTTTAAAAAAATTTTTTTTTCTATTTTCTCGCGCGTACATATCCGCAATAATGTGTGTATATGAATCCAACGTCCAATTCTATTTCTCTAATTTTAAATACGTCTTTCCCATGAATAAGCGGGTGAAAGACACGAGAATCCAGGTTGTCTGCTTTTTTTGTAGAACATTTAATTACCAGCAGTCCAGTAGTTTGAACTATATCCGGGCTTAGCCTGTGCTTTATTCTGTGAATTTGTGTTAGATCTTTGCCCTGAGCTGCTACCACCATCCTGATGTAATGGTTGATGAAGATGCTGAGTGTGTGGCATTGTTGAAATAAACAAATGCGGAGCACCATAACCACCAGGCATTCCAGCAGTCTGACTACTAGTTAAACTAAAAGGCGGCGGCGTTGCCGAATGGAAAGTCTGTTTATCATACGACTGTTTTGAAAAATCATAAAATTAAATAAATAAATAAATTACTTTACAATAATAAATAAATAAATAAATATTAAAATAAAAATTATTACTCACGTTTACTTTGCTAAGAGCAACGTGACTTTTGGCGTACATCGTCGCACCAATATCAGTGGCTGATGAAGCTCCTGAATTATTGTTGCCCGTAGAAGTACCAGTCTTACCAGTTTGAGTCCCAGTATATCCACTTCCGGCGCCTTTGTAATCGCCAGTCGGACCAGTGTTGGTGAGGGTGTCATAGCTAGCACCTCCACCATAACCAGAACCATAGCTACCAGGCTTAGCACTGTATGCACCACTATTTGTGCCAGCATTTCCCGCAGTTGCTATTTGCTAAAAAAAAAATTTTTTTTTTTTTTAGTTAACATTACTATTGTTTTTATAACATCAATCATAATAGTTGTATGAATGGCGGAGTCCCTAGGTAGGGTCCATCTTTACAAGCATGGAATGTGAATATTATCCATACATGCTTGTACATAATTAAGAAATAAGTTTGTTTCTTGTGAACTATTGACATTTTTAAAGATATAAGCTCATCCCGATGTTACACTCATCGAGACCTTTCATTTGAGTACCCACATCATTTTTTCATATATTTTATATATATAAATATATGAAAAATATACCAAAATGCATGTGGGTACTCAAATGAAAGCTCTTGATGAGTATAATATCAGGATGAGCTTATATCTTTAAAAACATCAATAATTAAAAAATTACAGTGCAATTCAACAAGTCATTATTTAATAAAGCACAATTTTATTTATTTATAGTTTAAAAATCATGGCAGTCACATAGTGACTGCAAGGTTGTTAGTTATAATTATAATTATAAAAATAAATATAATTTTTTTTTTTAATTAATAATTGATTATACTTACTGGATAAATAGGTCCACTGTATTGGAAACTTCCTGGCATGATACTACCTCCATAAGTAAAATAAGCGTAACCAGGAGGTAATGCAGGATTCATCATTGGTTGCTGATGTTGCGTTGCAGTCTATAATAATTTTTTTAATGATAGAAAAAAAAATTTTTTTTTTCCTCTTTACAATTATTTTTATTAAAAGAATTATTTACCGTTACCTGTTGCGACATTGTTGATGGAACCGGTGAAGCATTGCTGTCGTTCCTCGCGAATCTTCCATCACTGATACTGGTATAGGCACCTTGGACTCCTTGCACACCTTGAACTCCTTGAACTCCTGATAATGCATCGCTTCTTCCACCTCCGAGACTTGTTGCTGGACCAGTCGTCTGATACCCCAGTGCCGCATCATAGTAACCAGTAGTTGGCTGCAGGTTAGTCAGGAAGGCCAAACACAAAACTACATGCATACACTGTGTACTCCAAATACGAGGAGAGTCTAACTAATATAACTAAGACAATATTTTGACCCACAAGGAAAAATCAGTGATGATTTTAAATAGTTTACATGCATCATTTTACTGAATGATAAAATAAAAAAAAAATAAATAAATAAATAAATTATATCTTTAATGATTTTTCATTTTATCTTGTGTGATCAAAAACTAAAACTTCTATGTACCTACGACACGCCTTAAATGTGGCTGAAATCGCGCCGAGGTTGCAAATAACAATAGATAAAAAAAACTACTTGATACTGTGAAACTTATCCATGTGTTTGAAACATCGGCATCACAAAGTGCTGACATAAAGATAGTAGATGCTAACGTAAAGTAAAATAATAGTAAAGAATAAATAATATAAGAGCAACTACCAAGCACCAAATATCTTCCACTATTTAATAATCATTCCTCGAAGTATAAAAAAGTAAGATTTAATGAATCTATCGAGCATCCGAGCACCGTGCGCGACTAAAATCTATATATTAGAATATATTGACTGACCATGTGTGGTATTCTCTGTTGCATCAATTGCAGGTCTTCATAACTGTACATCGGTTGCTGAAACGTAGGATAAGGAACACCTTGACTCATAATGTACTGATGGCTTAGCATAGGAGTCATACTGCTAGCAGTTCCACCCGCACTGCTGGCTCCAGTAATACTTCCACTTGTTCCTGTTCCCGTACTACCACTTGATGTACTTTTTGGCACAGCTGTAGTAATAATTTAAATAAAATCACAATAAGTTAAAAAAATATTTTTTTTTTTTTTTTTTTTTTTTTATAACTATGACTCACCATTTGAACTTGATACTTTTGTCTGAGAACTATTCACAGATGTCGAAGACAAACCCAATGCAGGAGCACTAGTTGTTGCTAAAGAACTGCTACTCGTTGTTACATTGTCATATTGAGAATCCTTTCCAGAAGTAGTACTCAATTTTGTGTGAGTGTGAGATGGTGTTTGAGATTGAGTGTTATAATTGCCATAGGCACTTGCGTATACCTAATTATAATAAAAAATTAATCAAGTTACATTTACCATTTTAGATTATTATTTTTAACCCGTTGAAGAGACACGGGGTCCAGTGGACCCTAGGCGAACTTTGAGGCAATTTTTAATTTAGGAGATTTATAAATGAGACTTAGTCACATTTACGACTGATTTCATTGATATTAAAGATATTTCTATTTTTTTATTGTAATAATTATAATAAAAGAGTTTTGTAAAAAAAAAAAAACTAATTTTTTTTATATTATTTTGCATGTTTAAATATCTTATTCTCATTTTAAGCGACTGACCGAAATTCGTAACTTCAAACTTCAGAATAAATATTTTTTTTTTTTCTTTAAAATATATTGTTTTCTGAATAAAATGGCGTCGGTTTTTTTTCGATATTGTAAAAATCAAAATTTCTGTAACTTTTTTTAGTATTTTTAAATTATTAGAAATTAAAAATAACTATTAAGATATTTAGAGGGAATGTTATTTTAAAATTTGGTGCCAATTATAAGTCAATACATTACATAGAAAACGAACGTGTGTCCTCAACGGGTTAAAAATAAAAAAAAAAAAAAACAATTTACCGAGTGCGCTGCACTTTGATAGGCACTGCTATTTGCCTGAGTCATGGGAGATGTAAATGTAGTAGCAGATGGTTGATAGGCCTGTGATGTGGATTGGAATGAAGAGGTGCCCTGATAACTCGACGCTTGATATCCAGAATTGCTGTTGACTCCAGCACTGGCTGATTGTTGGCCTTGATACTGTGCGGTAGTTGTAGGGACAAATCCACTGGACGACTGGTACCCTTGGTTAGACGAAGTGGTTTGATTGTATCCAGAGGTACCCGTGGATGACGGAGCAGACGGTGAAGCTTGACTGAAGGTCGAAGCATTAGATTGAGGATAAGAGCCACTGTAACCAGATTGAGTAACCGACGTAGTCGTTGTATAGCTGTTGGTGTTACCACCAGGCGCCGTTGGGAACGAAGATTGAACAGATTGTCCACCAGTTGATGAATACGCATTGTAATTATTAGATGTTGCTGCATTGGATCCTTGATATGATGTTTTTTGAGGTTGATACGTAGCAGAGTTTGAACTAGCATTGCCATAAGTAACACCAGTGTTATTGGGTGATGCAATCATCTGAGACGAAGCGTTGTAAGAGCCACCCTGTTGTGCTGTATCAATGTCTAAAGTATTAGACGAAGCAGCAGAGTTAGCAATTCCCGAAGCAGTTACATTGGAAGATACATCAATACCGGAAATATTTGTCGACGATGAATTGTACTTGTCATTGGCTGTACCATCAAGAGTAGTAGTATCACTACCAAACTCTAGGGCACCAAATTGAACGTCTAGGAAGCCTATATTGCTGTTAACAGTATCAGCTGGCATTTCTACAGCACTAGAAGGAATCTTAGAAGGCGGTGGTACTCTTGGCCGTTGTTTTGTTTGCCTCTGAGCTTGTCCAGAAATAGTCATTGATGAAAAAGCAGACTGATTCGCGCTCTTGTAGTTCTCACTAGTCTGTTGAGTCAATTGAGTGAGATACTGACTCTGAGCGGCAGTTAATGTATTAGACTGCTGGGATAATTGCATCTGCGTTGGCATACCAAGCGCCTGCTGAGACTGAGGAGGTTGAGATTGAATCATAGACGGCTGAGATTGCATTGTTTGAACGTCAGACATTTTAGATAAGTCTTCCTGAGGTAATCCGCTAAGATTTCCCGGCTGGACGTTCGACTGTACAACAGTCTCAGACGCAATGTTAGACTCTTCCATTCCTGCTTGGTCGTTGATCGATGTACTGGGTGTAAACACCTTAGTATCAGCCAAAGAGCCGGTGTACTCACTCTCCCAATCCTCCGATGGTTCCAAATTATTCCAAGGATCACTGGCAATCTTGGCGTCTTGGCTACTCTGTTGCTGCTCTTCGCTGCCAGTCCAAGTATCAATTGGCCGATTGAAACTGTGGGGTCCGGAAGAATCACCACGGTTGGCAAAAGTACGTGGGCCGAGACCTCGACCACCACCTCTTCCACCTCGACCGGATCTACCTGGCCCACCTCGACCACGGCGGCTACCTCCGTAAGCACCCTCACGGACGTTGTCCTCCATGTTTCTCTCGTTTTCCTTGTTTTCTCGACCACGCCCTGGAATAACTAGTAAATATTAGTTTTATTTATAAATAAATATTTTGGTAATTATTTACAAGTGGGGTCCATTTTAATTTTCATGTTTTTGAAATGATACTTAAGTTAGCCGGGGTTTTTAATTTTTTTTCAATAATTAAATTAGAACAAAAAAATATTTTTAAAAAATTGCATTTACAGTCTTTAAAGTTTTTTTACAAATGAAATTGTTTTTTGATTTTTTAATCATTTTTTTAATGAAAAAAAAATCTTAAAAATTTTTAAATGTCGGCTAAATTAATTTTCATTTTTTTGACGGAATTTTTTTTTGAAAATTTTAATATATTTTTTTTTTGAAAAATACATTGAAAAAATGAACAATTTAAAGAAATATACAAGTAAAGCTAATAAAAAGCGTGTAAAAAACGTTGATTTTTTCATTACAGTTTTAATAAATTTTCAAAAAAATTTATAAATTTTTTTGAAAGTTGTGATATTAAACTTTTTTTTTTTTTTAATTGTTCGTTTTTTCATGTACTTTTCAAAAAAAAAAATATTTCAAAAACATCAAAAAAAGATAAAATAGATATTTTGTCCAAAAACATGAGAGCCAAAATTTTTTCCAACTTTTGAAAGCAAAAAAACCATCGAAATCTTTATTTTTTTTCTTTCACGATATTTTTTATCATAAATGCGCCGTAAAAACAAACAGAATAAAAAATAGGATAGCCCCAACTTGTAAATAATTACCAATATTTAAAGTAGTTGTGGTAATTTAATAAAATTTAAATACTTACAACCACGATTGTCATGATTAGCCCGACCCCGCATACGAGGAGGACCATTACCACGCTGATGACGTCTTTCTTCCCAATCTCCGCCTCCACTCTCATCGTGATCACCGGACTGATCTGCGCCCTGTTTAGAACCACTTGGTTGACGTGGTTTTTTCTTTTTTACCTCCCATTCTGATGAAACTCCCTCAATAAGGTCATTTACGGCGCGGTCAAAGTCCCAGTCGCTATCATGGAGAGCCATGATTACCTCATCCTCTGATTTACGAGTCACCTCCATGATCTGCTTGATCTGGTCTTTTAAACCTGGATCTTCAACTCCGCCTGGTCGAGTGTCAATTATTTGTGCATGTTTCGTCTGATCTTTGTTGGACTATAATTTTAAATAAAAAGAATTATTATTAATTTCAAATAATTTTATTGAAAAAAAAACCTAATAGATGGACACCCCCCAATAGATGGACAAATATTATTTCCAGAAGCAATTACATTAGTTTTAAGAACAAAAATCTTAAGTAGTTATTTTTTTTATGTCTACAAGTCGTTTTAAGAGCAAAAAGTCATCATTTTTTTTTTTAACTTTTTATTTAAAATAATATTTAAAAAAAATTATTTAAATAATGATAATTACTATCTGATTTATCACCTTTTCTCTTTAATTTTATCAAGTTTCATTTTTTAGTGGAAAAAATTAATAAATTAATTATTTCTGATATAAATAAAGAATTGAAAATATCGCTTGTAAGTAGTGTCCATCTACTGGGGTTTTGGACTTTTTCTTACATTTTTTTTTTTTATTAATTACTTATTTTTTCCTGGTTAATTATATATTTTTACATAAATATAATTTACTTTATCACAACGTATCTGTATATTACTATATTGTTTTTTTAATAGAATACGAGAGTTAGCATAACCGTCCGTCCATCTATTCACTGATGGAAGGATTTATTTATATTAAAAAATAATTGTTAATAATTAACAAATCATTTATTAGAGATGACTTTTTAGTATTAAAAATGATTTGTTAAATAATAATAAATATTTTTAACCATAAAAAAATTCTTCTATCAGTGTTGGGGTATTTACCCTACGAAAAATTTAATAAAAAAAATAATAATAAAATACTCACTTGTCCTTTTTCATGTTTAGTTGTATCTGAAGTCTTAGAATGGTGCTGATCTGATTTGCCATGTTGTTGAGATTTACTTTTGTTGGTTCCTCTCCCGCCGGAGGACACCAACGATTTATTGCCAGAACTCATAACGAGCTACAAAATCCACTTATCTATGGCCTTTGCCTATTACACCTATGTACACGTGCTATTTACAATCTGTAATATAATAATAAAGCAAAAAAAAAATTATTAATCAACAATTACAATTATACATAAAACATATATACTAAATTAAATTAAAGAATAAATTTTATTAAAGTGACGCGATATTCCTATTTTAAGGATTGCAATCACATGTAAAAAAAAAAAAAAAGGCTCTTTAAATACCCAAATTAAATACCGGTGAAATAGTTAAATTATACGTCGTGCAAACGAAAGCAAAATATTAATTTAAAGGTGAATAATTGGTCGATGGCTTTTGCGTTTACACGTAATCTAATTGATAAGAAAAAGTTAAAAATTTTGTTCTTTAAAAATACCATAAATAACCGAAAAAACAGTTCGCGTACCTATTTTCGTGCAGTCAGAATAAAAATACATAAATTAACAGAAATAAAATGTCGATAGGTAAGTGTACGTTAAAGGCAGAAGTGAATATTCGTTGAAGTATAATATTTCTGTGAGACCATGTGCACGACGGACGCCATTTGTGGATTCAGGGTAAGGCTTGTCAAGCATCGTCGCAGCGGCAGCCAGCAGTCGTCGACATATACACTATCAATAAGTTCTTACAAAGCCCGTATGAATGTGTCTAAGAATGGCGGATTTCAGTGTGTAATATTTCTGTAAATCTTCACGATTTATTGGAAGCTTATAATAGCTCCTTTTTAATCTAAAGTTACACTATACTTACTAATTAGATTTAATAAACTATTTTCACGTTTTCGGCGCGCGTAAATATATTAAAAAAACAACGTATTAATCTCAGTACCTGGTTAGTGCGCTCAAACGCAGCTCAATCACGTGACCCTAAGTCTTTATCCCCTACCTAAACCGTCCAAATGAGACGCTTTGCCTTTTCCTTCTCCGCACCAACAATATAATGCAACAGCGATGCCCTTACAACTAAGTACACGCACAAATCACTATGCCTTTTTTACTACCACCTATACCTTTGAGAAATGTGCTTTAAATACTTGCCAATTATTTTTGTCGGCACACAACGAACGCTTACCTCCCGACCTGTTGTCCTCGGCGTTTATTGGAGCTCTCACCTCTCCCGTCAACGATTATTTTCATATACACATTCAAACTACACTTTAGCATTCAAGCGTACAAACTATAGATATATGAACCATCTGTCATGGAAACCAACCAAACTTTTGTCGCTCGTGTTTAATTTGATGTATAATTTATTTTAGACTAACATAAGAAACAAAGTACACTTTATGCCCGAGTTTCATGTATTTTACTACAGTTTCAATGACACTGAAGTTGACAGACATTAGAATTAGAAATTTTTAGAATTTTAAAATTTTAAATTTTAAATTTTTAGAATTATTTTTTATTGACAAAATTATTACAAAAAAATTTTTAAAAAAATGTCACTTGTAAAAAATTTCAAAAACTATAAGTGAAATTTTTTAAAAATATTTTTTGGTTTTAATTTAATTATTAAAAAAAAAACAAATAATTAAAAACGTCGGCTAACTTTCGTATCATCAGATATTTGATAATTTTTTTTACAAATAAATTATGTCAAAAAAAAGTAAAAAAAAAAAATGAAAATTAAGTCAGCCGACACTCAAAAATTTTTTATTTTATTTTATTAATTAAAAAACTATTTTTACAAAATTCCACGTACAATTTTTAAAATTTTCTACATGTGAAAATTTTTGTTTTAGTTTTTTAAAAATTATTTTTCAATATAATAAATTATAAAAGTTTTCAAATGTCGGCTAATTTAATTTTCATAAATTAAGTTAGCCATTTAAAAATTTTTTGAATTTTTTTTTATTAACAAAACAATTACAAAATATTTTTAAAAAAATTTCATTTGTAAAAAACTCAAAAAACTGAACGACAATTGTTAAAAAATATTTTTTAGTTCTTATTTAATAATAATAAAAAAAAATTAAAAACGTCGGCTAACTTTAGTGTTGTAAAAAATTGATCTGTAGAAATTTAAGAAAATAAAAAAAAATTCTATAAATTCTTAGATGTCAGCTAATTTAATTTTCATAAAATGGAAGTGACTGCTAATTTTAATGTCATGAAATTTTTTTAGAATTTTATAGCAATTAAATTATTATAAAAAAAAATTTAATTAAAAAATTCCACAAGTGAAAATGAATAAAAATGATAAGTGAAAATTTTTACAAGCATTTTTTTTATTGTAATTGATTTGTTAAAAAAATTTTTAAAATTGACAGCTGACGGCTTACTTCAGTATCAACAGATTCGGTAGAATCTGGCGCCAAGTTCCGTTCTCTAGCCAGACTACCGAGTGTGTGTATATACCGTAAGCAGAACGGTTTTTTGAGGTTACAAATTTTTTTTCAAATTTAATTTGATTTTTTTTTTTATATGATATTTTATAATAGTAGTTCATGCTTTTTATTACGCGTATTACTTGATTATTATCAATTATCTTTATAATTTCTATTTAAAATTATTAAAAATAATCAGCAAAATTTACAAAAAAATTTTTTTTAATTTCCGAAAATCATATACAACCCTATCGGTTACTTGGATTTTTTAATTTTTTATTTTATATCTTTTTGTAAAAAAATAAAATTTTTTTTTCTTAATAGTCTTATGAACGTGGACTTGGCGCGATTTTTTTACAGTGAAACTGTTTTTGTTCGGATTATTAGTTTCAACTAAAATCGAAGACTCTCGAAGCTTCATATTAGTTAGAACTTAATTTTTCGGCCAATTTCGGACTGTAAGTAAATTATTTAAACAGCGCATGCGCATCTTTCTTACTAAATAAAAAAATTAAAAACCAATCCGGTTAACCTAAAACGCGTTCTGTATTTTGTAATATAAAATTATTAATTAATTTATTGTTATTGATCAGTGACAATATTAGATAACATGCCACGATATCCATTACATGCTGCATCTGGTACAGGGCTCAGTTTTGATTTTCAACGAAAAACAATACGTCTTGCAAGATATGGATGTGCTAACCGACCATTTTATCACATTGTCGTTCAGCCTGTAAATATTATAATCTATACGATATTTAAATCTTCATTCAGGATTAATTATTTATCTTTATATTAATTATCTATTTTTAGACAGTATTAGAACAACGTCAACCACCTATTGAACAATTAGGTACTTTTGATCCAATGGCAAATCAATACAATGAAAGATTAGTATCTCTTAATTTAGAGAGAATACAATACTGGCTCGGTCAGGGAAATGTTTCATTATCAAAATCAATGAAGCAGCTTCTGGGGCTATCTGGATTTTTGCCTATAAGTCCGGTCACATATATCAATGCTTGGAGAAGTAGAAGGAAAACTGAAGAAGAGGAAAAAAAAGCCGCATTAAAAAAAAATGAAGACTCTCAAAAAGCAGAGCAATCTAATTAAGTAACAATTTTCTTTATTGTAAATAGTGTTTGATTTGAAGTTACTAAAAAATATTAAAAAGCTTATTGGTCATAATCAATTAATATACATTTTTTTTTTTTATTTTATCACTAATTTCAATATAATTATTATGATAATATTCATTTATTTAAATATCTATAATTGTTTTAATCAGGTCCAAAGAAATACATAATTATAATAATCAGCAATGTTGATAATTAATTCACACTTTACTGCTACATTTAGATTCAATTTTGTAATCTGTTTTATGGAAAATTGAATTATTTTATATATATTGTAATGATGTGGGATTTAAAAACTTATGTGACAATTTGTATATTTAACATGTTTTATTGGAATATAATTTATTTATTTGATGTATGTATTTTTAGATTGCCCGAAGAAGTCGGGATGTCCGACGAAACGTAGCAATAAAGTGTGAATTAATTGTCAAAATTGCGTTTTTAGTCTGATTATTATAATTATTTCTTTAAATAACGATTAATTTGAAATTGAAAGATTAAAAAAATTCCCCAGGTGAGGCTCGAACTCACAACCCCGGCATTGCTCACGAAATCACTGTCTTATAAGTACCGTGCGCTAACCAATTGCGCCACTGGGGAGAATACCGGTGTCTAACGAAATATCTAGTTAAAAAAACAAACCGTTGATAAAAACTAAGTATATGACTATTGATAACAATACATGGTGGTAAACTGAAAGAAAAAAAAATCTAAAGCTTTGTTATAATAAAACGAATGAACAACTATTTGATAATTTGTAATCATATATTTTTTATTTATATTATACACAAAAGTAGTATTAAAGTAATAAAATTGTCATAATTATTCTTTTGATGCAGAATATTCCTCAATAGCTACACATAAATTATTCCATAGTTCTTCTAACTTATCTTTTTTCAGTGGTTTTTTGCACAAATTTTTCATCAGCTGTTGATTTGCCTCCAGAAATCCTGTAACATAATTTATTAATTACAAGTATGTTTCAATACAATTTAAATATGTATAAACTTTACTCATTACCATCGTCAATTTCTTCAATTGTAAATATGTGATCGATTGTTTCAGTTCTAGAAGTTAATTGTGTTCGCCATAAAAATTTAGCATAAACTTTGTCTGCAGATTTTGATGAATGAAGACAAGCTATAAGTCCACCTCTTTCATCTTGACCATTATCTATCGTTACTATATTCTTATTCTTCAATTTTTTCAGAATTTTTTTTCTTAAACTACATTGGTAACTGTAATCACTGAAAACTGTTGACAAAAAAAAATCATTTTTTTTGACGATTTTTTTATTTTTCTTGAAATAAATAAGGTGTAAAAAATTATTTAAAAAAATTTTATTTATAATTTTTAAAAGCTCTGAAATATGATATTTTTTAAATAATTTTTTTTTTGTGATAAATTAATTTGTTAAAAAATTATTAGATATTTTTAAATTTTAGTGTTGATTATATAAATTATGATTGAATTAATTTGTAAAAATTTCTTACCTGACATAAGAAAGGAAAGATTTTTTATTTTAGTCAAAGCTAATACCCATGGTGATATTTCTTGAAGATACCCAATTTCAGTTTCTTTTAAATGGCATGTTATGTCAAGAATTTCATTAACACCTGGCTCCTATAAAAATAATTAAATTATAATAGACAAAAGTTATAATTCAGACTTACTGGTTTAAAAAAATAAGTAACCTGTTGATCAATCGTTACTTCAAGTTTGAATTGAAGTTCTTTCATTTCTACAGTAGCTTTATATTGCCAAATTTTATCTCCTAACCATTTTTTACTAACATTTCGATAGTTAATCCCAACAACAGTTTGTGTCATTTCTTTTATTTGTGTTATATTTTTCATTTCATCCAAGTTCTCGGTAGGAATCTGTTTTTGCTTCATAACTATTCTATTAAAAAAATAAATTCAATTAATTAATACTCATTGTAATTGATGTAATTTTTGTAAAAGAAGAATACTAACTCATTTAAATTAACTGATTTATTTTTACTCCGAGAGGACTCAAGATATTCCTTCAGTTGATCTCGAAGTTCAATAGCCTTGTTTAGTAAGTTCTTACGAGTTTCTTCTAATTTATTTAAATCTTCGTCGGGTATCATTGTGAAAAGTAAATTTAGAAGTAATGTGAATAATTTCTAATTGAAAAATATAAACAACTCTCGGAAACTGACAATTGCATGCACATGTAACCAATCACTTTGTCGCCATCTATAAACATGAATGTAGTATAAACTATAAGTAACTACTAATGGGAAGGGGAAAAGATTCACCAATCACGTAAGTTTTGCTTCATTGTCGAATCTTGACTGTAAGGTAAAACACTGTAATCGTAAACAAAAATAATTACATCTTAACCTTAATAAAAATATTGTAAAGATAGTAAGAAAAATAATTTTATACGACATGGATTCCTATATAATGCAGGTAAATATTATTACTATTTATTATTATTATTATTTTTTTAAATAAAACTTACCAATAAAATATTTTTTAGTTACGAAAAGTGTGGCTTAACCAGGATGGTGATACTTTAGCAGTAAGTAATAACATTAATTAGTTAAATTAGATTAATTATGAATGTTTAAAAATAATTTAAGAAAATTAGAGTGAAAAAAAAATATTTTACTCATATGTTTTTGCAAAAAAAATAATTAAGTTAGCTGACTCTTTTAATTTTTTGATTTTGCTTCATTTATTAAATTAGACCTAAAAAATATTTTTGTAAAATTGCACTTATAGTTTTTCAAATTTTCTATATGTCAAATTTTTTTCTAATGGTTGTAATAATTTTTTTCAGTAAAAAAAATTGAGATGTAAAAATAAAAAAAAATTTTAAATGCAATTTTTTATAAATACTTTTTTGGAACTAATTTTTTTAATAAATAAAATTAAAAAATTGTTAAGTGACTGCTAACTTTAATTTAATGTCATAAAAAGAACAAAAAGTGCCGAAAAAACGATTACATATTTAGGTTTTAATATGTTTAATGATTTACCAAAAGAAATAAAAGACCAAACAACTATTTCTGGTTTCAAGAGACTTTTAGCTGAATATGTTAAGATGAAGATCGATATTTAATTTATTGATGTTAAATAATTGATGACCTGAAACGTATTGTATGATATTATATTATTTTTATTTGATATTATTAATAGCCGAAAGTTGAAATTAAACTAAAAGACGATGTGCAAATGAATAAATTGTAATACGAGTGAATTATATTGTAATTTGTACATATATAAATATATATATAATATAGTCAAAGGCTAAATAAATAAACCATTATTATTAAAAAAACAAATTTTTTGAATTTTATAATCAGAATCGTTTGCAAAAATTTTTCGTTTTAACTTCTTGATTAATTTATATTTTTCATTAGCTTTATTAATTTATTAAATTTTTGTTTTTGTCAATAGGATTTACTGTCACTGCGACATAGTCATACGTCTATTCCTCATCTCAAAACTGAAACGGCGATAACCAAAGCTATGGAACATCTTTCAGCGCCTTTTGACGATCTCGTTATGCTTCATCTAAAGTAATAATTATTAAATATTATTATTATTATTATTATTATATTCATTATAAATTTATTTGACTATTTAAAAATTTTATTCTATTATTTTTAGAACTCTTTCCTCGGCAAGTAAAGACGACCCACGGACTACATACAATTATCAAAGTTCAGTTGTACAAAGCTTAACAAGAATTCTCCAACTTCAAAAAGATGATAACTGGATGTTACCTGTGATGAATGTCGTGTGCTTAGAACTGAGATTATTGGCTATACAAGCTGAGAATACAAAAAGTAAAAACACAAAACCTGGAGAAGTATTAGAAAAATGTGCTGAATGTTTGATGGGATGTTTTCGAGTTTGCGCTGCAGATAATCGAAGTTCTGAAGAAGACACAAAACGTTGGGGAATGTTGGCACTTGTTAATCAATTACTCAAAGTTTATTTCCGTATCAACAAACTTCACTTATGCAAACCTCTTATAAGAGCTATTGATTCATCAATTTATAAAGATCACTTCCCCTTAGCTCAAAGAGTAACATATAAATTTTTCGTCGGAAGAAATGCTATGTTTGATAGCAATTACCGATCCGCTGATGAGTATTTGACGTTTGCTTTTGAACACTGTCATAAACAATCAGCTAAGAATAAAAGATTAATACTTACTTATTTAATACCCGTAAAAATGTTATTGGGCTTCATGCCGAAAAAAAGCCTTCTAGAAAAATACAATCTCATGGAATTTTGGGATTTAGTAGAAGCTGTGAAAAAAGGAGATTTGCGAAAGTTGGAAACAGTAATGACTGAGCATGAAAGTTTTTTCATTGGTGCTGGTATTTATTTAATAGTCGAAAAACTAAAGTTGTTGGCTTACAGAAATCTTTTTAAAAAAGTTTGGTTGGCTTTAAATACTCATCAAATACCAGTCAGCAATTTATTAACAGCTTTAGAGATTTATGGAGTCGAAGATGTTGATATGGATGAAACTGAATGTCTAGTAGCTAATTTAATATATGAAGGCAAGATCAAAGGATATATTTCACATCAACATAAAAAACTTGTTATTTCTAAACAAAATCCGTTTCCTCGACTTTCATCAATTATTTAAAAATTTTAATTGTATTTAATTAATTTCAATTTTTTTTTATTATATACTAAGGTAAAAGACCCAGTTATTGACACTTGCAATTTTATTTTAATTAAAAAAAAAACACATCAACTCTAACAAATTAATAAATATAATTTTTGAATTATAAATTTCAAGATAAGGTAAAAGACCCCATTAGTGGCACCTTTAACCCTTATTAGTGGCACTTATTCTTTTAATGAACAAATGTTCTACTTGAAATAAAAATTACAAATTTTTTTGATCTAATAGCCTTAAAGATTAGAAATAATATATTCATTATTAAAATTAATGATTTATTAATTGAATAAGTATCAAAATCAAAGAAAGTGTCAGTAATGAGGTCCTCGCCACTAATAGGGTCATTTACCCTAATTTTTTTTTGGGAGATATTTTTTTAATTAGAATAAAATTGCAAGTATCAAACAACTAGGTCCGTGTCAATAACTGGGTCTTTTCTCTTAAATCAATTTCCAATTAAATCAAGTTGTTTAAATATTATTGAACGATTTTATTTAAAATTATGATTTTTGTGAATAAGATAAGTGTCTTGTTAATATTATTCGCATCACGTGTAAAAAAGCGTCATCACAAGAAATTAATATCAGAATATTTTGTAAATTTACAAAATAAAAACTAAAATTTATAATTATATTTACATATTTACTTATTTATTTTTTTTATTTGTACATAGTGAGTGAAGTACTTAAAATGTATTCATTGAATACATCATAATTTCAATGTACATAATTAATTACTTTTTTTTTGCTTGCTCTTCAGTATTTTTATGCTTCCACTTGTTGATAGCTAATTGAAGTAAATCTCGGTTCTCATATCCCCATGATAATAATACTATGCAGAACATTATACCTCCAATAAAAACATGGAAAAATTTGTAGTTAGGAAAATAATAAGACTGAAAAAAAATAAAAAAATTATGTTATTTAATTAACTATCAGTCAGCTGAACTTTTCAATAATAAAAACACTTACATGAGATACACCAGTGATGAAAATGGAAATGCTGAGAGACAAAAAGAAGAATTTTGTGGGTATTAAACCACGTAGTGGTTTATAGTTCTTTAATGGCAAGTGTCTTTGCGTAATAAATATAATTGAATAATAAATTCTAATTATCATATTTACACAGTTTCCAAATATCAAACCAACTGGACCCAGCCATCTAGTAAATGTATATGATGTGACAAAAAATGCTATTGATTGGAAAAAATAAATATAATATCTATTAATTATATCATTGTCTGCTGTCGCATTTGTATAACATTCTGTTATTCCATTTATTGCTAATAATAATATGGAAATACTGTGGACTCTCATCAGAAGAATAGGAAGATCATTGGTCAGTTTATCTCCACCGTATAACCAAAGTAGGGTTGATGAATAATATTGACCGAATACTAAAACTACTAAACCAAACGATGTCAAACAGGACGTCAAATGCTTCAATACATCAACACTTTCTTGAACTTTTACCTGTTATCCAAGCATCGTCAACAATTTAATTGATAAATTATAATCTTATAGTAAAAATAATCATTTAATTTTGATTTCACGTACAGGGTCTTGTTGTGTCAATGGCTCATTTCTTTTTATTGTTTGTGTAAAATAGAAGTACGCACTTTCTTCAACAGGTCGAAATATAAATCTTGCAGGCAGAGATCCAAGATTGCTTACAATATCATAGGTACCCTGAAAAAATTTTAATTGTCTATATTATTAAGAGAATAAGAAAAATTTTGTGTCCAGGATAGTCATATGATAAAATCTTTTTTTTTAGTGAAATTTAGTGTCATTGCAAAGGTGATTGAATTGTGATTTGAATTTGTGCCTTTTTAAGGTTTTATATCATTCTCACTGATAGTCAATTTATTGTGATAAGTATTTAGGCTGCATTCGAAAATGCTCTATCTCTATATACATAATTAAGAAATTACTTTGTCTCTTGTGAACTATTGACATTTTCAAAGATATAAGCTCACCTCGACATTACACCCATTGAGACCTTTCATTTGAGTACCCACATCAATTTTTCATATATTTTATATATATATGTATATATGAAAAATATATCAAAAATGCATGTGGGTACTCAAATGAAAGTTCTTGATGAGTGTAACATCGGGATGAGCTTATATCTTTAAAAAAGTCAATATTTAAGAAAGTACAGTGCAATTTAACCATTAAGTAATTATTTAATAATGCAAAATTTTATTTATTTGTAGTTCACAAGTCACGGCGGTCACATAATGCCTGGAAGGTTGCTAGTTTAATCTATTCAAGTATTTGCTACTTATTTCTTACCTGTTCTGCAAATGACAATAATGGCCATATCGTCATAATGATTTTTTCACCTTCAGCTAGACACAGCATTGTAAAACTTTGCTTGAAGAAACTCCAAGTGAGTTTTACGAGATTTTTATCGAATTTTGATTCCTGTAATAATATTTTCAGTGTAATTTTTACTTTTATTGAATTATTTTTCGCTTTAATACCTTATTTTCTAGCTGAGACGGGAAAAATTCAGCTACAGATTTAAAAGGAAAATCTTCATTGACATTTTTAGAATTTTTTCTATTTTCTTGCTTATCCTGACTTGAAGTTGATTGATGATCATCATTATTACTTCGCTTTAGATTATTTTTAATATACCAATTAATATAAATGTAAGGAGTTATTGTGTAAAATAATGTCGCAACTATTTGGGCAACACCAAAAGCCAACAATGCACTGTCCGGTTGATATAAAACTATCAGAACAAATATTACTGTACGAAGCACGATTGTAACAGTTTCTATTGCAATCTGTAATTTAATTAAAAATATCAATTTGGTTTAATTTAATTTAATTAATCAGTCTAAAACTAAATGTTGAAAAAAAATTTACCTTACACCGTACAAAAAGAAATGTACTCAGTACTAATTGTATTATTAAGGAAAAGAAATAAATAATACAGGAAATAACTACAGCATAAACTGCAAAATCGTAATATAATGGTAAGTCTTCAACTGTAGATAGTACATACAGCCATATAAATCCAAAAAAAATTGATATCACTGACCAAATTAGTACTCTGTAATTAATATGACAAGAATAGTTTTAAAAAATAATATAGAATAAAATAATATTTATTCTTACAGTATCCAGAACATGTTGACAACTTGAGCCCAATTATGAGCTGATGCATCGGTTAGACAAGCTTTTAAAAAAGGTTCTCGACATATCATAAATATGACTGACTCCAGCAGAAGGAGCCTGACATTCATAACACCAAGTACTTTTTCACCAACATGTCGTATAATAAACACATTTAGAAAAAATGTTATACCACGGCATAAAATCTGAAATCATAAATAATTAAATTGCAAGTAAACATTATATGGTTTATAAAGATATAAGTTTTTATAAATATTATCATTACTTGTAGATTAATATTAAAAAATGCATTTGTCAAACTAGTTGACAAAATATTTCTAGCCATTGTTATTTTAAATATTTATATAAATATGAAAATTTCTGTCGATTTCACTAAAACTGTTGTCAAAAAGATAAACCATTATTTATATTTATATATGAGCTCATCAAAATAAAGGTTACATATTTTTGAATATATAAGTATGTTTTTTTCGAGAGCCACGTTATGCATTACGTCTGTTTAAGGCTGGGCGGTAGTAAAAAATTTTTCTAAGGTCAATTTTACGCCCTCACAGGTTGCGGTCGACTCGGAAAGCTTGATGAAGTCGTAAATCACATTGGTAATAAAGAAATCGTACAAAGAGTGGTAATATCCAGGGACGTATTAAATTAATGGTGTGTATTCTGTCACATTAGAAAATTCGTGATATAATTTTTGTTGTTGTAGAGAAAAGAAAACTCGTTTTCATTAAAAAAAAACGGAAGATAATTATTTAATTTTTTAAGTTCAGAAATTGAACACTATGACAAATTCTAAAACGGGAACCCGTTCATCACGTGTCAAAACGGGAAGCTATGTATGCTATTATTTTTATTAGAGAATTCAAACTTTGAGGAGACAAGGACAAAAACGACTCTCCGTTTATTTTAAAAAACGCGTCCCCGTTTATTTAAAAAAAAACGGGTCAATAAATTAATTATTGTTATAAAGATTTATTTTTAAAAAATTGCATTTTTAATTTATTAAAATTTCTGCAATTGCATTTTTTATTTTTTTAATTTTCTAAATGTCAGTTTTTTTTTATATAATTTATTTTTGACAAAAATTCTTAAAATTATAAAATATTTGATGATCCTGAAGTTAACCGTCAGCTGTCAATTAAAAAAATTTTTTTAAAAAATCAATTACAATAAAAAAATGCTTCTAAAAATTTTCACTTGTAATTTTTATTAATTTTCACATGTGAAACTTTTCATTGAATTTTTTTCTATAATAATTTAATATAATCCCAAAGTTAGCCAACGTTTTTAATTTTTGAATTTTTTTCTTCATTAACAAAATTAGAACTAAAAAATATTTTTTAAAAAATTGCACTTATAGTTTTTCAAGTTTTTAATGAACGAAATTTTTTTTTGTGACAATTTTTTCAATAAAAAAAAATTCTAAAAATTTTCAGATGTCGGCTAACTTAATTTTCATTAATTTAATTACTAAAAAAATTTTTAATATCTGTCAACTTCAGTGATGAAAATTAAGTTAGCCGACATTTAAAAATTTTTAGAATTTTTTTTTTATTGAAAAAATCATTACAATAAAATAAAAACAAAATTGCACTTGTAAAAAACTTGAAAAATTACAAGTGCAATTTTTAAGAAAATATTTTTTAATTCTAATTTAATAAATGAAAAATATTCAAAAAATTAAAAACGTCGGCTAACTTTGGTAATATACTTCAGTGTCATTGTAAATTTATAAATTCCCGGCGGATAAAAACGTTCTAAGAATAATAATAACAACACAATGACAATAACAATAATAATGATAGTAATTGAATCGTACCATGAAAATCGTACCATCGCGTTATTTCCATTAAAGAAAACTCGAGTAAGACTGTCAGCCGCGCGCCTGCCTAAGTGTTAAACACACATAGCGATAATATTATATAAACAGAATAGGATAGTTTTGTATGTATGTGTTTGCATAATACGGATATCTGTGTCCTCATGACATTACTATAGAGCTTTACACTATATAGGATTTGGTGTGAATTCGCGCTCGATCGAAACCATCGTGGTTTGTCAAAAAACTTTTAAGGAGGAAAATCATTAGAAGAGTGTTTTAAAAATATATATTATCTCAAGTACATTTTAACGTCCGTTTAGACAAGCGTCATTCAGTGGCGTCATCCGGTGATAAAGATTCGTCAGTGAAGAGACGACATGCGGGACGAAATCGTTATAAACGGCTAGTGCTATTGATTGACTGTGCGATTGGTTAAATTAGAATTATATGCAAGTATGGCTGCTCTGCCGTCACCCACACAGGTATACAACTATTTTTTGATTAATAGACAACAAACATCTTTTTCTCCAACATTAATTACTTTCTGCTAAAAATTATCAACGAACCTTCGAAATAAAATTTTTTATGCCAAGGCAAATGATTTTATATATCAGTAGCGACAATATATCAACTGACGTACACCCTATCAACCTGCTGATAATTTTATTCTAAATCTCTTTTATTTTTTTAATCATCAGTTATCTTTACTCAAGCATTTATTAACATTTCACTTAATTTTTCTTTGTCACCTGTCAAAATTATCAATAATTCTGCACGAATAATTTACACATAAATTATTATTATTATTTTATACTTAATCATTATTAAGATTAATGACACTGAAGTTAGCAGACGTCTAAAAATTTTTAATTTTTTTTTTTTAATTAAATTACAACTAAAAAAAGATTTTTAAAAAATTGCACTTGTTTTTCAAGTTTTTTACATGTAAAATTTTTTTTTTTTAATTGTTTAATTGAAATTTCTTCAATAAAAAATTTCTAAAAATTTTGAAATGACAGCTAACTTCATTTTCATTAAGATTAAGATTATATCTATTAAATCTAGTACTTGTACATACTAAGTAAAGTTGTATTTAGAAAACATATAACAGTGTCTTATGATTAACTTAACTTGAACATTTTTATTGATCCAAGTTAACATAAATGATATTTTTATTTTAGGTGGCTGGAAGCCATGAAGCTATTTATGAGGCTTATTACAACCAGGTTAGATTTTTTTTTTAATATAATAAATTAAATAAATTTTTAAAAATAATAATGCTTATTTAATTTTGATAAGGTGGATCCAAAGGGATATGGAAGGATTGAAGCAATGGATGCAGCGAGGTTTCTTAAAAAATCCCAGCTGAGTGATGTGATACTCAGCAAAATATGGGACATGGCCGACCCACAGTCTAGGGGTTCACTCGATAAAACGGGTATGTTTGTCGCCCTAAAATTATGTGCCTTTGCCCAAGCTGGACGCGAATTGAACATCGCTAATTTGAGTCAAGATATAGCTCCACCAAAGATGGTAAATAACTAAATAAAATATTAGCACTAAAATATAACTTTATACTTATATATTATTTTTTTTTAATATTTTTTTAAGGGTGACATTAAACCAGTTATCAAAAAGAGTCCGGCCGTCCCTCCGCCACCTGTTATTTCAGCAGTAAACAGTAGTGACTGGTCGATAAAACCGCATGAACGCATTAAATACGATCGTTTGTTTGATGACTTACAGCCAACGAATGGTTATATACCTGGTAATAAAGTAAAAGGTCTTTTGATGGATAGCAAACTGCCTATGGACACTCTTGGCAAAATATGGGATCTTGCTGATATTGACAAGGATGGAATGCTGGACAGGCATGAATTTGTCGTCGTAAGATTTATTGATTTTTTATTTAACACTACACGGCTGTCCAATTTCAAAACACAGTGACTGGACCCCATTCGGCAAAACAGTTCTAATTCGTTTCCTATGTGATGTATTGACTTATAATTGGGACCAAACTTTAACATAACATTCCCTCTAAATATCTTGATAGTTATTTTTAATTTATAATAATTTAAAAATACTGAACAATCGTTTAGAAAAAAAAACTTACGAAATTGAACTTTTTTTGTAAAAAAAAGTTGCAAAAATTTTGATTTTTAGTTTGAAATCAGTCTTAAATAAGACTAAGTCTCATTTATAAATCTCCTAAATTTAAAATTGCCTCAAAGTTCACCTGGGGTCCACTGGACCCTGTGTGTCCGCAGCCGGTTAAGATTTTTCAAAATTTTTATTACTAAAAAATAAAATGCGCGTTAAATTAATAAAAAATTTGATCTATGCATAGAAAATACTTGATTATAAATATTTTCAAGAAAAAATACTTTAAATTAAATTAAGGTCTACAAGTTATAAGAAATGCAGTAATACTAAAAAAAATCAGACATAAAAATTTTGTAGTTACTGTGTTTTAAAATTGGACAGCTGTACAATTTACCATAATATTCCAATAGCTAGCTAACAATCGTTTTGTAGGCTATGCATCTTGTTTACAAAGCTTTGGAAAAACATGCGATTCCAAGTGTTTTGCCGCCGGAATTGATGCCACCTGGAAAAAGAAAAGATGCTCCTCTTATCGCTGACCTTTCAGCTCCAGCGATGGTAGCTGCTAAAATACCGCCTATACCACCACTACCATCTGCATCTGCGATCAATAATTTAGTGGGTTTACAATCCGTCAAGGTAGATATTGTAACAATATCAATATCAATATAATGGAAAATAATCTTCGATTTTTAATTTTTCATTTTTCATTCATAATTTTCTACTTTAGCCTCCATCACAGCAACAACCTGTACAGTGGGTCGTATCAGCAGAAGATCAAGCTGCTGCAGATAAATTATTTTTACAGGCAGATATGGATATGGATGGATTTGTTTCGGGTACTGAGATCAAAGATGTTTTTCTTCAAAGCGGACTCCCACAATCTATACTCGCTCATATATGGTATATTGAAATAAAATACAAAAATATTAATATTATTCGTATACATTGATTGATATTAAATTATATCTATAATTTATTTATTTTTGTTTAGGGGTCTTTGTGATTTGGGTCAGAGTGGCAAGCTAAACAAAGAACAGTTTGCACTTTCAATGTGGCTAATAAAACAAAAGTTAAGAGGAATCGATCCTCCTGCTTCACTCATGCCTGACATGATACCTCCGTCTTTGAGGAAATTTACTGACAGTGGAGTAGCAGTAAGTCAAGATCTTTTTTTTTTTTTAATTATTCAATACTATTAAAAATAAATTAGTAATAATTTCAAAGGGATAAGTTACGTTTACGTCCCACCCAAGCGCGATAGTAAACATACAGAAATACTGAGACTAAAGGAATTGCCCCAAGCATTATAACTCGATAATCTAGATTTTTAGGCATCTCATATGATACTTCCAAACGAATGACACCACTTAGAGTATTTCTTTGCCAACAACTGTAAATATTTATATCGGCGTATCGCAAGGACTTGAATTTTATTTGTTCTCGAGAATCTATAGATATACGTCCACCTGATTGAATCTTTATTAAATTTGGATCTAAAATTTTTGTTCCAACTTTCCAAACTACTGGCAAATCAGTATTCATGTTTCTAGAAATATAATTTTATTATCAAAGTTAATAATCGTTAACTAAATTTCGGTAGTCGGAAAAAATAGACCCGGAAAAAATTTTAAAGTTATGAAAAATTCATTAAAATTATTATAAAATAAAAGTAATAATAATTTAATAAATCTATCATTTTTATTTTATATTTTCCGTGTCCATTTTTTCCGGGATTTCCAAATTTTATAACTTGGTTAGTAGTCTTACCCTGGACATTTTAATTTTAAACTATAGCCATGTTTCTCATATAAAGTAACACGTTTTACTGATGGTTGAAGTTCTGGTATACCTTGAGCCAAAGAAAATATCCCTGCGCTATTATTTGCTGTTTCTATTACCTTGCCGTTTCGATCTCGTACTTCATAAATCTCATCAGTTGGACATTTAACTTTACAAAATTTCTTCATAATTTCTGTTTTACGGTTTTTTATTTCTGGAATTTCTTGGATTAATCGAGGAGTAAATGACGACCGACATGGTAATTTATTTCGAAACATTTTCAATACATTTTCCGCTAGTCTCTTCAATTTTCTATGCAAAATTTTTTCTTCGTCTGTTAATCGTTCATTGACATAGTCTGCTGGTTGCTCACTGATACTATCAGTTTCATTTTTAGATCTCTTTAGAATCGATTTTTCTGTAGATAGAGCTTCGTTTGACTCAACTTCTATACTCGCGAAATTCATAAAATAATATTTGTATATTATTTACTGTTAAAGTAAAGTGTTAATTTTTTATTAAATATTCTACTCACTATCATCTTCTTGTTGTTCAAACTCTAGAAGAGATATTGTACAGTGTCCATATCTTACACATGTACCAACCATACCGCACAATGAACAAGGAGACCATGGAGACCATAATGAAAATATCTTTATTCCATATGAATGAAGTATTAAAGGTGGTGCAGGATGTTGAGCATTTAATGCTTCTTCTGGTCGTACCATAATTATAGGTTCACTTTCGTCAGTAACATAAAGATAATGATAATTTGACAAAGTATCACCCATTTTACACCAATATAAACCTTCTTGAAATCTTTGAGCATTGTAAAGAGTTAAATTTCCATTTTCATATGACATTATATTATTTTCGTCTAATAAATCTATTTGCGTATCTTCGGCATTAATATTACGGATATCTCGATAAACCCATTCGATTTTTTCAATCGTATACACATCATTTGGTGAAAGACAAATGTCGCAATTTATACTTAAAAAAATATATAAGAGAATAAGAAAAATTTTGTATTCAGGTTAGTCAAATTCTTATGATAAGTATTTAGGCTGCATTTAACTTAAAAATACTCTACTCTAGATACATAATTAAGAAATTACCTTGTATCTTGTAAACTATTGACATTTTTAAAGATATAAGCTCACCTCGACATTACACTCATCGAGACCTTTCATTTGAGTACCCACATCAATTTTTCATATATTTATAAATATTATATATATGTATATATGAAAAATATATCAAAAATGTATGTGGGTACTCAAATGAAAGCTCTTGATGAGTGTAATATCAGGATGAGCTTATATCTTCAAAAATGTCAATAGTTAAGAAAGTACAGTGCAATTTAATATAATTAAGAAACGACCTTGTATCTTGAGAACTATTGACATTTTTAAAGATATAAGCTCATCCCGACATTACACTCATAGAGACCTTTCATTTGAGTACCCACATCAATTTTTCATATATTTATATATATCATATATATATAAATATATGAAAAATATATCAAAAATGCATGTGGGTATTCAAATGAAAGCTCTTGATGAGTGTAACATTGGGATGAGCTTATATCTTAAAAAATGTCAATATTTAAGAAAGTACAGTGCAATTTAACAAAAGTAATTATTTAAAAAAAGCAAAATTTTGATTACTTATAATTCACAAGTCATGGCAGTCACATAGTGGCTGCAAGATTGCTAGTAGAAATATTATTTTATTGCTTAAATAAATCTTACGTTATAGATGTTCCTTCTAATACTGATAATGACGAAAGATCTAATGATTTTTCTGGACCAAGCTTGGAATGTTTTTGTATCAAACATTCATAGTAATTTTCCCAAAGCTTTTTGTTTATATTTTGTAACGTTTTGTTACCTCTTGGGTACTCAAATTCACTTATGTCAATATCTAAATTACTTCTGTGTTTTTTTTTCCACACATTATGTATCTTCTCTTTTATGACTTTAAATTTATTTTTCAATTTTATTGGAAGGTCAAAATTGATTGCAATATCTATTAAATACCATGTAATAATAATTCTCAAAAGTAACATGTTACAATCTTTTTAACCTTTATAAAAAGTTGATGCGCTTTTTTTTTCAGGAGAACAATAATGTTCCGACCTATTCAAATCCTGAACTGGATATGATCAGTATAGATATCGCGGATTTAGCTCGTGAGCGGCGCATGATGGAACAAGATATCGCACAAAAAGAAGCAGATATTAAAATAAAAAATGGGGAAATTAAAAGCTTGCAAAGTGAGCTAGATACTTTAGCTGCTACTTTAAAACAATTAGAAAATCAAAGAGGAGAGGCACAAAAGCGACTGAATGATTTAAAAACTCAGGTATTATTTTATTTAATAATCACGCTTCATATTTAATTTGGAATTTAATTTAGTACATAGTTAAGAGAAATAATCAGACATTTTTTATAATTATATTTCAATGAATGCGCACGGATGCATGCACGAAGTTAGCTAAAAATTATTTTTATAGCTTATTGCATTACGTTAAATATTATTTATTTTTAGTTATTATATTTTTTGTTGGTTTTTTGTTTTTTGTTTTTTTTTTTTTTTTAATTTTTTTATGTATACTTCCGACTTGTAGCGGACTGAAGTAGAAAAAGAATTAAATGAAGTCGAACAAGAAATTCGTATCCAGCAAGAAAAGGTATTTATCTTAAAAAATTTATATTTAAAAAATTTATACATTAATTCCGAGATTGTCAACATTTGCCTAATTCCTTCAATGTTTACAAGGTAATAGAATGTGCATGCAAGTAGTATAAATGATTAAATAAATTCATCATGTAAATAAAAAAAATAATCATTCAAATAATCCAGAAGTACTAACTAATTTTAAATTAATACTAACATTTATAAATAATTTTTATTTGATAAATGACAATAATTTTTCCAAAAGGTGGATAAGCTGCGTCAACAAGCAGAAGAACAAGAGACAGTTTTAAAATCCCAGGAAGATGAACTTAATAGCAAGCGACAAGAATTAGAGGGTCTTCGTCAGGAAGAACAACAGCTTGAGCAGCAACAAAATAATAGTCGAGACCAATTAAACGAATTAACTAAAAACCTACAAAATACTCAGCTTCAAATAAGCCAAGCAAAAGCTAAAATTACTGATTTGGAAGAACAGCAACGTCAAATGACCGATGCTATTGCGATTTACGACTCAGCCTTGGCAGCAGGAGACCCAAATCTTGTTCCGGATACTAGTCTACAATTTAATCCGGAAATAGATGCACTCGAGTAAGTATACTTACTATTCACTTACCTTATATTACTTTATCACTGTCAACATCAACATTAATATTAATATCAGTTGTCAAAATATTTTAAATATTAAAAAATCATATATACATACGTCCGAATCACTGTAATTATCTATTTATCTATCTATCTATATAACATAATTAATTTTATAAATAGTATAATTTGTATTAATGAATAATCTTTTTTTCTCACTAGACTTGAAAATGAAAACTCAACAAAAGTCAATGGTTCGAGTGGCGAAAATCAAGGACCTAACTCGTTTATAGGAATGAATGGATCATCAGACGGTTTTGGAAATCAAAATGATCCATTTTCATCAAACAAAGCTAAAGATACATTCGGAAATGGTGAAGGTGATCCATTTACTAATTTCGATGGAAGGACAATATCATCTGGGTTTGCTAGTGACCCATTCGCTGCGAAGAGCAAACAAGATTCATATGATCCATTTGGTGACAATAAAAAAAATGAAAAACCAGCTATGGAAACTGTAAGATTTAGTCTATATACTATTAATAAATCATTATTTGTATATCAGGAATTTGGACAAGATAGGGTCTTAATAACAATTACATTATTATTACTGTGACGTTTCCGTCATTTATCAGACCTTCCTCAGGTATCTGAAAATAAAACATATTAATAACCAACAAAATAACATAACAATTGACATAGTTGCAATATTTACCACAATACGAATTACAACAATCACTATCTTACATTGCACAGTTGCCTTTGTCATATAAATTAACAAAATTGATAAGATTGTTATTATGGTCCTATGTTGTCCACATTCCTGATATACAAATAATTATTTATAATTATGGACGATAATATTAACATATACAGTGGATTTTTGGTAACTCGAACCTTGTTAAGTCGAAATCCTCAGTAACTCGAAAAAACTTTGTATTCCTTTTCGCTAAACTCTTAAATACGCGATATCTCGAATTATTTAGACTCAGTAACTTGAACTTAGTATCGTTTCCCTTCCAGTATCAATAAGGGATATTTATACTCTATAACTCGAATTTTAAAAGTGAAACTTTATAAATCGAAGTTGGTAAAACATAAAGACTTTTTTCTCCGAACTGTCCAAGTTTTTGGCAATCAAATTTATTTCTTATATTCTTGTTTGTGATGTATATTTTTTCTCTAAGTTATTTTCTTGCAAATCAAGTGTTTTCTTAAGTTTTTTGATCTACTTGTAAATTTTGAACACCTTGTTAAGTCGAAAATTCGTTAACTCGAAGTTTTTATCACTTCCCTTGAAGTTCAAGTTATCGAGAGTCCACTGTATTCATAAATTCAAACACATGATATAATAATACATAAATTTCAAAAATGCTTTATAGGCAAAAGATCCCTTCGGAGATGATCCTTTCGCAAATCTTCACGCGCCTACTCGTGCCGAAAGCCCAAGTCCTGCACTTCCACCCAAAAAAGCTAAGCAACCACCACCAAGACCTGCACCACCTCGACCGGCAAGTGGACCAACTGGGCCACTCCGAGCAGCACCTGTTCCTCCCACGCCTTCACCAACACCAGATCCATTCTCTAACAGTAACGCAGACCCATTTGCGGCTCAAAATGATAACAACAACGGTAACACCGGTTTTGGTTCAACTGGTTCTGGATTTGCAGATTTCGCAAATTTTGACGCCAAGGTATAATTAGTACTTCAATAATATTTTTTTTTGTTTTATTTTATTGATTGTTTATTCATATTTTTTTTTATTTATATATTTTCTGTATGTTAGTTATTTTTTTTTTAAACATCAATTATCAATGTTCTTTATTTATAAATTTAGGTAATTGCCGTTATTTCAGTTATAATCCACAGACCTGATTCCTGGAGCATGCTGTTGTAACTATAATTGTATTATTTTTATTTTAAATCACGTTTATTTTTTTATATTATTTAATTTTATCGTTATGTAATTTTTTTTTTTTTTTTTTTTTTTTTTTATCACAGCATTTATTATTTTGTGTGTAATTAATTTATGTAGCAAAGAGATAGCAGTCCAATGGAGCAGACGATAATTGGTGGCATTATGCCCCTATTTCCTCTTTAACTTTTCAGTAAACCCAAACTGATTCGTGAAAAAAAAAAAAACCTGCTTCAGCCGGACTTACAACCCACGCGAACGGCACCAGCGAGGCCAATGAGCAGACCACGCGCTACACCAACGCCAAGTCAAAAGTTACCCGACTTTACGGAGGATCCATTCAGAGACTACCGCTATGAAGATCCATTCGAGATTGCAGATCCATTCGCCGACGAAGATGATACAAATGCAAATACAAAGAAGAGTCCAACCAGTGTCACCAATGGCCGTAAACTTGATCCATTTGGATTGGAGACAACAGCAACATCAGGCAACAATTATTCTTTTAAAGATAAAGATTCCTTTGACAAGGGCTTTGATTCTGATTTTTCAAAAGCATTTCCCTTAATTAAAGAAAATATTGATAAAATGGGTAATTTTATGACTGAGACTAAAAATAATTCATTTAAAAGCATAAATGAATTTGAATTTGCAAATAACAGTATAACTGAGACAACAAAGTCAACCAATAAACCTATTAATTTTGATGAAGCTTTTGCACCAAAAAAAACTGACAAAAATCTCAATTATTCTGGTCGAAATAGCGCTCAGGCATTCGATGATATGTTTACTCACGATAATTCGCATATTAATAAAAATAATAACAATAATGCTACATGGAATGGTCGAAATAATACCTCTAAAGGACTAACAGAGCAGCAACAACTCGCTTGGGCAGCTCAACAAAGTTTGCGTGCTGAAGAAGAAATATTGCGGCGCAAAGCTCAAGAAGAAGCCGATTTTGCTTATGCGATTGAGCTCAGTAAGCAGGAGAATGCAGGAAAATTTTAAGTTTAAAAAAATAAATAAATAAATAATAAATAAAAAAAAAAAAAGAAAAAAAATTGTATCAATAATTAAAAGCGAGTCGGTGCTCAATAAAAAACAACAAAAAAATTGTTAACAATAGCATAACAACTTTCTTGTTTTGTGTACTGATTATTAAGTACATTACGAAAATAAGATAATGCGCGTGGCATGTTATACTGTCTCTTCTGCCTTCAATCAGTATTTATTCTGTATTACGCGCCACACGAACTCTAAATTTATATATATATATATATATATATATATATATATATATATAACTTCAATTCTTACATTATATGCCTTCCCAAAAAAATATTATTGATAAAATAAGACATACTAAAAAAAAAAAAAAAATTAAGCACAGACTATAACTATGCATTATACGATAAATTATAGGAATAAAAAGTTACGTTATTTTATGGATATCAGAAAAAAAAATTATACTATTAATGAGTATCATTGTTTTTGGTTAGTTAGTAAGTTATACGTATAAACTTCATATCAGATTTAACAAAGTACGTAACGAGCAATAGTTACTTACCGGAATATTTAAAAGATTATTAGTTGTTAAAAATATGTAAAACTTAAAAATTCCATGTTTTTATGTTATAAGTTTTATTATTCATACATTGCTCGATACGATCCAAAGACTACGGTGTTCAAGTTGAAAATATTAAAAACAAAAAAGAAACAAACCATTAAATCATAATTAATTAGTCTATTTGGTAAATATTATTGTGCGTACTTTTGAGTTAAATATCATTGTTACTTGATTGCCTTTGTTGTTTGACAATGATTGCTACGTATATACATATACAATCATGGTCATTAATTTAAATATGTTTTTTAATATTACTGAAAAAGAGAAGTTTGTAAATTAGAAGGTTTATTAACTCTAAATTTGGAAATTAGTTGATAATGTCATTTGTAAAATTAGTCGCTAATAAAAAATTATATTAATGAAATTAGCCAAATGAAAATTTTACCAAATATAAATTTAGTCATTTATAAAATAGCTAGTAGCTACTATCTGAAATTTTTTTTCAACACAGATATCACTGAGTATAATCTGGGCCAAAATAGTAGCCACAGATTTTTTTTTTTTGCTATTTTATAAATAACTGAATTTATATTTGGTGAAATTTCCATTCTGCTAATTTCATAAAAAACATTTTTTAATTGCGACTAATTTTACAAATAATATTATCAAGTAATTTTCAAATTTATAGTTTATAAACCTTCGAATTAACAAATAGCTATTTTCCAGTAAACTAAACAACAAATTTAAATTAATGTCCACAATTGTATGTATAACTTTTTGATGTATATATTCTCCTAGTTATACTTAATAGTCACTTAAATAATTACTCTGATTATTGAGGTTGCGAATCATTGTTACGTATTATATTTTTACATTCACATTTAACATTTAATTTTGATTTATTTTTCTTTTTTGATTTATTTATTATTGAATAATTATAAATTTTATATTACGTATTATTAATTTTTTGATTTATATCTCTGTATATATCGGAGTTTCTTACAAATTGAGATTATTAAAAATAAAATGTAATATCAAAGCAAATTATTTAGAAGCATATAAAAATTTTTTTTTTTTTGCAACAAAGTTTATTTTATTTTAACGTAAAGCTTATTAAGCGACTTTCTCTAACTCTTATTTAATGTCGTAGATATGAGACAAATACTGTAAAACCGCTGAACTACTTTACAATAAGATTAAATATTATGCAGTATCGCATAATAGGTATTAAGTTTTATTGTGAAGTGGAATCAAGCTATTTTATAGATGATGATTATTTATTTATTATATTATTTTTTAATTTTATTATTTAAGTGAGTGAAAATATTTTTTTGCATAATTAAAATGCCTGATATAGGTAATAATATTAGTAATTATTATTTTTTATTATTTCTATCATAACAATATTATATATTTTTTTTTGTTTTTACAACGAATAAATTAAATGCAATTTAAGCATAGTTTATTTAATTGAAATACTTTATATAACGGTTAAAGCGAGTACATAGACAATAGCTGATGAAATAAATATATCTATTCATGTATGAACGAATAGATTACACTGAAAAAAAGATATAATATGTGTTACAAATGATAATAATAAAATACGACAAAATAAAATATAAAAAAAAAAAAATACTATGCATATTATTTATGAATATATATAAAATTGAAATGTTTAATAAAATGGCATTTAAAAATATAAAAACACTTAATTTAAAGAAAAAATGAATGAATGAATAAAAGCGTGAGAGTGGGTATGGTGCCTATTTAAGAGCACGAGAAATGAGATTATTAGTACAAGTAGAAGTGTATTATGTTACCAATGTATATATATATAAACAAATTCAAAACGAAATTATAAATGGTACATATTAATTAATTGACTGTCATCCATCGCGTAAAAAATTCAAATAATGTTATATCTAAAATAATTATTCATATTTCATGATTTAAAACACTATATCAACTAAATTCTTCAAGCTGTTATTTAAATATAAAATAAATAAAGTATGAATATAATAATTGCAGGATTGTGCAGAATTCATAACTTATTTTTTTGAATAGATTTAGTTTCTTAGTTGCTGATTGATCACGCTAATTAATTAATTAACCCGTTGAGGACATACGTCGAAAAAATCAATTCTAATTCGTTTCCTATGTGATGTATTGTGACTTATAATTGGCACCAAATGTTAATATAACATTCCCTCTAAATATCTTCATAGTTATTTTTAATTTCTAATAATTTAAAAATACTGAAAAATTGTTTAGGAAAAAAAACTTACGAAATTGAACTTTTTTATGAAAAAAGTTGCAGAAATTTTGATTTTTACGATATCGAAAAAAAACCGACGCCACTTTATTCAGATAACAATATATTTTAAGGAAAAAAATCAATATTTGATGAAGTTTGAAAAAAATATATTTATTCTGAAGTTTAAAGTTACGAAGTCTCTATGTGACTGCCGTGACTTGTGAACTAAAAATAAATAAAATTTTGCTTTATTAAATAATAACTTTTGTTAATTTGCACTGTACTTTTTTAACTATTGACGTTTTTGAAGATATAAGCTCATCCCGATGTTACACTCATCAAGAGCTTTCATTTGAGTACCCACATGCATTTTGATATATTTTTCATATATACATATATATAATATGTATTTTAAAGATATAAGCTCATCCTGATGTTACACTCATCAAGAGCTTTCATTTGAGTACCCACATGCATTTTGATATATTTTTCATATATACATATATATAAATATATAAAATATATGAAAAATTAACGTGGGTACTCAAATGAAAGGTCTCAACGAATGGAACATCGGTATGAGCTTATATCTTTAAAAATGTCAATAGTTCACAAGATAAAAGGTCATTTCTTATATATGTATCTAGAGATAGAGATACCAAATTTAACCATAAAAACCCATTTTATCATATAAATACATTGGCCACAAAATTTTGCTTATTCTCTTAATAATATAGATTATTACAATAAAAAAAATATAAACATCTTCAAGAATATCAATGAAATCAGTCGTAAATGAGACTAAGCCTCATTTATAAATCTCCTTTTAAATTTAAAATTCGCCTGGGGTCCAGTGGACCCCGTGTGTCCTCAACGGGTTAAAATGATAAATAAAATTACGCTAATTGTTTTGAATCGCAAATCTACCCATTTTTGCCTAAAAAAATAACAGTTAAATAAGCAAAATGCATACACTGTAAAAATAATTTAATTTTAAAGTATTTATTTATTAATGGTGTAAAACTAAACATTTTAAAAAATTTTAAATTAAATATTTGATTGTTATAAATTTTATATGAAAGAAAATTTACTCCAAAAGGATCATACATAATTGTATAAAACCATTTTTACAGTGTACTTGCAGATAAATGATAATTATACACGTGTGTGGCTCTCTTTCACTTAAAAATACTTTCTTAACGTTGTAAAATTTTGAACGAAAAAAAAAAACCCCTTTGAATTGACTCATGTATTTTGAGAATATATTGTTATTAGCTGTTTAGAGTATATTTTGCTTCTTATACACATATACATAAATATCATACGAGAATATTATAAAAAAAATGGAGTAAAAGAAGGAAAAATTTCTCGGCTTATAAAACAGTGGGTGAATTATTCCACTGAGAACAAGAGATGAATTTGGCAATAAGTCCTTTAAGACGATTATATTAAAAAGAAAATACATAAGTGTGTATTGAATACCTAGAGATAAGCGAGCATTGTAGCAAAGAATCAAGGAGAGATTAAGGGTGGCGATATATCTTTGTATATAAATGTATCAATTATATACATAAATGTAGTCTATAGATAAACGAAAATTGAAGGAGAACAGGGGAGTATTGAAGGTTTTTTCTCTAGTTGATGATGGTAATAATGAAAAAATAAATAAATAAAATAAAATAAAAAAATTGAATGAGCTGAGTTAAGTAGATGGGAGTTGGTTTTCTGGTTTAAATCGAAGGACAGTGGGGTGATGTACATTATATGTATGTTGTATGTTGTATTGAACATGTCGAGTACGATATATACTGGGTCAAGGGATTTTCAAGTTTGTCTGACAGCGTACTTGCATAGCCTCAGGCAATTATTAATCTCGTATACGTTTTTTTTTTTTTTTATCATTTAAACACACATAATTGATCAGTACCAGATTCTTTGAGAATGTTCCGGGTCTGTATGTGTTGGTTCTATGGTTTCTGTTGGTCAGTATTCAATAGTAGTTTCTTTCACAACCCAAAACATATTTACGTCCAAAATTAGATTTTTAAGTGTTGTAGCAATCATCTATACATTTGACTGAGCTATCACTCTTTACAATCAAGATTAGAACAATTTCTTTCGTCTTGAGGATAATAAGATCGTATAGCCGCCAGCAAATATATTTCGCAATATTTTTTTCATTTATCCTGGTTCCTCTTGACATTATATTATATATACTCATATGTCATGTAGAATAGAATGACAGCGGTGTATATATTGATGTAGGAGAAAAAAGAAATCCTATTACCGCCATTAATAATACTTTGCTAATTAATTATGGTTGAGATTTTTGATTTCAGGCGCTAATAAATCTATAAAAGCTGTTTCTTTTGTCGGATCTTATTTTTTTTTTTTTTTTTCAATCTAAAGCTTCATTTTTAAAAGAAAACAATACCAAAATTTGTCAAAAGAAGAAATTAGATGACATTAAAGTTAGCTGTCACTTGATAAACTTTTAATTTTATTTAACAATTAAATTAGTTCTAAAAAATTATTTAAAAAAAATTGCATTTTTTATTTTTTTTTATTTTTACATGCCAAATTTTTTTTCTTTTTTTTTTTGCCATAATTTAATTGTTAACAAAAGTTCTTATGATGGTCCACCTTTACAAGCATGGGTTGTGAGTGCTATCCGTACCTGCTTGTAAATTAAAATAAAATTAATTAAAAAAAAAAAATAATTTAATAAAAAAATTAATGAAAATTAATTTAGCAAATATTTAATAATTTTTAGAATTTTTTTAACAAATAAATTATTGCAAAAAACTTTTAAAAAAAAAATTGACATGAAGAAATTTAAAAAAATTAAAAATGCAATTTTTTAAAAATCATTTTTTGGAACAAATTTGTTAGTTAAAAAAAAATTAAAAAATGGTCAAGTGACTGGCTAACTTTAATTTCATAAAAAATTAATTTAATATAAAATTAATGTAATAAAAAAATTAATTTAATAAAAATATTAATTAAAAAATTAGTTTAATAAAAAAATTGATTTAATAAAAATATTAATTAAAAAATTAATTTAATAAAGATTAATGAAAATTAATTTAGCAGATATTTAATAATTTTTAGAATTTTTTTAACAAATAAATTATTGCAAAAAACTTTTAAAAAAAAAATTGACATGAAGAAATTTTAAAAAATTAAAAATGCAATTTCTTAAAAATAATTTTTTGGAACAAATTTGTTTTGTTAAAAAAAAATTAGAAAATGGTCAAGTGACTGGCTAACTTTAATTTCATAAAAAATTAATTTAATAAAAAAATTAATTTAATATAAAATTAATTTAATAAAAATATTAATTAAAAAATTTCTTAAACAAAAAAAATTTTCATAGAAATCAGATATTTAAATTAAAAGAAAATCTAGTAGAGCACTTACTTTTTTATCAGTTAATTGATGATCGTGTATTTAATTTTTTTTTATTGTTACTGATGATAATTGCTGGTTGATTGGGAGCCTCTGTCCTGTAATATGGTCATGGTCATTTTGGCGAATCACCCTGGGGGCCTCGCACTACACAGTCAGTCCTTATTGTCGGCTTGGCTTGTGTACTGGACTGACTCATGTAGAATCAGTGGTTCTCATTGAAATTTTAAAAATATCTAAACATCAACAGACACCTATTGAGACGCTTATCCTTGCATCGAGATCACCAGGTTGCATTCGGGTTGCTCCAATTGCTAAAATGATTCAACTACTGCGAGGCTATGTAGTCGAGTACGCGGCACTAAAAGTAATTTAATTAATGATAAAAACAATGTTACAAAAAGTTGTCATTTTATTGTGCTAATATATATGTATGTATACTTTTATATATATATATATTTACTTTTACTCTCATGATAGTCGGTGACGAATTGAAAATAAAACTGATCCACGCATTTGGCGGGCTACCCTGACCTAGTTCAGGTGCGGGTATGATTCCTGCCTTGTTCTCCGAGACATTTGCAAGCTGAGATATATCGCCCCGGGGAACTCGCCGCCCTCTGAACCTCTACTACACATTTCTAGTGACTTAGCGTAAGTATAATATAACACATGTACATAAACGTCCTTCAATTTACCTCCTTCTCCCCGTCGCGGCTTTCATCGCCAATTTTTTACAAATATTTCCGACTCCGGCACATCCCTATATGATATTCATTCTTCAGCTTTGTATACACTGCCTGTGGTGATTTTTATCTATCTGGTTTTATATGACATTAAAGTTAGCAGTCACTTGACCATTTTTTTATCAAACAAATTTCCTCCAAAAAATTATTAAAAAAAAAATTGCATTTTTTATTTTTTAAAATTAAAAAATGCCAAATTTTTTTTGAAATTTTTTTTCCTCCAATTTATTTGTTAAAAAAATTATTGAAATTATCAAATATCTAAATTTTGGAGTCTTACCTTCAAAGAAACTTCCTAGATTACTTTCTTCCAAGAAACTAAGTTCATATTCTTCTTTTTACTTCTATTACTTCTTTTTACTACCTAAAAAAAAAAAAAAATTCTTGTATTAAAAAAATTTTTTTGACCCAAGAATTTATATTCCTAATAATAATCAAAAATATATTTTCTTGTCTGAAAAATTGGCCAAATTGATGACATGAAAGTTAGCAATCATTTTACCAATTTTTAATTTTTTTTTAACAAACAAATTTCTTCCAAAAAAATTGCATTTTTTATTTTTTCTAATTTCTACATGTCAATTTTTTTTTTCCTCCAATTTATTTGTTAAAAAAATTATTGAAATTATCAAATATCTAAATTTTGGAGTCTTACCTTCAAAGAAACTTCCTAGATTACTTTCTTCCAAGAAACTAAGTTCATATTCTTCTTTTTACTTCTATTACTTCTTTTTACTACCTAAAAAAAAAAAAAAAAATTCTTGTATTAAAAAAATTTTTTTGACCCAAGAATTTATATTCCTAATAATAATCAAAAATATATTTTCTTGTCTGAAAAATTGGCCAAATTGATGACATGAAAGTTAGCAATCATTTTACCAATTTTTAATTTTTTTTTTAACAAACAAATTTCTTCCAAAAAAATTGCATTTTTTATTTTTTCTAATTTCTACATGTCAATTTTTTTTTTCCTCCAATTTATTTGTTAAAAAAAATTATTAAAATTATCAAATATCTGCTAAATTAATTTTCATGTTTTTGTTTATTATATCATGATGTGTATAAACTATAGATATATACTATAAAATGATACTGAAATCAGGAAACATTTGAAAATTTTATTTAATGATCCTGAAATTGAGAAAATTAAATCTATCAATTTTATGAACATTAAATTAGCTTACATTAGAAAATTTTTATAATTTTTTTATTGAAAAAAAATTAAAAGAAAAAATTTGACATGTCAAAATTTGAAAAACTCTGTGTGGAATTTTTATACAAAATTTTTTTACTTATAATTTTTATTGATTCAAAAAAATTTTAAATTGTTAAATGTCTGATATTTTTAGCAGCGAAGTTAAAGTTAGCAGTCACTTAACTATTTTTTAATTTTTTTTTAACAAATAAATTTGTTCCAAAAAATTATTTTAAATTTTTTTTTAATTTTAACATGTGGAGTTTTTTCTTAAAGAGTTTGTACAAGTAAATTATTTAATTTCTATAGATATGAAATTTTTTTCATACAAATTTAGTTATTATAATAATAAAAAAAATTACGGATGTCTGTTAACTCCAGGATAATACTATAAAACAATAGTACTTATTAGATAATAATTAATTATAAGAATTTAAAAAATAAAAAAAAATTACAATAACATTCAAATGTCATAAATAAAACGCTTGTAATTATATACTTAATACAAATATTTATGTAAAAAAGGATAACTGTTCAAAGTTCAATAACAAACTTAAATACAAATTTTTTAAGGATCCATTGTTGATAACATACACATTTTTCACTGCATAATATGACTTTTTACCTGGTAAACGTTGAACTTTATTGAAACATTATATTATCAACTCTAAAATCAATCAAAATTTCAGTTTGACATTACAATAAAAGACTTCCTTAAATAAATTCAATACAAACTGTAAAAAATGATTGATGAAGATTGATGTAAAATTTTTTTCTGCTCAAAATTGTTTATTTGAATTGCGACTTTTAGTTGAAACTTTTTTCGAAAGATAAGTGACAGATAAAATTCATAAGAGCTTACGCCATACAAAAAATCAGTAAACTATATAGGGTTTGCGCGACCTTTTACAAACAATCAAATTTAATTGAAAAAAAATTTTTTTCTTCACGGGAATCCCCAAGTATCCTTCAAACTTTTTCGGAAATCACAAAAAAACCAACAAAACAGTAATAAAGTGAAAGGTCACGTCACTAAATACATCATTAACATAACATTTAGAGTTTCCTATAACACAAAAAGTCAATAGCGTTAAATGACAGAGTTCATGAGCGCATCTAAAAGTTTTATACGATCAATAAATTTATCTCGATTTTAAAATTATCATTTGCTGCAAGTGTTAAAATTTCAAAATAATATGTTATATTTAATTTCTTTTTTTTTTTTTTTTATTTTCAATTTTGGAGCTTAGTTTAATTAAAAAAATTTTTAATCTTTAACAAAATTTTCTTCAAATATTATTAATTCAATTTCTGAAAACTTATTTATCGCTTTGATAAATTTTATTAAAAAATTATACAGAAATATATCATTAAAAATTGAATAAATCTGATTATTAATTCACCAAATAGTATTTAATTATGTAAATTTATTCCAATTTTGAAAATTTTTAAGTTTTGATAAATTATTCTTAAAAAATTATTAAAATTATGTGAATTTATTTCAATTGTAAAAATTTATAATACTAAAGTTAGCCGACGATTGTAATTTTTTGATTTTTTTTTTAATAATTAAATTAAAAAAAAAAAAATATTTTTAAAAAATTGCACTTACAGTTTTTAAAGTTTTTTATAAGTAAAAATTTTTTTTTTATTTTTTTGTAATAATTTTTTCAATAAAAAAAAAATTCTAAAAATTTTTAAGTTTTAACAAAATCTTCTTCAAATATTATTAATTCAATTTCTGAAAACTTATTTATCGCTTTGATAAATTTTATTAAAAAATTATACAGAAATATATCATTAAAAATTGAATAAATCTGATTATTAATTCACCAAATAGTATTTAATTATGTAAATTTATTCCAATTTTGAAAATTTTTAAGTTTTGATAAATTATTCTTAAAAAATTATTAAAATTATGTGAATTTATTTCAATTGTAAAAATTTATAATACTAAAGTTAGCCGACGATTGTAATTTTTTGATTTTTTTTTTAATAATTAAATTAAAAAAAAAAAAAAATTTTTAAAAAATTGCCACTACCGTTTTGA